AAAACATACCGAATTCTTAGTAAAATGTATAAACAACAGCTGACATTTTGCAAGTGAAAACAATTGGACAACAATGCCAAAATCGTCATACATATAGGGCCTACAACAAGTAAAAATAAAATAAAACGTTCCCACCCTTTTTATTTCATTTTTACTTGTTGTAGGCCCTAGTACGGTAATAGTACTCATGGTAAGACCTGGACGCGGGACCGATTTTTTTTTTCGTTTTGAGGTCCCTAGAGGCCAAAAACACCATCCGTTCAAATTCATATATATATATATGTGTCCGTCAGCACGATAACTCAAGCAAAAATGATCCGATTTTGATGAAATTTGGTACAAACGTGTAAACCTACGTTTATTCGAACGAGTTCGCGATCCAGCATGATCGGACCATGGGAACGGGTGTTTACGGGGGGTTTTATGGGGTAAAAATAGGTTTTTCCCATTTTTGACCCAAAAAACTTAAAATTTTTCAATTTATTTCCGAACCATTTTGTAGAGCTTAAAAAAACAAATAATTTAGTATATTGAAGCGTTATTATGCGCTTAACGGTTACGGAGAAAATTCCAAAAAATTGTAAATTTAAAATTGCCATGTTATTCTTATGGAGAATAAATAAACTGTTGTAGTTTGCTTGTTTATGAACATATTTTGATCAAATTTGGAAAATGTTTTTATTTCTTACTAACTATTAACATTTTACAAAAAAAAAAAAAAAACAGTGTTACTCTCCTTGATGCAGCAAACCTAAGTACTTGTTAAACTAATTCTATTTAAATCGGGAATAAATGTTATATTTTTAAGTAGACATTTCAGTGTAAATCCAATCAGTCAAATGGAAATTCGCTTAGTCTGCAGGTTTGCTGCGGCGGGGGCTTATTCCCTATATGGGAAATTCGCTAAAACGTTCCCACCCTTTATTGTGGTAGCGATTTAATGTAGCGCAAAGCATAACATATGTGAAATGATGGGAACCAACTTGATATGGTGGGAGAAGATCAACCCCCGCGGTTAAATAGAAATTGCAAACAATCAACAGTTTGGGGTGCGAATATGGGAACCACCCCTATGGCCAAAGTCACGTGACCCTCATAGACTAGTGGGGGAGATTAAGTGTATTTAATGACTTGACCATCTCCATACGGGTAATTAACATTCACCCTTTAGGTGTCGGGAATTCATGCATGAATGGGGTAGACTTCCGTATCAGTTGGCACAAACAACCGAATGAAAATATCGATTATTCGATTGTTTCATTCGATATATCGATCGATATTTTCATTCGGTTGTTTGTGCCAACAGATATGGAAGTCTACCCCATGAATGTGTAAAATAGCTCTAAAGAGGTTTATTGTATCTGAGTGGCAGTGCTCACCTGACAGTCAGAAGGTCACCGGTTCGATCCTGAGGAGTCAAAAAAATTTTGAATGGTTTGACATTGGACCCAGCTGTCTCTGATAATTGGACCTAAAGTAAATTATCTTGCTAATGCAATGGGTGATCTTGGTCTGTAAACCTATACAGATCAACCACTAAACACTAAACTTATCTTACATCCAATAGTCAATGTTTACATTTATAGATGGTTTTAAATATGCATATCTAGGAGGCATTGATGTCTGTCTCAAAGGTGTGATTATATAAGTTACTGCAGCCACATCAACTACAGTATCTCATTGACAAAAAACTAAAGCATAATAGAATTTTAGGTTATTTTCGTTAATTCAGTACCACTACTTTTTTATTGCAATTCCGATACTTTTAAAAATTAGCCTTGTCTATGACAATTATAAAATTAAACTATTCTAAGCTAACCTAACCAACCAAACTTGCTGATTATAAAAAGTTCTGAAGTAGTGAATAAACGGAATTGCAATAAAACATTTTTTGTGTGAAAAATACAGAATTTTAGACTGTAACGCATTCTGTGAGGAGAATCGTTCAATTAAACTCTTTTTAAGTCAAAACACGCTATAACTGGTCCATATAAATTAAATGTGCAATACATGTATTCAGTACCGTATCAAAAATTCAATTAAATGCTATAACAAAGAATAAAAAACTAAGCAGACGAGCAAGAACTGTGAAGCTACTACTTGCCTTCTAAAATTATAAACGAAATCCAAAACAAGTAAATAGACGGTTGTTCAACATATTGTTGACGACATTGGCTGACGACATGTGGGATGACCAGGAAACGAGCGGGACTGACGTCACAAGGCCGAACAGCTGATTAGCAACAATGGTCCAGTCCTAGTCACGAGCCAACCGAGCAAAGGTTAACTGCCAACAATGATTTGGATCTTTTAATGTTTGCTTTAAATAGAAGTCCTTCGAAGTTAAGACAACGTCCGCTAATTTAATTTTAGAGTTAGGTTTTAAACTTAACAATTCTTTGACTTTCAGTTTTTGATACTGTGTAAACGGACATAGCATACTGCAATAGTATATTTCATTACTAGGGTCTAAAGTGACTCTTTTTGACCCGAGGTCAAGATTTAAGATCGATGCGAAGCCGAGGTTGGAAAATGAGCGTCGGTTAAAAAGATTTTTTCCTTTGTGGTGAGCTATATTTTTCGTCATGTTGCATCATTAATAGGTTAGGTCAAACGCAAGCGTTGAACGGAATGGGAAACTTTTATCTTTAGGTGTTACTTATTTTCAACAGTACACGTATAAACAGTAATAATCAATATAAACAGAATAATTTTGTAACTTTCTTACTTACGCACCAAGAAGAAAACAGTTCGTATGCTCGTTCATAATTCTTTCTTGATTTTTCAGGAAACAGGTTTAATGAAACGTGTTTTGATATTTCTGCTACATATTACTTCTGGTGTACACATATATTCACAATCACTGAGTTCATTATTCTCAAACATGTTAGACCCACTTATAGCCTAATTATTCTTTCAAATGCTACACTTTATGTTATGTTTAAACAAAGCGTTGAACGAAAATAGAATATAAACACGAAATGACAGGTTAAATCGTAGTACTGTAGCAATATTCAATCAGCTGATGATAGTGTTATTACTTTAAGTGTATGTAGTATGTTTTCTGTGATTACATGCATAATAAACCACGCTGTTTTGTGTTGTTTGGTTGGAATCCTGAAGTGCGCCAAAGTATAAACCGTGCGACAAAGTAAGTAAATGCAGCAATTAGCAGCTTTCTGTACTATAAACAGTGCAAGGAAGCCGACTTTGTCGGGTGACTGTAGGAAAAAGTAAGTAAATGCAGCAATTAGCAGCTTTCTGTACTATAAACAGTGCAAGGAAGCCAACTTTGTTGGGTGACTGTAGGAAAAAGTAAGTAAATGCAGCAATTAGCAGCTTTCTGTACTATAAACAGTGCAAGGAAGCCAACTTTGTCGGGTGACTGTAGGAAAAAGTAAGTAAATGCATCAATTAGCAGCTTTCTGTACTATAAACAGTGCAAGGAAGCCAACTTTGTCGGGTGACTGTAGGACGTGCTGTTTTCTCAGGTAGCTGTAGAAAAAAACCATCGTTTATGCGACCACAACTAGAACATCAAAACAAAACCTACTTAGATAATTAAGTGATAATCCATATGAGTGCTCGATTCTCCCCCCTTCAAAGATCAACACTACAATTATTATTGTAACACTATAGGAAGGGTGCGCATGCGGGCTGCATAGGGGCGTACACGCGCCCTCCCCTAAACTCTGATTTCACACGACACAATTGACTACAATAACTACATCATAGGGGTAGTAATTAACTTCTCCATGACAAGCTGGTCCCAATAGATCATGACTTTCATGTTATGGGGGATTATGGTGGCAGAACTACTACTTGTTTTACACCTACAAATTATTAATTAACTAGCTTTGTGCTTTTCACTATTCACTGTCTCCCCTTTAAATGGAGGAAGTATTGTTTTGTCAACATTTTCAAGTTTGTGTTTTTGGTGGAAATATCAGTTTTGGGTCCCCTAAGTTTTGTCCCTGGTTTAGCGAATTTCCCATATAGGGAGTAAGCTATTTTGTTGTGATTTTTTCACTGGATGTGTACAGAACTACAGACCACACCTTTGGTCCGATTTTGATAAAATTTTGTATGTGGGTACTAAATAATCTATGGTGTCTCCAGGCTTTTTTAATATCAAATGTAGATTTTTAATAGTGATTTTCCCATAACATGGAATCAGCCCGAACCTTATTAAAAGGCCATTGACCGAAGGATACTGGGTCCAGTTTCGAAATAGGAAAAAACTACTCACTTTTCTCTAGCAATATAACCACTCAACCTATACTGTTTTGTCTTAAGAAATAAAAAAAAAATAATTTGCAGTGCCGCTTTTATAAATGGGTACTATTTATGCTGTAAATGAGTACTTATAAATCTGACTAGGGGCAAAAGAGGTTTAAGGTTTGTGGGGGGCAGAAGGAAGAGAAAAATCTCTCCTAAATGTTGGTGAAGAGGGGCACAATAATCCACAGGATCCATAGCACTTATCTATAGGATCCATAGCACATCATATGCAAACGGGCTTGATTATTTAATCTCTTTATGAAGTTTGTGGACAACAGAAATACTAAGTACTTAAGAACTAAAGACGCATAATTTCATGAGTTCTTATTTGGAAAGTTATTTAAGTACTGCACTTGTGTTTATACCCCTCTTGATATTTTAAATATTGGACACTCTCTATGTTAAAGGCAACTGAGTGTGTGAAAAGAAAATATTAATTCCTGGGAACAGTTTATTGACTCAAAACGATAATTATTTGTCAAAAACTATGCATATAATAGTAAGAACTTAGTCTCAACCTTTGATGAGTACGATGGGTTTAGACTGGCTGAGAGTGGGCAAAGAGTGTCTAATAGGAAGAACATGCTTTCCTCTAAAAATAAATCTACTGAAAAGTAATCTTTATTTAAGTTTATTTAGACCTACTCATTGCTGAAACTGCTGAAAACACAATTACCATTACGTAATTAGAATCAGCTGGTGCATAAATAAGGCATACAAACAATTAAAATGTATTTATTCATAAACATAAATCTTACGTTTGACGCTTTGATTACAACAAACTGTCCATTAAAAGCTTAAGCCATTAATTTCAAGTAAACAATGCAAATTTGACATATTTCAGTCACGGGCACAAATTATATAAATAATAGTAACAGTAAATTAACATTGTATGATGCAAAACAATGTAAGTAAACTAATCAGTTAAAATAAATGGTGGGATGAAAGCTTAACTTGACTAAAACGCAAAATTGATGTCAATATGCAAAACATTTAAGCTAACAAATAGTATTAAGAATATAACTAAATTATCTTCGTAATAACTAATAAGGATACAATTAAAAAGGGCAAATCAAATTGAATAATTACATTTTCAAAAACGAAACAAAGATTATAAATTTAAAAACAAATCAGAGCAAAAGACAGTTTTTAAATTTGATGACGAATTACAAGCACAAAACATCTTTGGTTCCACATCGAATATACATTTTATAGATTTGAACCTAAAAAGTAAATACAGTAAAGATGATCAATTAATTTTTACAATTGTATACAAGTTTACATACTGATATGTCAATGATCTTAAAAACCTTAAATACATCTTAAGCCGGGTTTTCCTAGGCGCGGAGTCGGCGAGCGGAGAGAGGAGCGTGGAGAGCGGACTCCACTTGTCTTAGGCAATTTAATGTTACTGTTTTCGTAGAAGGGGAGCGGAATGCCATGTTAATTTCAATTCCGCTCTCCGCTTGCCGATTCCGCGCCTAGGAAAACCCGGCTTTACAGTCATTTCTTTGAAGCTATCCTAATTTACATGTTGAAAAATTACAAACTATTTAAAACAAAACCACAGAGAATGTATTCACTTTCATAGCTGTTCTTCCCCTCATAGTTTCAATTGTAGTACTTGGATAGTGGATAAAATAGTGGTGGGATCTGCCATCTTGTATATCAAATATATAAATTCTTAATAAACAACAACATATTATTTACAAAAGCTTTCTTTGATTTTGTCTGTGACATAACAAAAAAGCTATTTCTTCAGTAATTTACTAAAGTTATCTTGATTATCAAGTCTTCCGTTATACAACTCTTTGTAATATAGATTAATTTGATATTTCCATGAAATACAACTGTACTTTTTAACATGTACATCAAAACAACGCCTTAAGCTACACCAACTGTAGAAGAAATGCCATACTTGAGGTGCTTACTGTTGACTGTTCTTTCCATTTATTATGACATATTAACTAGTTGCAGACCACCATTTTAAGTACCACTCAGTTCTTCAATACCTGCAAACCTTTCTGCTAACCCTCACTTCATAGTGGGAAGAGACCCATGGCTGGTTGTATTTTTAATTTTCTGTTTCAGCAATAATGTTGGAGTTAAAAAAAAATGTATAATGATGGCTTTGAAAAGATTAAGAAGTTAAATGTTCTTATTACAAGGATAATGTGTTTGTATGAAGCTTTTAAACATATATTTTAAAAGTTCTCTAAAAAAATGTAAAAACTTATACCTAATGTTTTTTATTGCAATTTTTCTGTAAATCCAATTTTGACCTGCCAGTCTAATAATCGAGAAGCTACTGTTATTTTTGTATTGAGTTTGTTAGTTTAGCCTGGTATTTCTTAAACAAGTCTTTGTAGTAAATACGACATAAGAAGCAGACATACGTTTAACTTTTTAGGGAAGGGATTTGATCAATTGCTTTGATTTTTAATTTATTTGGCTGTTTGGTTCAAAAATAGTTTTGTAATTAGGGTTAACCTATCAAGTTAAACAATTGGAAACCAAGATTCAACTCATAGTTTTGTTAATAATACTTCATTGAAGTTTTTTGCATACATTGAAATGTAAATTTATGTTATTATTAAAGATCAGGGCTAATAACACAGCGATGAAATTATTTGCAGCAACTATGTTGCTCTGGACGGCACTTTAAACCCTTTAAAAATTAAATCACAAATGAAAAGTAACGAGGAACAGAGATAAATTGGCTTTTAAGTTATGCTGAATGCCAGGTTTTCAAATTGTAGAAATCCATTTCTGAGAATTTTAGAGGGAAACTGATGTAATTTTAAGAAGAAACAAGTTTAAAATTGAAAAAAAAACTTAACAGGATAAATCAATAATTTGTTAAGCACCATTTTATAACTACAACAATAATAATACTTTTATTTCATTTATATACACATAAATAAAACCTCTGTTTACAAAATGTATTGTTAAAGTTTATATATGGTTTATATACAAATTACACAGTCTATACATTAATTACAAAAAATAGTACATAGAATATAATATTAATATTAGGTTGAAGCTGTTACTGTGTGATTCTCTTCGTATCTGGAATAAAAACGTTGACATTTTAGTAAAAATTTTTACTATAGTCCGTTCACAAAATTTAAGCGGTTTGAGTGGAAGTTCCCCTACTACTTTTTTTGCAAATCTTAATGTGTGTTGTAGCTGATTGACGTTTTCCCAAAACTCAGCTGTTGAGTTATTGTTTTAAAGGTAGGATCAAGAGGAGGGGATAGATGTTATCGCCTTAATTTTGTGAATGGAGTATAGGAACGTTGCAACTGTAGAAACCCATTACTTAATCAAGATTGGGGCGCTCAGAACTGGCTGTATTTGACCCATAATGAAGAATGAGTGAGGGAGTGAGACGACCTGTGCAACTTTGTTAGCCACAAAATTTTAGGATTAACTTTTGATACCACTTTTAACTGTCATGATCATGTTATAATATGAAAAATAAACTCAGGTCGAGTATATTTGCATTAAAACGTTTATGAGGTGAATTAGAACAGTCTTTTTTCATACAGACTATGGACTTTTTCATAGCCAATTAAGCTATGGGTTTTGTGGGGGTCTTCTGATCACCCCAAAAAAATTGGTAATAAGTGAACGGCCTTATTATCATCGTCTCCTACGATAGCGACAAAACCAACATCACAGGCCATCGTGGCAAATCATTATTTTTCGACCACGCATGTACGCTCTCTACGTCACAAAAATAAAACCGTAGCTTGGCTCGACGCGACTCGTGTTTGGCTTGAAAATTATTTCCACCCTAAAACAAATCTTCACGTCAAATCTAGAGGCAATATGAACAAAAAATAAATAAAACCTTTGGTTCTAGTGCAACTCTACACTAAAGTGATAATACCAACGTACTGCACTACCGTGTGTAATAGACTCTGTAGTAGACAGTCTTGGATCTCCAGAAACTGTAGGAGTTGTCGAACTTTAGTAGGTAAACACCTTGTCCAGGGTACGCATGACTACCAGCGTAAACCTACAACAAAACATTATACCTTTGAATTGATTCGTAGTTGCGTTTTTTTTTTGTTCATAATCTTGAAGTAAAGTAATTATTTTAAGGACTTTTCTCATGATAAGTGTTTGTTTAACTCTATGTTATGGGAGGTACATAAAGAAACCCTTCTTTTCAAGTAGATATGAATCGCACTGAAAAAATCATTCAATTTTTAGAGGTTAGGCTCATCTCAAAATGTAAAACCAATAGACAAATTTTGAGAGCCCCCAAGTCGCAGATGCGCCTCTAAGCCCTGGGAGATAAATTTTGATACATTTTATAAGTAACTGTATAAAACCAAAACCTGTATAAAACCGTGGACTCATAAAACCAAGGCCGGATATCAGAGGTTCTACTGTACTAGGTAAGAAGTTACCTCTTCCATACAATCCCTGCGGTAGACAGGCACTATGACTGAGAGTGGTGGCCTATCTACTACTTGCTTGGGTGACGAATTCCCCCTCTCTAGGTCTTGCGGCAAACTTGTGAAATCTGAAAACCCAATGGTACTTTTGTGGTCAGATTGTTACAGCGAAACCTCGATAACAAAATATCCTATTAGTAGGCAAGCATGTTTCAAGAAAACCTTTTTTTCTCAGCTTGTTTGTATCGCAGAGAAAATCTAAGCATATTATTAGAAAGATAGTTGCCTGTAGATATGCAGAATCCCTTTATAAATTCAAATATGATAAAAAATAAGCACAAGTTATTTTAAATTGATATGTTCGCTGCTGAAAACATTTATTGCATCTGACCTTCTTTTAACAACCATATTTACCTCTATGCACACTGAGTAAATAAATGTTTTAAATTGGGGAATCAGTAAGTTAAAAGAGATAACAGTACGGAAAATAAGTAGGCCTAAATTCAAAACAAAGCAAAACGTGTCATTTAGACCCTGGTATTTTTCTAATCTTGTGAGCTTGTGTTGAAAATACACAATTCAGGTCTTTCTCAATAAATGTACATTTAGTTCTACCACATTACCTTCGTCTTCTTCATCTAGTTCGTAGTCATCTTCATCTTCGCTCTCCGAAACATGGACAGAAACCTGAAAAGGGATAAAACTTAGCATGAAAATTTAAGTATAAGTTAAAGAACAAAGTAATCTTTTGCGGATATAGTTTTCATTTTGTGACTTAATAAAGAAAAGTACAATGTAAGGTTCAAATGAACTTTAATCGAGAGTTGTGTCTTAGTAGAACTGTATTTTAATTTTTGTTGTCCCACCTTCACATTCTAGGACTCTCACATAAGTTATAGCTCTGAACCTTTTTACACATTACTTCAGGCCTAAGCCTGAACCTCTAAAGGTTGAAGTATCATTTAGATAAAATCCATTGGTGATGAGTAGGATTTGAATCCAGAACCTCAGGAACCAAAGTCCCACGTTCTATCGCTAGACCAACTGGCACTCAAATCAGGATAATGAATGAAAAGTGTCAATGATGTTGTATCTGAGGCGGTTGGTGTGTGGTGAGCTCGGCGACGCAGCGCTGCTGTCCCGTGTGCGGTTCACGTTGCCCAGACACAATTCACGTTCGCGTTTGCTCTTCTCCCCCCACTTCTCTAGAACGAACCTTGGAATGTGTTTGCCGCTCAACTCAATGGTTAGGCTGTTCAACACAATTAATAATGACCAAATAGACATATTTTTTTACTGTCACAGTACGTTCAGGAAATACGTTTTTAGATATTTAATTACTCCATTCAAATAATAATTGTTATTAAATTAATTACTCTGTTCAGACTTTGTTGTTGTATTTTATTTATTTAATTCATTATTGTTGTTATAGATGTTTAAGTGATTGCCAATGTTATTTTTTAAGATATTTATTTGTACGTTATTTATTGATATTTATTCGTTTTTGTCATATATTGTATTGTTGTGAGTGATTACACTAATAATTATAATTTCTTCAGCAAGATGAACTTTTACCATATTTATTATTTATAATGCATGTCAAGATTTTGTTTGAATATTAATGCTACAATGTAACTGGGTTTATCCTGTTTTGCAGCATTGTAATAAAAGAAATAAATAAATAAATAGTAATGGTAGACATGCAAGTAGTTTTTATACACTTAAATATAGTAAAACCTCAATAACAAGTCACCCTTTATAGAAGGGTCATTTTCAAATTCCCTTGAAATTATTTTACCCCTAATCCCATGTTATTGCAAACCTTGATAAGAAGTCAACCTTGATAACAAGTCTTATTTTATAGTCCCTGTGAGAGTCTTGTTATCAATGTTCTACTGTAAATGTAAATGGCAAGTAAATTACCTGATTAGTATTACCTGATTTGTTGTTGATTTAGTCCATTCAAAATAAACCCCAAATCCAATGTCATAGTTGTCAGTCGCAAACTCCCAAAACAAACAAGTCCCATCTTCATGAGTAGGAACTCTGACCTAAAAATGTACAAAAATTGAAAATGATCATAGAATATAGGGAACATTATTGAAGAAAACATCAGGCTTACCTTAAAAAATGTAGGCATCCCACTTCATTCACTACAGAACACAGAAGAAAACACAAACAAAATAAACTCTGGATATTTCGAGGCCACTGGCCCCTATCTCAACATGGAGAGTCACATTCAGTGAAAGAATCTTAATATCTAATGTGACTCTCCATGTTGAGAAAGGGGCCAGTGGCCTCGAAATATCCAGTGTTTATTTTGTTTGTGTTTTCTTCTGTGTTCTGTAGTGAATGAAGTGGGATGCCTACATTTTTTAAGGTAAGCCTGCTTATCCTATCCTTTCTCACACCTATTCTCAGGCAATTAGCCCTTTCTCTCCAAACCTGAAGAAAACATCAGAGATGTTTGGATCAAACAAATGAAGACAATGAGAAATAGGTTCATGCTTGTTAGGGCAGGTATCAAAATTACCAAGCAAAAACTTTGTGAAACTTAAAACAGTCAAAAGGTAAAATTGACAGTTCAACAAATATTTTAATTTAATTTATATCACAATAACGATTTGGGTTAGGTGCTTACCATTATACTTTTTAACATTTACTTATTTTATCAAAAAACCGTTATGCCACCATGTATTTGAAGGTCATTTTGATTACAATACCAGTGTTATCTAAGTTATCTTATCCCTTCCAAATGTTTCTGAGGCTGAGCATATCGCAAGATGTCTGTTTCTTCCTGTGATAAAATGGTACAGTAAAGTAGGGCCTACTGCACACTCAACACAGATTTCTTGGAAAACCTATGAAACACTTTGTTGTACATAAGTTGCGCAGTATCCTAGGACTGAGTCCTCTTTACAGCCTCGGAGGTTAACTACGGTATAGAACTTGACAGCTTCAATAGTTACATAGTACATTGCTAGGCTATTAAGATCTAGTGTTACTTGCAGACATTAAGATGAGTCATGCATATAAAATGATGACCAGATCACTAACCAATAGCTTAAAGATAGAAACAGTCAGCACTACAACCATAATTTTTTTGTAAAACGTTTGCATCTGGAGGGAAGAACACTTTGCAGTTGGCACTAGGGTAGAAGGATTGGATACACAACTAATTTACCCAAGAAAAGATTACCAGAGAGTTGACAGAGCACAAAAAGTTCATAACACCGAAGTTCATGACACAGGGATATTTTGTCCCTACAAGTGAGCAATATCATGACTGCCATTCTACTATTTTCATCTGAAAAGGTCCTCATGTACGGACAAAATATTTAATTAATTGTGTTGTGAATCTTTTGCAAGCGGTTAACGGTCTAGAACTCTTTCCTCGTGTTAGTTGGGATCACATTCCTTTTTTTCTAACTAAAGCATTTAAAAATGGTAAATAACATACAGTATTTATTTCAATAAGTACATTTTTTTCAATGTTCCGGTAAAGTGGGTGTCTTTATAGAAGGAAAAAAATTTGCTGAAATGTAAAATAGCAAGTCTTAGTATGAAATGTTACCCCTTATTTCCTGATAACCTCAGGGCATTTCTCAAACCCAGCTGTCGTCTCATCCACACTACTCACGAGTTTATAACACTACGGTATAGTACCTATTAGGTATTATTAGGTACTGCTATTCAGAACTAATAAGGATCAAACCCTGAGGGGTTTTGGGTGAATTCGGAGTAAGCAGGTTTCTTTAATCATTCATTGTCCCGATTGCCAATGATATTCACGGTTTTGCCACAAATCAAATCAAATCAAATCAAACTTTATTGTCACAAAACGTTTATACATAGCTTAGCTACAAAACAGGTGACATTGTCAAAATTATAATAAATACATTGTTGATCATCTTACATTCTATAGTTAAAAAATTAAATACAATAAAAATAAAAATACTGACTTTGATTTAAAAATAGTTTACAACAAATACTCACTAATATGGTAGTAGTTTTTTTCTATTAAAAATTTTGATAGATTCTTTTTAAATGACATTGTATTGGCTATATTTTTTAAACCTAGTGGTAACTTATTGTACAGTTTTTTCCCCATGTATGTTGGTGTCTTTTCAATGAGACGCAGACGATGGATTGGTAATTGAAAATTATTTTTAAACCTTGTGTTGTATCTATGGTCAAAATTATCATTTAATAAATTTTCATAGTTTGATTGTACCATTACTTAGGTTTTGAATATGTATAAATTTGGAACAGTTAAGATATTTAATTCCCTGAACAGTGATTTACAAGATTTCCTAAAATATGAGAAAGTCATTATTCTTAAAAACCTTTTCTGTACTTTAAAAACTTTAACTGAATCACATGATAATCCCCAGAACTCAATCCCATAGTTAATAATTGAAAAAAAGAAAGCATAGTAGATATCAATTCTAGTTTTGAGGTCAATATAATTACGTAGTACTAGCATTTGATAACAGGCTGAATTTAATTTACTAATAATATTATCAATACAATTACTCCAAGAAAAATTAATATACAACAAATAATAATAATAATAATAATAATAATAACAACCGTGGGGGATGACTATCATGTCTCTGCTATCTCAGAAAATGATTTCGCTGCGACTACAAAAGATGTTATAAATTGTACTGTAATGTACAATGATGCACGATCGTAAAATTATGCCAAGATCGCAGGTGATGTTTGTGATTTTGCCATGACCATAAGAGGTGTTCTCAATTACGCCATAACCTGAAAAGTTTTACGACTTCACCATAAAGATTGATTTTGCTTGTCGACGACAATGTCACAGCGTATGCAAGAGAGAGTAACAACACATAGATATCACCAATTTTGACGATATTGGCAGCTTAGGCAAAGTTTGTAGCATTATTGCTAGCTCCTTGAACATTAGTGGTGACATTGTAAGCTTTTGCGGCTGACACAGTTAGCTTCGTACTAAGGACTTTTATTTTTGAAATTTAGTTCGGAATAGGTGGATTGTTGGAACAGCAGACTATACTGCATACTGAATGAACTATTGATTGTACACAAGCTAGTTGTATGAGGCCATGTCAATTTACCGTCACAGTTTCTCCATGACCGACTCTGAGTATTGCGTCCCCGCCTTCCCTGCGAATCGACTCCTTGAACTCCCGGACATCCTTCCTGGTCCACATGGACGCCATGGACATTGTCCCTTGGGAATTCACTGAAGCAGAGCAATAAATCAATTACAAAATGTACCACAAACAAAAATATATGACAATAGAAACTGATTGAGCACTAACTGTAGACTGGGAACAAAACTTAGTTTGTACATATGATTCTTGCACCAAAACCTTTTGCTTATTTATTTCACTGATTCCAGCAGAGTTGGAGCTGTGTATGGAGATGTGTTTTTTCATTGTTGTTTTTGAAAGCGCTCTTCCAAGCAATGAAATTAACAAAGCATTCATCTGTAAAAGACGTACTAGAACCAATCCTCAGTGAATCGACTGCTAGGAAGATGCAAGGTGAATACTAATACTTTTAAATTCATAGTAAAAAAATTGGAGAGAGAGCTTACTTTAATCCTCACTTTTTCAGGTGAACTATTCATTTTCAAAATAGCTCCTCAAAGATATATGGTTTGGATGTATCAGAAGAACACAATCAGGCTCTAACCTCATAATGAAGAGAGTGGAAAAAATCTGGTTGATTCAGATAATGTTGGAAAGAACGGTTTGGACGTATCAGAAGAACACAATCAGGCTCTAACCTCATAATGAAGAGAGTGGAAAAAATCTGGTTGATTCAGATAATGTTGGAAAGAGAAGACAAGAGTACTCAATTTAAATGGCAAGGCGTCATAATAAGAATGATAAGGCTGAAAGGAAAATATCACAGCAAGTTAAAGAGGAGCATTATTTACAGGGACAAGGATGGATTAGGCTCATCAACATACCAAGAAGATCATAGCTGCTAAATTACAATGATGAACACATTTTTATACTAAAATAAGTGGTGAAAGAGTGGCTTTATTTACAATACGAGCCTAGACTAAGTGCTTGAGTGATTGTGCACCAAGTCAGAAAATTTAGCTCAAGCTCATAATTTTTAAAGAAAAATTCATGTTCTAGCTGCAATCACAGGGGACAATGATAATTTTTTTGCAACCACAGTCGAGACGATGATGATTGGTATTTTGCCAAAATCGAAGAAGACAACAAAGGTTTACAAGACTGCAGAAGATAACATTTAAATTCCAATCAAACATATTTGCCATTGATGAAGGAAGCTAGCATTTTACAGCAGCTCAGCTCAACAGAAAATCTCAGGCTCCTCTGCCGACAAATCTTGCTAAACCTGTCTTAGCTTAGTATGTAAACATTGACTAATTTCCTTGAAATTTGGTATCAATCTACAGAAATTGTTTTATATACCAGTAAGCTCAAAGAAAATTACTTGTTGCTTTTGAACCCCCTAGTTCCCAACATGAATACAGTCGACCGACATTAATATCCAGCCAGCACACTTGCAAACAATACCTTCAGACTAAACACTTATTTTGCCATAGGCTAACCAGAAACAGTGCTCGATGTGCGGCGGAATGGCGTTCCGGTACCTCTCTTTCGGAAAGATAAAAATATTTGCATAAATAGGTACTTGTCACATTAAATAGGTTACAATTCTGGCACATATTTTTTTACAAATCGAGCACTGTCCAGAACTATATGGCTGTACCTTCGTCATCATCGTCATCCTCCTCACTCTCAGGCTGACTGTGATGCAGAGTTCCGTTGCCCATCACAGTCTGTGCTGGCTCCGGGTGTTCCTCAGTCTCAGCTTGAGTCTGTTGAGCCATCACCTGCTGCATGTACTGGTGGTAATGTTGATCTTGTAACTGTCTCACCAACACCGCTTGCTGAACAACACCAACAACATTCTAACAATATCAACAACCTCTAAAATTGCCTGAGCAATGACAATTGAGTATTTATCTCAACTAGTAGGTAACAAATTTCCAATATGAACAAGCCCAGATAAAGACATTTACAATTTCTATATTTACAGTTAATTCAGGATTTTAATGTTCGAAACGTTTAAGATTTTCCCGCAGTGCGAGTGACAATACAGTAGACCCCCTCTTAACCGACCCTAATGGGACCGGACTTAGGTCGGATAACTCAAAAGGTCGGTTAAAACGGGCAATCCCTAAAATCATAACATTATGAAGTGCTATTCATTTGGAATTATATAATCATTATTTTGAAGTCATACTTGTAAAATAAACTACTGTTATCTCCTTTTTCATATTGATAGAAAAATCACAAATAAACACAAAACACGGTTAAGTCAAATATATAGGCCTACTTTCAGTGGAATATATTATGATACGAGGCAAGAGTCAATAAAATTCCTATTTTAATAACTTTAGTACTGTAATGTATTAATTGAAGCTTTCCAAATCCATCGTAATACAGTACAGAACCTTTTGTCGAAATTAAAGATACAAGCAACCATTTTGTTACAAGACAGGATGTTCATTTATAGCCTCTCACTGGAGGCTCGAGGCACAAAAACTACCTTGACCTTGGAGTTGTTAACCCCCCTTCCCTGCCATCCCTACAAGTTGCGTTATTTTATTTGTTTACTCCAGCGATAAGATAATCAGTTCTCAAAATCTTAACGCACTTTATGATGTTACAAATTTGCCGCACAGATAACAAATCAGATCAGATATGCTCGAACGATGATGACAAACTGACAATAGGTTATGCTATATTTTTTGTGATCAATACAAAATAACTTATTCTTAGTCATATCCTGTGGAGATAAGCGTATGGTTCAGTTCCCATAGCCGAGCGTGGGAGCGGAAATGCCGAGATTCCTAGAAAGCGGCGGTTAAACCGAGCTGCTTTCAAAGCAAGGTCGGTTAAAACAAACTGTATTATTTTACGATCGAAGGCGGATAATCCGATTATCGGTTAATACGAGGTCGGTTGAGAGGGGGTCTACTGTATTTCCATTTTCTACTAAGGAAAGTATGAAGAGAGTGTAGCATTTAGAAAACTCTCTCTACTCATAACTTCCTTAGTTTTGTAAGTAAAGGCACTAGGCCATTTTGAATTGTAAATTGAAGGGAGATAGCAGCTAGCTTACCTGAAGAAATACAGATATACTGTACACAAGTGAACTCTCTTCCTCTACACTTGACACAAAATATTGTGTGTTTTATGGCCCATTCTTCTGAGGCAAGCTAGCTGCTATCTCCCTTTATTCTACAATTCATAGTTTCCTTAGTTGAAAATTCAGTCAGTGACAGAGAAATATTCCAATGTTTAGAGTATAGGCTTAGTTTTATGTTTCTGGTGCCAGCTGGAAATAATTCCTCTTATTCTCACAAAAAAATTGGCCCTTAAATAATAAATAGTTATAATATAAATATACCAACCAACAACTTGTATTTTGATTCAAATAAACTTTTAAAAATACAATAAAATTATTTCTTTAGTTATGTAAGCAAGGCACTATAGTTCGGCCACTTAGAAAGCGACCTCCTCCAGCATTGGTTTAGCATTAGCGCGCAGGTCGTTTTCTAAGCGGCCGAACTATAGTTAACTTTCAACCAATGTTGCCTTACCTGTTCAGGGTTGCCCGGATATTGTTGTTCTGCATATGACTTAAACTGTGCATAAGTCTGTTGATTGAGAGCATCTTGAATTTGTCTCCTAGAAAGTATTGAGACAAATTAATATTTTTGACAAAAACAATTACTTTGACATTTAATCATAGGTGTGATAATTAGCAATGCTTATTTATCTACAAATAATCTAATTTGGATTCATACACACTAGCCTATAGGTAGGCAATCTCACAAATTTGGAGCTGAATCATGGTTTTAGAGTTAGTACAAATAAGTGATAACTAGTGCACCTGTTGCTCGAATTCGAGCAATTGCGAAGTATTAAAAGCGTTATTTACGCCGGTTAGTTATCGGAAGTCACAATTTCCGATGACTTAAAGAGTCAACTTAAAGATAATGTAGATAATGTAATCAATCACTCCACTCAGTTATCGAAACTGAAAATGAACGCTCTTGTGTGTATCATGTGTTTACTATGAACAGCTGTAATAAATACAAACAAAATCTTTTCTTCATAAAAAATACATTGGTAGGCCTGACAAGGATTTTGATCGGGGACGAGAGGTTTGAGGGGCTTTGTGGAGCAAAAAAGGGGGAATTAAAAAATTTAAATCCAAAGTAATTAGATGAAACACTTTCCCTTTATTTACATGCAATTAAAATTAATTAATATATTTATAATTTTGAAATACCTACAAATATTTTCTCTGGAACCGCCCCTGACTGTAACCATGCCTTTTTTTAAAAGGCACCGTAAGAGTACCCTACCCAAAGTCCAATTAATCTTAAAAAACACTTTTTTACGACTTTCTTGTCTACAAAGAAACAAGAAACCAAATAGTATTTGGGTAGTGTGGCTAAAAAACCAAAAAGCAAAAATGGCAACAATAATAGCCCAACAAAACTAACCTCTGCAATTCTATCCGTGCTTTTTCCTCTTCCTCTTTCCTTTTTTGTTCTTCTTCAAGCCTCAACCGTTCTTCTTCCTTCTTTCTTTTCTCTTCTTCTTCTCGCCTAAATGTATAAAAACAATACAGATTTACAACAATTGGGGTTATTTTACTGGAAGAATTTAAAGAAAATTTTTAAAACTAAATTTTTTTTTTAATCAACAGCTCAAGCATATACTTTTATTTTTATCCACACCAGTGGCAATTTTTTTAAGAATTTTGCACGGAAACGGTCCAAACCCTGGTATTGTTACTAATATCGACCTTTCGTTAGATATCACCAATTGATAGCTTGATTCCCAATGGCATCCGGGTCTATTCACGATCTTTGCTTGGAGTTAAACCATCAACTTTCAGATTTGATGGTGAGCACTATAACTACCGAGCATTAAAAATTACATTTAATGTTTAAAAGTAGGAATGTTCTAGACCAAAAAGAATTAAGAACATTGTACTCAGGATTTTTATAGTTTGAATTTTTCAGGAATCTCATGATTAAAACCAGTGTAAAAAGGAGCGTGCATTATTTGCTGTTATTATTCACTGTTGTAAATTTGGTACATGATTATGAATTTAGCACAATTGCAGGAGATTTTGTAATCAAATTCAAAGTCACGAGGTATCGAGAATCAGAATGGACACATTGCACATCCCTATTGTTAAGGTTTCTAAGCAAAATTCACAGCTCAATCTAGATTTTTAACGCTGACAAAATTCAAGGCTTATTCAGTTTTAAGGATTTTAGGGTTGAATGGGTACCCTAGTTAAGGGGGAAACGGAGCGAGTGCCGTTCTATTCTTTACCGTGGGGATTATAAACGGTCAAAACTGTCAGATAGGCCAGAGTGCCATTTGACTCCCTAGAGCGTAAGAGTGATTCAGGTGAGGAGTATTAGTGGAAGAGGGTGTAGTGGGCAGGATGTAATGGAGACCTGGTACAGTTTCTGTTTCAAAAATTAATATTGATTCGATTAGTAAACCTTCATTCAATTTTTTTAATTTACTTTATGTTTTTTTGACTTTACAACCAATAGTTAGTGACACTACAATAGAATATTTAGGCCTACTAAGTACTATCATGACTATTGGATACTTAAATGGACTTCCCATCTATATGAACCAGCTGTAGCCAATTTATTATTAAAAAAGAACATATTTGTGTGAGCCAGTCACAGAATGTGCTAGTGTCTAAGATTCTATTTTCAACCTTAGTTTTTGTTCCTGGCGTAGTTGGTGGGCCATAACACGTTGCTATAGCTCACAATAAGTTGTTCCATTACTTTATATTGGTAAAAAGGTGAGTGTATTTGACAGAAATTAGTAATTTAGATCAATACAATCAGATCAGTTAGATCAGTGACTCGCATCAACTACAACGATTTTGATTAAAAAACTGGCGACAACTTTAACATGGAGATTGAATGTCTAGTTGTATCAATAGTCAATGGTACTATCAGCAGCCATACATACTTCCTTCGCTCGCGAGCTTCAATATCAGCCTTGTGAGCTTCGATGTAAGCGGTGAACAGGGGGCAAAGTCGGTCCAGCATGAGAACAAAGTTGCACATGGCATCTTCCTTGCTCATCTCTCCCAAACTCTGCCAAGCCAGTCTGTGGAAAGGTTGACAAATTTGTCAAAGAAAAATTCAAAAATGTTAGTACATGGTTGAGCACTTTTAAACTTTCAACGTCTCAATTAGTAATTTCCAAGATCTAGGATGATTTCAAATTGCTACCTTCTCCGATATTATATGACCATCACTAGCAAATGGAGAATGGGAGAATCAAATAGATAACCAAGGGATATGTTTAAGGCAATAGACGTGGTTGCTGAAGAAATAAAGTGAATTCTGGGATGTCTCCCAGGAAATTACCCTTTCTTCCCGATAATTAACCACCTTGAAAATCGCATCATCAAATCCCCAATTCCCTCCGTGTCCCCAAGTGAGTTGGAAGATGTTTATTTGTTTAGTTAGTATTAAAGTTCAGTCCCTCTGCAGAAAAATTTGTTCAGTAGCCTACATGAAAGTGTAGACTACTTTGAGGGGGTTTAAAATGTTTTATGTTTCAAGTGCACATTGTAAATAAATACCTGGTGCTAGACTATTGTTAGCCTACCCGTTAAGTGACTTACCTTCTATCTCTTCCGATGACATCCAGAACTCCCAACGGAGGCAAAGTGTCTGCATTGTACTTCCCGAAGTTCACCTGCTTTGTAAAAGCTATCAATGTCAATTTTTCTTGGTATGAGAAATGAATAGCTTTGCCCTCTTTTTCTGAAAAAAAATACCATTAAAATAAATTACAGGAATAACTTATTCCTATTGGTGAACTAGGGATCTATTCATAAAGGGTATGCAATGAAACCCCAAAAATCAGTAACACCAACAATACAAGTTAATGGCTTTTAAATCTATACTTATAAAAGGCAAAGCCCTCACTGACTCACTGACACGGGTACTCACTCACTCATCACTAATTCCCATCACTTCCCATTTACCTAGGAGGCTGAAATTTGGTACACCGATTCTTTGGGCATTAAATAGGAAAACTAAGTAGGCCTAGTTTTTATTCTGATCGGGCTTTCGGGCTCCACCCCAGTGGCTCTGGAGTTTCCCATGTTAACCTTATGATTTTTCATATGTAAAAGGAATTAATGAATCTTAACAGCTGTTTCAGTTAATAAAGTTGGTTCTGTTCTCTTAAATAGCAGTACCTGGGGACCGAGCTTTGCTCGGCGAAAATCATTAGTTCACTCTGAAAGCAGTCTTAGTATTGGAGATACATAAATCCATTCCCAAACTCCACACGATTTGCCTTTACTACGTCCTACACCATTTCCTACGTCATGGACCTGTTTCCCTGCATTCCCATAGCACTTTAGGATTGTAGATACCTTAAACTAATCGTTATTAACAGATCCCACACTCCGGACAGCTCGCCTAAACTACTTCCTTCACCACTTTCAACGTAGTGGACCTGTTTTCCTCCCTTCCCATAGCATTTCAGAATTGCAGACACCTTAATCTAATCGTCATAAACAGTTCCCACACTCCGGACTTCTCGCCTTGACTACTTCCTTCACCACTTCCTACGCCGCAGACCTCTTTCCCTCCCTTCCCATAGCATTTTAGGATTGCTAATACCTTAATCTAATAGTCATAAACAGTTCCCACACTCCGGACAGCTCGACTTGACTACTTCCTTCACCACTTCCTATGTCGTGGACCTGTTTTCCTCCCTTCCCATGGCATTTTAGGATTGCAAATACCTTAATCTAATCATCATAAACAGTTCCAACGCTCCAGACAGCTCTCCTTAACTACTTCCTTCACCACTTCCTACGTCACTGACCTGTTTCCCTCCCTTCCCATAGCATTTCAGGATTGCCCATACCCTTATCTAATCGTCATAAACAGTTCCCACACTCTGGACAGCTCGCCTTGACTACTTCCTTCACCACTTCCTACGTCACGGACCTGTTTCCCTCCCTTCCCATAGCATTTTAGGATTGCCCATACCCTTATCTAATCGTCATAAACAGTTCCCACACTCCGGACAGCTCGCTTTGACTACTTCCTTCACCACTTCCTACGTCGCGGACCCGTTTCCCTCCCTTCCCATAGCATTTTAGGATTGCAACGTTAATCTAATCAACATAAACAGTTCCCACACTCCGGACTACTCGCCTTGACTACTTCCTTCACCACTTCCTACGTCGCGGACCCGTTTCCCTCCCTTCCCATAGCATTTTAGGACTGCAGATACCCTAATCTTATCGTCATAAACAGTCCTCACACTCCGGACTGCTCGCCTTTACTACTTCCTTCATCACTTCTTACGTCACGGACCTGTTTCCCTCCATTCCCATATTATTTTATGATTGCCTTTACTACTTCCTTCACCACTTCCTACGTCGCGGACCTGTATCCTTCCCTTCCCATAGCTATTTAGGATTGCAGATACCTTAATCTATTAGTCATAAACAGATTCCAGACTTCGCACTGCTACCCTTGACTACAATGTATCGAGTAATCTTCAGTATAATGTTTGCTTAACAAGTGATGTTTTTCCTTTTGTACTGTATTTGTAATTTGCTAGTATACTGTGGGTAGCTGGCTTATTATGAACACATGTTACAGCTTCAAGTCTTTTGTTTACTTTTTCTTTGTTATTTAATTCAGCCAACATGGTTACCTAGCAACCCATAAGACTTATGTTAAAAAAATGTGATTTTCAGTTTCATTTTTCTACGTAATTAGATTTTTGTTGGCAGTTCTAACTGCAGTAAAATCGTTTTTAGGCCAGAAATATACTATTTAAAACATTTGAAGAAAATCGTCGGAGCCGTTTTCGAGATCTTGTTTGCAAGCAAGCAAGCAAGCAAGCAAGCATACATACATACATACATACAAGCAAACATTGCTCGTATTAGAGTATAGGATTAAAGTTACAAGGATTACCAACAAGGTGCAGCACTATTATTTTTTTTTTAATTTATGACAACAGCTAATTTAAAGGTGAGTGAGCGTAGCGAACGAACTTCAACCAGGACGTGATTGAGCCATGCGAACGAGCTCATCTTGAAAATTAAGAAGTTAAACGGGGCAAAGCCTGCGGGTATAGCTAGTCAAATATAAAAGACTAAGTTAATGATAATATATTTTATTGATACAGCCATTTTTAAGTTGAACAATGGACAAAGCGAATGAAATCTTTTTAGATTAATACTTCTGTAGGCTATTGATAAAATACAATCAGCGGGCTATTGTACGATGACTGCAAATGTACGATTGGGTGGGCCTGATTGGCTATTGTAGGATGAAAAATACTCCCGTCGCAGCAAACCTGCACACTAAGCGAATTTCCATTTAGGCCTGATAACTAAAATATTCCCTAACAATTTTCAGATTTATTTTTTATTTAAATAATTTTAATTTTAGTGAGTAGCCTAGTTAGGTTTGCTGCTACTGGGAAGATTATTGAGGTGAGTTTTTTTTATTGAAATACTAGCTGGCCCGACAGACGTCGTCCTGTCCTAATGTGGTTTTATGTCAATGCTCGTTCATTTTCAAGATGAGCTTGTTCGCATGGCTCTACAGTATCACATCCTGGTTGAAGTTCGTTTGCTACGCTTACTCACCTTTACGTTGGAGCTCGTTCGCTGCGCTCACTTGCACATATATGAATTTGAACAGATGGTGTTTTTGGCCTCTGGGGACCTCAAAATTCAAAAGTAAATCGGTGCCAGGTCTAGGTCTTACCATGAGACCTACGGTAATAGCATATTCCCTAGATATGGGAAATTCGCTAAAAGCAAAGAATGATTCTGTAAGAATGAAATAAGTTAACATAGGCAACATAGTTTTAAAATGGGCAGACTTAGGCCTAACTGGCTTTCTGAGTATTATGTTATAACTGGGTATTTTTATTTTGCACTTAATGGGACTAAGTAGAAAAGTTACTGTATTCCACATCCACAACTGCAACAAGCTTCAGTAGGCTACAATTTTTAGACCTAGGTATGAAACTTAAAAATGCTATTTTATTTCATTTTACATTTCAACGGACAACTCTATTTTGATATTGGTGCAAACTTTAGACAAAGACTTTCTCAGGACTAGTGCTTATAATGGCTGATAGTGGTAAAGAATAAGTTGATTTAACAAAAAACAATAGCAAGGTATACGACAACAAGATCCTGGCAAACATGACAGGTGAAAGTGACAAGTTGATTGAAAAACAATACTGTAAGTTGCTTACAACAAAACAAATACAATCACTAGCTTCAATTTACTGGATATAAATATCTCACACTAAATTAAATTGTTATTACACTAGAATGACAAAAAAACCTTTGGTTTTAAGGTGTTGTTTAGTACTTTAACACTTTTTCAATGAAATGGCGACCATACAAAGTAGGCTGTATTTTAAGCCAAGTATGAATGGAGATGAGTGTAGGATGAGTGGCGCCATCTTGTAGTCTTGTTAGTAACTAAGGATAAAGGATTCTTTGTCGGCCTTAGTCACTAACAAGACTACAAGATCGTGCCACTCATTCTACACTCATCTCTATTCATACTTGGCTTAAAATACCTACTTTATATGGTCGCCATTTGATTGAAAAGTATTAAAGTATTAAGGCCGACTTATTCCTTAACAGAGCTGTTAATTAATAGCCCATACAGCTAATGGCAACTAAGGGACCTACAGTTTATATTGGAATCCGAACCACATTTTTGCCTTGGTAACTTATATACGAATTGGTCTAATTTTTCAGGATAGTACTACGGATAGTCGTAGTACTCATTTGTGCGGACGTTAATACACACCAGGGAGTGTCGCATCCACAGTGTATGTCTATAAATATCCACAATTCGTAACCTCCTAGTAGTTGGATTACAGGTCGACGCCACCCATCCCAGTTTGCTCTATACGGATGTTTTATACGATAGTGAATGCTAGCACAGTAAACTTATAGTTTTAATAATGCCAGAGTACCCTCGATAAAACCTTTTTTCTTACTTTTAACCCTCCAACTGCTAGTTATATTTGCCCTTGGTGCTAAGCATTTTTTAGGCAATTTGCGGCAATCAAAAGAAAATTAATAATAAAGTTTCAAAATTAAACAAACCATAACATATTATATATTTTCTTGTTCAGCATAAAATTATCTACACAAACATACCATATTATTGCATGGTTATGTTTCTATAAAAATATTTTTAAAGATGTAAACAAACAAAATATATAAATTTGTTTTCATTTTGTAACTTTGCACATCATAAAAATACAATTATTTTGTTCTGAACTAAAATTGAAAATAGCCATTTTGTAGCGAATTTACAAAGGAACACGAAAATATATTACTTTTATGCACATAAAATAATAAAAAATAAATATTATATCTCATTTATATACAGACACTCTCACCCAAGGATCAAGAGTAGGCATAGGCATAGGCCTAGGCCTAGGATGTGTACGTTTTCATTACCAACACGGAACAAATCTTCATCAGAATCACTAAGATCCTCACTAAAACACATACGGATGTCACTAACTTACTATCCCTTATTTACGTAAAAACACTAAATAATTACATTATAAACCGCTTTGGATGACATAAACAAACAGACTCGGTAACTACGCAGGTTAGCACTGTTTGTAGATAGCAGACAGCTGGCGCGACGATGTCAATTTTGCAAGTCGTTTTACAAAGCAGCCAGTTGGGTTAAAGCATTAGAGACAGGTATCGGGAGAAAGCCTGAAATCTGACGTTTACGGAGATACCAAACTCAATCCAGTTTCTTGTACACTGGAACGGAGTGAAGTAGATTATACGACACCTTACGTATCAACTCGCTCGAGTCGACTAGCAGCCGGCCGGGGTGTGGCAATCGACTCGCTCGAGTCGATCAGCAGCTGGAGGGTTAATTTAGTCACATCTTTTAAACCCTAATATTTGTTAAAATGCCTGCAAAGAATGGTCCACAGAGAGAGTTTAGGATTCCTCATTCACACATTTAAGTTTGTTTAGGCTACCTAGAGTAGGACTAGGTACCGATACAGTTTACTTCTTAGGCCTTACTCCTCTTATGAGTAACTTAGGCTAACCTGTGTTTTCCTTATGATTTCATCCAATTAACGTAGGTAGGGTACCTATTTGAAAACGCTACCGACTGAAAACTCCTGAGAAACACCAAATCAGCGTTGAAAGATGGGGACCCAAGAAGGTATATAGGTTATACTAATCCAAATCATTTTGTAGCTTCTTCTACATTAGGCCTAACTTATCAGCGAGTTGATGGACTTAACTATAAGTTAATGCTCTTAGGCTGGATTAAGTTAGTAACAGATACTTTTTTGCCGAAGAGCATTGCAGGGTTCGGCTTTGGAATGTCAATAAGATAGCCGACGCATTGATTTTTAAGGATCAACCCAAAAACCATCTAAAACTCATGAGCACTGTCAACTACTTGGTAGCCTACCTAAGTACTACAACTTAGGCCTACATTTGGTTTAACTTTTCAACAACAATAGAAGTCTGGTGAGATTGAACTTAAAACACATTATTTTGGGCTTAGGCTATCCATAGCTAAATTATATAGCTAAAAATGAGCAATGAAAGAGAAAATAAGTATATAATTGAAGTATTGCCTTAAATTAACCATAGGCCTAAGTTACCTTTATAAAATTTCAGAGCGAGTTTGAATAAATCCGTGAGAGGAAATCCCCATTTGGAGATATTTTCTGAATCTTGATCTAAGTTCAACTGTTTTAAGCCCGATACAATTATAGTATCTTCCTTACTGACATTATGAAAGTTATTTGTAGTAGGTGTCGGTTCTCCTGAACCGTAATCGGCAGACATCTTTGTTGTCGTTGTTTCAGTTGTTTGTTAGTTACGTCGTTACGTCACGTCAACGCACAGGCACAAGCAAGACGATTTTATGTCATTTCTTCGTGGACAAGTCTGTTTTCATAAAAAAAACAAGTGTCTATGGACAGTACAAAAAGTAATTGTACAAGCTGCCAGCTGTGACGTCTGACGGGGTCCGCGGAATTGGCTAACTCTGGAACTCGCTAACCCCATGTTAAATGCCCTATCTTCAAATTTGGTCGATGAGAGGAACTCGCTAACTTGTTCGGTTTCGGAATTGGCTAACTCCGGAACCCGCTAACCCGCTCTAAAGCCGGGTTAGCGAATTCCGTCCTCGTACGGAAGTCGCTAACTCGGTCCCTCGGCGGAACTTGCTAACTCCCAATCAGAAGCCTCGCGGGCCGTCCAATGGGAGCCAAGCACGAATATTTTTGGCCAGTGTTGCCGAAAGTGTACTACCTATATCGTATCGGTACCATAATGTCGTATCCTACGATTAATTAGGAGTAAGAACAACGTAGTCGATAAAATAAATATATTTGGAAGTATGTTTAACATTATTCTTATGGTTATTAGGGTGGAAAATGCATTATAGTCTTACCATAGACTAACCAACACAAGTAAACTTTACATCCCTTTTTAAACTTTGAAGCTCGTTTTTCGTGTCTAGTTCATGTCCGGTGACACTGATCGCTAGTGTCGACAAAATTGTGTTTCTATCATTTTATAGTTAACTTCATGATTTGTTCCTTACTGTTTGGTTATATAACTAGGGGACGTGTTATTAGTTGTGATTAGAACGTTTTATTTGGTTAAACGAGGTTTTAAATTACTGAAAACAAGAAACAATTGTAAACAAAACACGACCTTTAAAGACAGTGCACCGGACAGAACTAACAATACAACTGTCTTCAGATGATCCATAAGGATTAGAAATGTACTAATATAAGGGAGTATGTTTTATATGTGGGTTTCTTACTTAAATAGTAGCTTATTGGTATGAAAAAGATAAAAATGCACATTTAATTTGGATCTATTACATGTTATGAAATATCTATTTTCGTAGTCCGCCATTTGTTTCTTTTATTCGAATAAATACCATTTTGTGAACTTCTGCAAATAAAATTTTTGAGTTCGTATTTTATATACTGGGCTTGTAGTAACCTTAAATCATAAATCATAATAAAATTTACACGTTAAACGTCATTACAGAATTACATTGTAGTGGTTACGTATTTTTAAATATAGCTATTGTATTTAAATAAATATTTATCAATACATTATAAAGTGGTAGGCCTAATGTATTCATGGATTGCATTAAAAGTTGGTCTATGCATAAATACAACTTGTAAATTTCTTTTATCGTAGGCTATTAGTGTAGAACCCGGGTCATCCTCTTAATTTTGTTGAATTAATATTAATTTTACGTCTTTCAGTAGGCTTACTTTTTAAAAGTCTGGAGTTTTTTTTCCAGGCTGGTTCTATCTTATCCAAAAACAAGCTATTGTCTATTGTGTAGCTCAGTACTGGGGAACAGTGAACCGAGCAATGGCTTGCTATAGTTTATATCGTTTGTGAAAGCAATATAAAGGAAACCTAACACTCAAATCAGGAAAATCCGTCAATTAGTTTATTAAAAATCGTGAATTAAAATAACCCTGTCACGTTTTATTATATGAATATTATATCTTCTCCTATTTTTTACTAGTGGTGCTTAGGTGTACAATCTAAAAACTGTTTTAAAACATGTAACATTATTGCTAAAAAATTCAACACATTTTAGAATTAGGCAACTATTTACTAGGCCTACAATGCTTTGGTTCAAACTATTAGGCCTAGATAATAACTTAGTGTATGTCATCATATGTGTACACGTAAGTTGGACGGTTCAAAGACGAACATTAAATTTAAAATCTATGAATTAATTATGAAAGTTACGATGGTTGATGACTGTATTAATTAATGGTTTTGGTTTATTACGACATTACAATTAAATCTGTTTTCCGTGTTTAAGAACTTGCGTGTATTTTAGCTTAATTTCGTAGAGGTTTAATTATTTATTACCAATTAAACTAAATTTTGAATATTTTCCATATTCTATTATTTTCTTTTATACAGTACTGATGGCATTTATATTTAAGATCGAAATCATAAACATTTAACTGGCATTGTACAGTTTAATAAAAAACATTTTTTCATGATGTTTTAATTGTCTTTTAATTACTTTGGGCTAGTTATCTGTTAAAAGTGGAATTGATAACAAAATACCCCCGCCGCAGCAAACCTGCAGACTAAGCGAATTTCCATTAACCTGATTGGATTAAATGCCTCCATAAAAATAGCACATTTATTTCCTATTTAAATAGAATTAGTTTAACGAGTACTTAGGTTTCCTGCAACAGGGAGGGTAAAAAAGATTTTTTTTTTATAAAATGATAATAGTTTAGTAAGAAATAAAAGTATTTTCCAAAATCTATCAAAATATGTTCATAAAGAAGCAAACTACAACAGTTGACTTATTCTCCATAAGAATAACATGGGAATTTTAAAATAACAATTTTTTTGAATTTTCTCCGTAACAATTAGGCGCATAATAACGCTTCAATATACTAAATTATTTGTTTTTTTAAGCTCTACAAAATGGTTTAAAAATAAATTGTAAAATTTCGTGTTTTTATGGTCAAAAATGGGAAAACCCTATTTTTACCCCATAAAACCCCCCATAAACCCCCGTTCCCATAGTCCGATCATGCTGGTTCGCGAACTCATTCAAGTTTATCCCACCTTACACCTTCAAACCAAATTTTATCAGAATCGGACAAAAATTACTCAAGTTATCGTGCGGATGGACACACACACACATATATATATATATATATATATATATATATATATATATAGATATATAAAAATTTGAACGAATGGTGTTTTTGGCCTCTAGGGACATCAAAATGAAAAAGTAAATCGGTCCCGGGCTTAGGTCTTACCATGAGACCTACGGTAATAGCTACTTCCCTATAGGGAAATTCGCTAAAACAATAACATTTACTGTATCTTTATAGACACTGACATTTTGAAATACGGCAGTGTACGATTATTTTGTCGTACAAGGTTGGCACCGCTCCGAGCAGTGGGCGCGGCCGGGTTAGCGACTTCCAGAGTTAGCGAATTCCGCCGCGAGACAAAATCGAGTTAGCGGGTTCCGGAGTTAGCCAATTCCTGACTGAGACGGTTAGCCAGTTCCAGAGTTAGCCAGTTCCGCCACACGACCGAGTTAGCGAGTTCCTGAGTTAGCCAATTCCTACGTCTCGTCTGACGTCATAAGTTCTTGATTCCAGAATTGCAGAATTTATTGTACTGGAATATTCAAGTTTACAATGAAATATAGATAGAAAAGATAATATACTAAACACTTCTAACTAAAACAATTTGACTTTCTAGTAAAATCTAAACGGAAACAGAAATCAGTGACTATCAAGAATCAAGAATACATTGCATTAAAATACAAAACAAGCATGTTTACTTTCAGGCCAGTGACGTCATTTACTAATGATCCATTCCGTCACTGTTGTAGTATCCGTGGTATGGACCGTTACCTTGAAAAGTCAAATGTGTAAATGGCCGAGGATGGCGTTAAAAAAAAAAACACGCCAAAGTCACCCTCAGCTGTCAGCTGTCAGAGACGAGGACGAGACAGAGTGTCAGTCAGCAGTCAGCGTCGGCACACACACAGCAGCTGGAGCTGTCACCCTGCTGGCCTGCTACTCCCCATCCCCCACTGGTAAAACGTCAAACTCAACAGCAACACAACACCTAGGTGAGTTTGAGGTTAGAATTAGTTATTGATAGGCCCTACCTAGTACCTACAATAAAAAATGGGTACAGTTTCTTAACTGGGCTATGCTAATAGAATAGAGTTTAATTATAGATTTCAATATAGATTGAACTATATATTGATTGGATTAGTAAACCTTCATTCAATTTGGCTGCACTTTACTTGACGTCCTACACTCATTCGATTGGTTTTTCGATTCAATATTTTCATTCGATTCTTTCATTCGATATATCGTTTGGTTAGTTAGGTTAGGTTAACCTTACCTAACTAACCAAACGATATATCGAATGAAGCAATCGATTAATCGATATATCGATCGATATTTTGAGACCTAGTGGGGCGGATTCCTGAGAGTTATTTTTAACGCCATATAGATGTTATGGTATTTATCACCATCCAAAATGTTATGGTATGTTCATAAAAAGATTATGGGTGTGTATTTTTTGAGGTACAGTTTCTTAACTGGGCTATGCTAATATTGATTGAAACTATCAATTAATAATCAATATTTTGGCTGCACTTTACTTGACGTCCTACACTCATTCAAATGAAAATATCGATCGATATATCGATTAATCGATTGCTTCATTCGATATATCGTTTGGTTAGTTAGGTAAGGTTAACCTAACCTAACTAACCAAACGATATATCGAATGAAAGAATCGAATGAAAATATTGAATCGAAAAACCAATCGAATGAGTGTAGGACGTCAAGTAAAGTGCAGCCGCACGAGCTGCACTTTACTTTAGGTCCTACACTCATTCGAATGAAAATATCGATAGATATATCGATAATATGTTCTTTCGAATGAGTGTAGGACCTAAAGTAAAGTGCAGCCCATTTATTGTTATGGCCAGTTAATCTGACAACATTGGTCAAAGCTGAAGTAGTCAGGCATCTAAACTGTCATTAGGATCTAAGATCTATACTGTTTTCATCGACTTTAGGGCCTAGGCCTACTACTCTATTGTCAGTTGCACTTTAGTTTAGGTGAAACTTAAAATAACCAAAACCCAAACATTGATTGTCACGATCAATAATTCAATGGAGTCAGATAGGCCTAAGTTTATCACACATAGATAGACAGGTACTTTAATTTTACTCTACTTTAAAATTTAAGTTTATCAAAGTTTTGCTGGCAAAACAAGTTGAATGTGAAAGATTGAAGTGCCTTGCTGGATTCTTTCCTTCTTAACTCTAACCCTTTTTTGTGTTCCAATATTAACTTAAGATAAATTAAGATTTCCAATTTTAGAGCGTCTGTTGACTGTTGTTAATAGAAATCCCCACTAAACATCGGCTACACTCTAACCGAAGAAGGCAGATGTTAATGCCAGTCCACAATATCATCTCCCATGGCAGCTATAGATAAAGTCAAAGTCATCGTTGTAGGAGACTCTGGTGAGTTTATTTAACCTATTTCAAAAATTTTGTCAATGTCAATGCCTATAAGTTAATTGGTCAACCTAAATCTTTCATAGCCTTTGTTAAAACTGAACTTAACTTAGAAACTATAGACCTACTAAACTAAAAAGTTAAAACAACTAAGATTGCATAGGATAATTTATTTACTCTATTAGAAGAAATCACATGGGGTGATGTTGGGAAAACTAGGAAGCTAGTAGTATCATGGCCGAATTCATGCATTGCATCTTCTAGTTAACGATTTTAAATTTAGTTCACATTAGCTCAGATGAACAATCTCAGCAACTATTATGATTAAAACTAAAACTTTATTTCAATATTGCTAATACAATAAGACAGGAAAAACATCGGACATTGAATATGGCTTATGTATGAAATTGTATAGCACTATTCTAGACACCCTTATTGATGCATTTGGACAGGAGTTGGCAAGACGTCTCTGGTACACTTAGTCTGCCATAGTGAGCCTATCAGTAACCCTTCATGGACCGTTGGATGTGGGGTGGATGTGAAGCTACATGAATACGAAGAGGGCACGCCTAAGCAGAGATCGTACTTCGTAGAACTATGGGACGTTGGAGGCAGCAGCAGTCATCGCAACGCTAGACATGTCTTCTACTCTTCTGTTCATGGTACGAAACATTTAGTTAGTAGGCTAGACTATCTTGAGAATACCATATTATATTCACAATGTTGTCTGAACCATTAGAACTAGAGTGTGAAATAACTATCCTGCTGATCACATATTCCTATTAACAGCAGGCATCCCAAATTAATCTAGTGCTGTGTTAATAGATGCCTACTGAGAATAATATTTTATTTTTGTAACGTTATCTGAACTGTTAAAAGAGTGAAATAGAGAAACATACTCCAGGCATTACTCCAGGCTAGGCATAGAAGGTACTGTACTGTAAAAATTTGTCAGACTAAACATAAATGATAACACTTAGATGAAATCCATTGGTGATTGGCTGGATTTGAACCTGGGACCTTGGGGACTAAAGTTCTGTGCTCAACCATACACTACACTAGCTCATTACCCTACAAGCCTACATGCATACCCATTCTGGTTGCCCCATTTATTATTTTATATTTTCGTACTATAGTTTGGCCGCTTAGAAAGCGACCTCCTCCAGCATTGGTTTAGCATTAGCGCGCAGGTAGTTTTCTATAGGCCTATGTCAACTAATGTGCTTAGCCAATACTCTCTGATGGAGTCTTATATCAGGACGTAATATTAGTGTTTAGGTTTTGTATGTGCCTTAGTCCATGAACTGTAATTTTCTTAACTGATAACTTTTAAATTTTTCTTCTTTAATTTTCTTCTCCTCGACTCTATTCCTTTTCAAAAAGTTCCTTCCCAGGCAAATGGCTGTCCTTTAAATTACAACCTTGTAGTATAATAATATTCTTTTGCAGGTATAATTTTAGTTCATGATTTGACAAACCGTAAGTCCCACCAAAACTTACAAAAATGGTTAGCCGAGGTTTTGAATCGAGAAGAGGGAACTAAAAAAGAAGACTTTGACCCTGAACATTTTGTTGGTGCTACCCAGGTACGGTTAAAGTTTAAACCTCATGTTTTTGTCAAACGTATAGTAAGTTAACTCTACTCAGTATACAAAAAGGCCTTTTTAGGGATGTACATAGTTAACTCTTTTTTGTAACAAGTTAATGACCAAACCAGAATGATAATCAAACCAGAAGCTTACGATACATCCTTCTATCAGTTTGGTTAGGTTAAAAAGTCTGCATATTTGACGGAAATGTACATCACCGCAATCTGTCGAATGTCGATGGCTCATTTCAACTACGTCCATTTTGATTTAAAAACTGGCGCTAGCTGTAACACGGGGATGGAATGTCTAATAATCAATAATGAAAGCTGATACATAAAAGGAGGATAGCAGCTTGAATTGTAGAGGTTGACTTCAAATTTTTGAGTCAACAGTTTGATCTATAGCAACAAAATTCAAATTGTAGAGGCTGCATTAAGCGTAAAAATTACTTTGAATCATCGGTATATTATTTTTCAAATTTTAGAGGTTTTCTGAGGGGAACAGACAAACATTTCTAATTATAGAGGTTTTCGAATTATCGAGGTTCGAGTTAGCGAGGTTCTATTGTATCAGCTTTCGGACATTTCAGACTGTGAATCGGATCCTCCAAGTGAGGAAGGGGTCCAACCCTCAAAGCGAAAGCCTTATACAGATGCTTCTAAACGTGGGCGGGATCTTAAGTTTTAATTCCACAGAGATTGTTGTCTACAGGGAGGGAAAAAACCCGTCCATGTCTTTTCAGGCTACAGTTGACTCAGAGCAAAACTTACTTTTAGATTCCCATCCTGGTCGTTGGAACAAAGTCTGACCTCGTAGCGCAAATAAGGAACAACAATCAACCGAGATCATCTTTTATTGCTGAAGAGTGTGGAGCTGATGAAATATTTTTGGTAAGTATTATTTTATTTGTATTTAGTGCTTTTTACGCCATTGGTATTTTATAGTTTTTTGCAGGGATTTTTCTAGGGATGGTCAAACCCTTGTTACCCGTTATTGGAAATTTATTAGCTTATTGGTCGACCCCTTACGAGCATTATTAATTGTTAGCCTAATGACTTATGGTATCTAGGTTCTGAATCAATCCAGCGACCTTCAGATTTGAACATGAGCACTACCACTTGGCTACCCTACAATAATTGTCCAAACCCATGAGACAGTTTTGTCAAATTACTTTCATTTATTAGCGAATTTCCCTAGGGAAGTAGCTATTCCTGTAGGTCTCATGGTAAGACCTAGGCCCGGGACCGATTTACTTTTCATTTTGATGTCCCCAGAGGCCAAAAACACCATTCATCTAAATACAAGTGAGAAATCAGAAGTGATTGTAAAAATAAATGGCCTCACCAAAACCACATGAAAGGTGCCAAATCTTGTTAGTAGTAAACAATAAATAAATTTATCATCTTTGAATACAAAACACCATTACACCATGTTGGGTTTAGTTCATTTACGTGGAAATAGACTAACAGACTGTGAGTCAGTGTCCAAACCAAACTGATCTGAACGAGATATATTGTACTAACATTTTCACACTCAAGACATGAAAGGTTTTGGAGTTGATTGAAAACACTTTTGGACTTTAAATACTTTTTCACCACACTATGATGTTGTTAGCTGTTTTACATACGTTAATTGGTGGCTGAAAGTTACGTTTTGCTGGCCATGCCAGCTGTCATCGTCATTTGGGGACCGAGCAGGTTTTTACATCCCTAGGGCCGCAAAATCAGCTGCCCGCTTACATAAATGCATATTAAATACACAATCAGTATCCATAGCATTGCAATGGAATTGTTTTATTGTCACCGCTGCCTAGCAACTATTTATCATTATTTTTGCTGATTCCTCAAATTATTTCTTCACATAACCTTAAAGTTGTAGTTGTGTTGACTAACAGTGTGCATTATTATTGTGGTGAAAAGTGGTAATAGGGTATAGTCTGGTGAAAAATAGTGTTCGTACCACGGACTGAAATGGTTTTGCAGCTCTCCATCGTTTTAAGTCCTCGACTTCGTCTCGAACTTAAAAACTATCTCGAGCCGGCAAAACCCAATTTTTGGCCCTAGGTACGAAATATACTATTATAGTTGGTTATTTGAATTTTATACGTGTTTCAGGATTGTAGTCAGAGAAGAGCTTTTGCTGCAGGAACGACAAACGCTGTTCACATGTCAAGGTTCTTCGACAAGGTTATAAAGCTGCGTTACCACACGGGAGCGACTCACGGACCGTTCGCCAGCTCTAGACGCTATTCACCTTATGTGTCTCCGCCTCCTACCTACACTAAACTGTTCCATAATGACTAATACGCAGGAGCGACTGAATTACACAATGATCTATACAACACAGGAGTGACCCACGAAATGTTCGCCCTATGCCTTCAACTGATGTACATTAAACAGTTCCACAATGACTGATGTAATAACTACCCTTGCTTATTTAATCTAGTATTAATTACTTCTTGATACTATCTGTAAAACTGTAAATAAGATTGTAACATATTGCACATTATAAAGTATTTTTGATTAAAATCATGTTACTCTTATGTATTTGTTTTACTTAGATCCAAGTCATTTTAGCAGCTTTTAATAGTGTGTTGGTTTTGAGCTGTTGGTGGAAATTTTGAATATGAGGTGAAATTTGAAGGTAAAAGAATTCTTAACTAATTTTAAATACATTCCAAACTATTGGACGGTTGTAAATTTGATCGTAGAACTATTTTTAATGCTGAGAGATTTGAAGATTGCACATAAATTTTGTTTTTGGGAAACTTCCGATTATTGCTTTTGAACTTGACATTATGCAAAATATTTCTTGGAAACAGGATTGGTGCAAGTTTATCCACTAGTAGCAGCTAACTAATTTTGCAGTTTTTAAAAAGAATTAAGTAATTTAAAAGAATTAAGAGTCTCTGTAGGTTTTAACTTAGCTGATAATGAATATAAAAGTCTTACAAATGTCCTCATTGATGATTTGAAATAATAATAAAAACATCAGGCTGTTGATAGGTCTCAGAAATATTGATATCTAAGGTAAAAGCAATCCTAAAATATTAGAATTGCCAGACTATAAGATAATATAAGACCATAGACTAACCAACACAAGCGTATGTTTAATGGTAAAACTACCATTTCCTATTAAACTAAAATGAAAAAAAAAAACCACTCGTGTTTTCATACACTATTTAAGTCTTTGAACATACAAAACACTTTTAAATAAATGAACACACATGATTTAAGAACTTTCCTCTTCGGGTTTAGACGGAGCACCTTTGTATTCCTGAGTATACTTTATGATTCGGTTCGCCTCTCGTATCCCACTGTCTCTCGCACCCTGAACCGTGGCGTAGCTCTGAGTCGAGGTGTGTTCTCCAGCAAAGAACAGCACCGGAGTACAAGCGCAAGGTTCAGGTGTCGGGTCCGCTAAGTCCTTGATGTGGCCAAGACCTGACTCTGCACTGATGTACGTAAACGCTCCTTGCGAGTAGAGGTTAGTCGACCATTTAGATCTCAGAATGCTGGAGGGTTTTGATATCGAAGGGTTTCCCAAGAAGGACTGTAATTGGTGATGGACATCGTTCATGATCTGATCTGCGTCCAGAGTTTCCATAGTGATCGCTTCTTTCCCAGCCACAACTCCACTTAGGACTGAACCGGTTTTGTCATCAATCGTCAACGAAGTCAGACCTTTGATCCAGCCGTCACATTTAGAATAGTCTTCAGGATCCCATGCAAACATGATGTTTCCTTCGTCCTTCAACCACATGGGTTCTGGGAATTGCATAAAGAGGTTGTTCAGATGTCCAAAACCCAAACTGCTTATAGCGTTCATTTTCTTAGCAGGTAAATTCGGAACGAAGAACGTCTGCGCTTTGTCTTTCAAAAACCCAAGAGGAGTAGTCACTATGACATAGTCGGCAGGAAACATTTCTCCTCCGGCTACTTGAACACAAGCTCTCGGTTTGTCCGGTTCACAAACGTCCCAATTTATGCACTCCACTGGTTTACAATATTTAATTGTACAATCAGGAATGTCCCTTATGAGTGGAGCGAGTACTCCGACAAACCCGACTGGAATTTTTACATTTCCTCCAGGCAGGGACGGTAAACTTCCGAAATACTTGGTGTTGACACAATCCAAACTCGATCCTACCTTTTCTTTAAGAGAGTTCAAATAGGCATTCATCACCATCAGCGCTCCTTTCCGTTCGCTTTCTGGAAAGAACGTAATTTCCTTACGGATATGAAAGTTCATAAACATCTCCAAGTTAGCATCTTCCTTGCAAACTTCTTTGCCGTATAGAGACATTGCTTTGCTCTCTATCTTGCGGAACGCTACAAAAGCTTTGTGAGCTAACGTTGGATCAATGGGTTTTCCTTGGCTTGAGTAGAACAAACCCTTGGGAGGCCCAGTTCTTGCTGCAGGGGATTGCAGCAGTTTCTCCATTACAGCTAGACTGTATACAGAGTTGGCTGCACAAGCTCCTTGTATAGAGGACGCTCCCAACTCAGCAACACTGTTGGTGAACCAGCAAGACTGGATACGTCCTCCAGGCCTGTGAAAATCATGTGCAAGATGACGCTGGTTGTTAACATTTTAACATCTAAGTTTGGTTTTTCATTGAAAATACAATATTAAAAAATATGTTAAGCTACTACTTGGAAAAAAGAGAAAATGAAAAATGTGTTCAGTTACTTATGTACATCAATAGTTCCAAAACAAATATTAGCCTATTGTTAGTCTCTGGGTTCTGTTATTTTCAGGTAAGCTGGCTGAACTACTTTCCTTTTGAAAAATTATCTACTATTAGATTTTGTTTAGGGTAGGAAAAGCAGGCTTACCTATTCGAACAGTGGGTGAAGCTCCTCAATAGTTAGTACCTACATAAATAAACACAAATCACTGAAATATTTAATTTCCACTGACCATGTTGTTCACAAAGAGGGGGGAGTTACAATGGACTGTTGTTTCTGGGAAAACGAAATATTTAAATTTGTCTGTTTATTAGTTTGTTGCCTATTGAGAACACTCAACCAATGTACTGGTAAGCCTACTCTTTTATAAATAAAAATTGAAGAGTCCTTTAAAAAGGATTAAGTTCAGATAGCTCACTTTCCAGAAAAATAGACCATAGGGGCTCATAGATAGGGCACACAATAACATGTCACAAAACTTAATACTGATGTTTTGTCAAAATATTTATCAGAAATAAATTTATTTTTTGAAGAAGTCCTATATTAGGATAAAATATCAGTTTTTTTGCGACATTTTATTTCGTATCTATTGTCCCTGGGTCCTAATTATCTCATAGCTCCCTTTCAACAAATTCCCAATCAAACCTATTCTGGCCCCGAGTACTTTGCAAAAATCTGTACCTTAACATTTGTTATTTGAACTTATAAGTGTTGTATAACCTGTCAGTGGCCTCAAGAATGGTGACGTCACACAGACCATGTTGGACCAGTCTGTGAGCGGCCGAAAGTCCCGCTATACCAGCTCCTATCACGACCACCTTGGGTTGTGGCCAGGAGTCAGGGATTTTGTCAGGGTCTTCCTGCTGGGGCTTTGGAGTCTCCTTGTCCTTACAAGGCTCCTCCTCGGAAGCTTTTGTGTTCCAGAAATATCTCCCTGGACTGAAGTTTCCGCATAATCTGCAATTAGTAATAAAATGTGTATTCTATTTTTCATGAGTTTATAAAAGGAGCCCTACTGGTTATGTGATGGAATTTTTAGGTACCGGTAGGCTACCTGATAAAATTGGGATATTTGAAAGTATTTAAAAAGCGTCCCAATGAGATGGTGTTAATGCTAACTTCCAAAGACAATACAACATATGACTTTTTTAGTGTTGTTTGTCAATGGCTTTGGGTAAAAATATGAGAAAAATTAAAATAAAATGTCATATTTTTTATATACTTGCTTACCTTACCAACACTCATCACCAATACAAAAGCTCTTGATCTTACAGCATAAATAGTAGGTCTAAATTGTAAACATAACTGCAGTTTTTTTGTCTATTTTTAATACTGATTGAATGACCTAGATGAGGAACCCAAATTTTTATGGATGACACTTAAATTGTTTATGTGCTGTCACAAAGTAATTACAACAGATGAATCTGATATTAATACATTTTAGATCTTACCTTGATCTCACAAATAATCTTGAAATGGTCAACATTCTGAATAGTTTTTTGTTCAAATGTAAGTCAAAATGTTTAAATTTATCCAACAACAATTTAAGCCAAAACAATGTTTTAGAGCGTCAGCTGACAATAAAAACAGGTTTTCATGTGAAATGTTTTGATTACATAGAAAGTCAATGAGAACATTTATAATTATAATTTTTTCTTTGCATTTACTGTAAAAAATGTATTGACAAATACTTCTTTAAGAACATAAATCTTTCATCCAACCATATTCTATTCTATGAATGTGGGTAATTCTATTTCTTCAATCAATTAAAAGTTAAAGTAATATGTTTATCGTACTAGTTACCTATGTGAGCTTAAATATCTTTGGGCAAGATGGCTGTATCAGTTATTAAAAGTGTATTATATACTAAAGTTATTTGCAAAAATAATTGGCGTTGTATACTATGCTAAATCTAGCATAGGGCTAAATGGATGCTGGCAAAATGTGCAAGTCGGGAGTAGACAAGTCTTCTCGGAACAAAACTTTCTTGGCTAATAAATGGCCCCTAAGTGAGCTACGTCTTGTAACATGTTGAAGCAAACATTTTACATTTGGCCATGCCACTGGTCCTTAGTTGTGCTGTTACCTTTGGAGATTCCCCCCTTGAATATCTCTAGGGTTATTTATAGGCATGCACTGTGGATGCGATACTCCCCAGTGTGGATTAACGTCCGCACAGGTGAGTACTACTACTATCCGCAGTACTATCCTGATAATTAGACCAATTCGTAATTACCAAGGCAAAAATGTGGTTCCGATTCCACTATAAACTGTAGGTCCCTTAGTTGCCATTAGCTGTATGGGCTATTAATTAACAGCTGTGTCTAAGGAATGTCGGCCTTAGTCACTAACAAGACTACAAGATCGTGCCACTCATCCTACACTCATCTCCATTCATACTTGGCTTAAAATACCTACTTTGTATGGTCGCCATTTCATAGAACAGTATTATCAGTTTATTAATTGAAAAAGCGATTCAAAAACAATTTCTTTAGAGGCTTGAAAAGACAAATAAATAAACGGTATCAGCATTCTGACACATACTTTCTCCCATAAGTATGTCAACAACCTTTATCATGGGTAAGCGGTGAGAGTAAATATACGGAAATGGGATTTGTACAATTTTGTTCAGAATTTAAAGGACTATAACATACTAAAATTTTATCAAAATTGTTCGAGCCATTTTTGGAAAAATCCGATTTTTCCGTTATTTTATGGGGTTTTTATGGGAAAATAACATAATTTAAATAACTTTTAAACCGTAATTTTTACAGAAATGGGATTTGCACCATTTTGTTCAGAATATAAAAGACCATAACATACTAAATTTTTATCAAAATCGTTTGGACCCTTTTTGGGGAAATCCTATTTTTCCGTTATTTTATGGGGATTTATGGGAAAATCCCCATTAAAAATCAAAATTTCTAAAAAATTTAAAAAACTATCAAAATTGTAAGGACCATAACATACTATGTTGAAAAAAAAACCGGATTTTTTTCTAAAATCCTTTTTTCGTTATTTTATGGGGTTTTTATGGGAAAATAACATAATTTACCATAACTTTTGAACCGTAATTTTTTGAGAAATGGGATTTTCACCAGTTTCTTCAGAATTTAAAGGGCTATAACATACTAAATTTTTATCAAAATCGTTCGGGCCGTTTTTGAGAAAATTCGATTTTTCCAGTTTTTTATGGGTTTTTATGGGAAAATCCCCATTAAAAATCAAAATTTCAAAAAAATAAAAAAAGCGCCTGGAGATACCATGGATTAGAACCTACATACCAAATTTCATCGAAATCGGTCCACAGGTGTAGTCTCTAGCTCTGTACACATCCAGACACACACACACACACACACACCCACACACACACACACACAGACATCACTTCGAAAACCACTTTTTTGGGTCCAGGGGGACCCAAAACGAATATATCCACTCAAAACTCAAACTCGAAAATTTTGACGAAAACAATACTTTCTCCATATACTATGGTATAGGGGGAGAAAGTAAAAATGTTGCCTGTTTTATTATAAATCAGATTTTTATGTCCCACCTTCACATCCAAACACCCGCTCTAGCTTGGAATCGTTTTACACACTACTTCATGCTAGATTATGACATTATCACATATATACTTAAGGGATTGATGGGGTATGAACCCAGGACCTCAGGGATGGAAGGCCCACCCTTTACCACTGTACCAGCTCGCTCTCCAAGGTGTGTAAGCCATGTTAATGCAATTGTTGCTATAACTTTATTAGCTACATAAAATTATCAAATAACACACATGTGTTATGTACCTATAAAATATATATTTTAAACACATCTTTAACCAAGAACTCTGGCCATAACGGTGAAGTACTTCAGACAAAAGTTATCTTATCTTTGTAGGCATTGATAATAAACCTGTTCATACCACTAACATCAGCTTCATTGATTTTCAAAGGTAAACATGCATTTCTCATATAGAACTATTTTGATCAATAGTTTACAATTAGTTAATCACCTTTTATTGTTTCAGAAATAACTGGATTTTTTGTGATTTAAGTAAGTTGAGTTTGTTGTTTTATTGGGAAAGTGTTAAGAACTAAACACACTTCTACCCAGTGTTTGAGTAACCTGTATTTTTGATAGTTTCTAAATATCCAAAAGCAACTTGTACTGTTGACAAATTAGCTATAATTTGATTTATCCCACAACACAACATCAATACACTTTATAGTCTGTGTAGGTACTATATAACTGTTCTCAAAAGACACTAACATCTAAAATTTTGTTCTCAAAAGTCTTTTCAACTGTTTACTTCAAGTCTGCCATATTAGTTATCTTGAGTAAACGAACTCCAGTTTGCTAGTTACCTCTAGTGATAATTTAAAATGTGAATGATAACGATTGTCATTATGAATCATTTAGTTTCCTTTTCTTCCTAGGTAGTTCCCATCACTTGAAATTGTGGAGTTTCGTTATGTATTATATTTCAGAACTTTACGATACCAAAGTTTGTATAGCAATTTGTCTATCAATAGTTTCCGTCTATTTATTGTTACTTACTATAATATGAGTCAGCATCTGTCTTTTAACAGCTCTTTAAAACTTCAGAAGGAAGTGATTGAATTGTGTTAATTTCTGTTTTGTGTTGAAAAGTGATAATTTTGTGTGCTTAAACTTTGCATCAATTTGGATTTTCTCGGAACATTGGTAAGTTTATTGATATTGAAAGTCATTGTGTGTCTTTGAGTGTATTTATACACAAGCATTTTATAAACATTTCACAATCTAGCAGACATGTTTAAATTATTGTAACATCAAACACAAATCATATTTTTTGTCATACTGCAGCAAAAACAGCAGTTTTTAATACATTCGTTGTGGGTAGCCTTTAGTGCCTAGGGAGTAAAAATCAGCTGTTGTAAACACAGTTTTGAATTTTGATTGTAAGCAATCGCATATATCAAATCAAAACTATGTATTGGTTGTAGCTCATTTTTGCTGTCTCTGACAATAGTTCAACATATTGATAGTATAATCATAATGTACTGTAAACTAACTCAATCATAATAGACAAAATGATTATCACTTAAACAGCTGCTTATTTGCATTAGCAAAATTTAAAACAAGAGTTGGAAGTTGATTTGAGTGGTTATCTTTACATGAAAAGTTCAAAAGTATTTTTGTTTTCTTACTTGGTATACTTAGGTAATGTTGCAATATGACGAAATATTTAGTTCATCACATGGGCAAAACGTGTTTTTCCAACCCTCGCTTATTTTGCGTCCTTGGCTTTACCGAGTAAAACTTGAGCTAGTGTCGAAAAAAATCACTTTTCAGTTTTGAAATATACAATTGACCAACACAAGAAAATAGCTATTTACATTACAAGTGTAGTAAGAGCGTTTTTACATCACGCAAGTGAATGTTGTGCAACGAGCGGAAGCGAGTTGCATAATTCACCTAAGTGATGTAAACACGCTCTTGCGTAACGTGTAACGTACAAGATTTTACCTGACCCGACAATTTACATGGGTTTATGTACAATATTTTTCATTATCCATTTCACTCATCTTCTAACAGTAACGTTCTTTTACAAACAAAAGCTAGGTTAGGAAAATACTTTAAAGCATAACAATGACATTCAAGCGCACAGCTGATTTCTAGCGTTGAACGTCGTTGGCTCCATAGAGGTATATTTTTTAAGTTAAGCACTCAATGTTATTTAAATGGGTTTCTTTACATCACCGAGTGAGTTTTTGATACTTTACATCACTCGTGAAGTAAGGAAGTTGTATACATCACGCTTGGGATAGGGAAGTTTAACATGGCGGGTTAGGTAAACTAAATTACATTACAACCATGAATAGGTTTATAAAATGTTAAATGACAACTCATTTAATATTTTCCTTTTACTCTATGCATCCGTATAGGATATTCTCATAGTTTTCAACCAACAATAAATCTGATTAAATGTCATTGTTTCTTGTAGCTGAGTGGAGGTGCTCTTCAGGTTATTCAAAGGCTGCCAATTCAATCCTGAGATGAGTCAGTAGTTTTTTAATGATTTGAAACTGGACCCATTTGTTCTTGACGACTGGGCTTAAAATAATGGCTCTGTCAAAAGAAACAGCTGATCTTAGTCAGTAACAAAACTATCATCTCATTCGTTCAACATTATCCTTCAGTCATCTTCGCCTTAATATACCAATCTTGGTGTGCCGTCTATGAGTCTAATCTAATCCTTGTCCTAGCTAATCTAATAAAAATTAGTACAGTAGAAGTAAACAAGGACGCTGTTAAAAGTTATGTACAAACTTTATTTGTTCACATTGAAGATGAGTGTATATATATAATTATGTATTGGTAGCTTTGTTTACCTCATATCATTAAACACTTTATAATCCCATTATTTGCTGCAGGTAAAAATGCCGTCGATCCCAGTCTTACATAAAGGGCCATTTGCTTTGGACCTGGAAAAATCTGTCAGATATGTCATTTATGCATTTAAGGTAAGTACCATGTTATACCAAAATACTTTAAGATTGTGTGTTTTTATTTAACGTTCAATATGAGTCATTTTTGCCTGTTGTTTTTCTATTCTTTATTTTATGGGGGAATTATATTTGGGTTTTGAAGAAAACCATCTACAGCACCAATTATTTACAACAAACTAGATCTAGTTGATGCTTAGCATGCATCCAGAGTGACCAGTGAATGTCAGGGTTCTCTTAAAGATGGAGTTCTCGTTTTGCCTTAAAAATCAACGTTCAATTCAATTCAATTATTGAAGATGGGGACGCCACTATGTGCGTATTTTAACCCAAATATGAGTGAAGGATGAGTGTGATTAAGGGTTAAAAATATTGACTGAATCATCAATTAGAATTGTTTTCAATCCTTTCTGTTTTAACTACCAGCTGTTTCTAGTTTCTAACTGCTACTCTTTTGAAAATGTATATTGTAACAACTTAAATCAGGCCGCTTTCATGAGGCCTTCTTCAGTCACTGTTGGGACACGTAAGTTTGCAGTTGGTGGCAGCCAATCACAAGACAAGGCTAGTGCGACGTTGCCACATCGCCTGTTGGCAACACTAATTAAAATATACTAAGCAATATTTTCAAATCAGCTGGTATTATTAGATTTGGCAATTATTAGACCGGCTCTCATTGGTTCATTCAAAACCATATGGTAAATAGGCTCCTCCCTCAACTGCAAACTTACGTGGCCCCGACTGTAGATTCTTCTATTAAATAATTGGGTAAGAAAATGTGTATGAAAGACCAATGGAAATCAATAAATAGTTATGGATAATAACTCCCACTAACTTTTATATAAAATGTCTTGTAAGTACTGGTACCAGTACCGTATATAATGTGTATGAATTCATGAATGTTTTGACAAGCTTTAGTGGTGTTCTGTAATTTATACCTTGTGTGTTGATGTAGGGCATGTGTTGTGGAGTCGTGGTTGCTTCACTGGTTGTGATGATACTTCTTGAAGCTTCAATAATGTCAGATGACACCACAGCAGAAGAAATCACTTCTATGAATCGTAAGTGATTAAAACAACACAATTTAACCTTCTAGCCCAGCGAGTAATGAGTATGGAGTTGAGAGTTGAGTAAAAATGTTGTTAGTATCAATTTTTCAATTTTCAGAGACTCTCAGGATGATTGATAATGAGTCTTGCTTCTAAAAGGTGAATGTACTAGCTCAATAGCTATATTTTCCGGTGGAATGTTACTTTTGTGTCATATGGGTGACTATTTTTATACTGATGTGTCTTGAACAGTAAGTAAAAATCAAATTGCTTGTTTTCCTCTTAAGTTTATACTTTTCATGACTCTTCCTAAGATCATAAAAAAAGTAAGTAGCTTCATAGATAAAACATACTCCCTTAGTAGATTTCTCATCCTTATGGAACAGCTGAAGACAATTTTATTGTTAGTTCTGTACGGTTTTCTGCAGATGTCGTGTTTTGTTTACAATTTGTTTCCCGTTATTACAGCCATTTAAAACCTCGTTTAACCAAATAATACGATCTAATCATAAACAATAACTTGTCCCCTAGTTATATAACCAAACAGTAAAGCACAAATCAAGAAATTAACCCTAAAATAATAGAAACAAAATTTCATCGACACTAGCGCCCAGTGTGGCGTACATGAACTAGACATGAAAAACGAGCTTCAAAATTTACAATGGGATGAGAAGTCTACTTGTGTTGGTTAGTCTATGGTAGCTTTTTGATGGTTCGAACTGGACCCAGCTGTCATTGATAATTGGGCTTTTAATAAAATGTTCCTGACTGCAGCTGGCCTTACTTAGTAACAAAGCTACACATGCCATCTTACTTAAATCTACACTCATACAGTATTTAGGTAAAAATACGCACCTAGAGTCGGGACCACATAAGTTTGCAGTTGGTGGCAGCCAATCACAAGACAAGGCTATGCGACGTTGCCACATCGCCAATGACAACTCCTAGACGGCTGAATCAATCGTTTTCAAATTTTGGGTGGTGATATAGACCATATCGGTGAGTGCCAACATCTATATGGCGTTAAAAATAACTCTCAGGAATCCGCCCCACTGGGTCTCAAAGTTTCAATGTAATCCTTATGGAAGCAGTATTTGACACATAAACAAAGACATATGATCAGCTGTTGACTTTTGAATGCAGTAGATAAAGAAATAGCTGATGGCATTATTCCCCAGATATTAGAACAGAAACGGTATGAATCATAAATATAATCAAATGACACCACTAGCTTGAAGTCCGTGACGTAGGAAGTGTTAAAGGAAGTACTAAAGGTAGTCTGGAGAGAAAGAAAGTCTGGAGTGTGCAAACTGTTTATGACAATTAGATTTAGGTATCTGCATTCCAAAAATTATAAGGGAAGGGAGGAAAACGGGTCCGCGACGTAGGAAGTGATGAAGGAAGTAATCAAGGCAAGCTGTCCGTAGTGTGGAAACTGCTTATGACCATTATATTAAGGTATTTTCAATCCTATGATGTTATGGGAAGGGAGGGAAACAGGTCCGTCACGTAGGAAGTGGTGAAGGAAGTAGTAAAGGCGAGCAGTCCGGAGTGTGGGAACTGTTTTATGACGATTAGATTAAGATATCTGCAATCATAAAATACTACGGGAAGGGAGGATAACGGGTCCGCGACGTAGGAAGTGATGAAGGAAGTAGTCAAGGCAAGCTGTCTGGAGTGTGGGAACTCTTTATGATGATTAGATTAAGGTATCTGCAATCATAAAATGCTATGGAAAGGGAGGGAAACAGGTCCGTGGCGTAGGAAGTGGCGAAGGAAGTAGTAAATGCGAGCAGTCCGGAGTGTGGGAACTGTTTATGACGATTAGGTTTAGATATCTGCAATCATAAAATGCTATGGGAAGGGAGGTAAACAGGTCCGTTACGTAGGAAGTGGTGAAGGAAGTAGTAAATGCGAGCAGTCCGGAGTGTGGGAAATGTTTATGACCATTAGATTAAGGTATTTGAAATCCTTTAATGCTATGGGAAGGGATGGAAACAGGTCCGCGACGTAGGAAGTGGTGAAGGAAGTAGTAAAGGCGAGCAGTCCGGAGTGTGGGAACTCTTTATGACGATTAGTTTAAGGTATCTGCAATCATAAAATGCCATGGAAAGGGAGGGAAACAGGTCCGTGGCGTAGGAGGTGGCGAAGGAAGTAGTAAAGGCGAGCAGTCCGGAGTGTGGGAACTGTTTATGACGATTAGATTAAGGTATCTGCAATCATAAAATGCTATGGGAAGGGAGGTTAACAGGTCCGTTACGTAGGAAGTGGTGAAGGAAGTAGTAAATGCGAGCAGTCCGGAGTGTGGGAAATGTTTATGACCATTAGATTAAGGTATTTGAAATCCTATAATGCTATAGGAAGGGAGACTTTTATTCTGATATTTGACGGTCGGAGGATAATGGGTCCGCGACATAGGAAGTTATGAAGGAAATAGTCAAGGCAAGCTGTCCGGAGTGTGGGAACTTTTATGACGATTAGATTAAGGTATCTGCAATCATAAAATACTATGGGAAGGGAGGAAAATGGGTCCGCGAAGTAGGGAGTGATGAAGGAAGTAGTCAAGGCGAGCTGTCCGGAGAGTGGGAACTGTTTATGACGATTAGATTAAGGTATCTGCAATCATAAAATGCTGTGGGAAGGGAGGGAAACAGGTACACGATGTAGGAAGTGGTGAAGGAAGTAGTCAAGGCAAGCTGTCCGGAGTGTGGGAACTGTTTAAGACGATTAGATCAAGGTATCTGCAATCCTAAAATGCTATAGGAAGGGAGGTAAACAGGTCCGTGACATAGGAAGTAGTGAAGGAAGTAGTAAATGCGAGCGGTCTGGAGTGTGGGAACTGTTTATGACGATTAGATTAAGGGATCCGCAATCCTAAAATGCTATGGGGAGGGAGAGAAAAGGTCCGAGACGTATGAAGTGGTGAAGGAATTAGTAAGGTAAGCAGTGTGGAGTGTGGGAACTGGAAATTGTTTGTAGCAGTTAGATTAGTATCTGCAATGCTGAAATGCTATGAGAATGGATGGAACCATCCCCACGACATAGAAAATGGTGAAAGAAGTAGTAAAGGCTAGCAGTGCGGAGTGTAGGGAATGTTTGTGGCAATTAGATTAACGTATCTAAAATACTAAATTGCTATTGAAAGTGATGAAAACAGGTCCACGATGTAGGAAAAGGCTTAGAAAGTAGTAAAAGTATGAGCATAGTGTGAAAACCGTCTGTGGCAGTTAGATTGATGTATCTTTAATCCAAAAATGCTATGAGAAGGGAAGGAAACAAGTCTATGATGTAGGAAATGGTGAAGGAAGGCTTGCAGTGGAGTAAGGCTTGCAGTGCAGAGTGTGGGAACTGTCTTTGGCAATTACATTAATGTATCTGCAATCCTAAAATGCTATGGGAAGAGAGGGAAATAGGTCCACGACGTAGGGGGTGGTGAAGGAAGTAGTAAAGGTGAGCGTGTTGAGTGTGGGAATGGATTAATGTATCTGCAATGCTAAAACGCTATGGGAAGAGACTGTAGAGTGTAGGTTAAAATAATTTCGAAGCACGAATCGATACATATTTCGATACATGCAATTGTTTATAATAGAAATTTACAACTGAGTTGACAACAGCTAATTATAACTCCATAGAGGATAAAAACTATTTTTACTCCATAGAGGATAACAACTTTTTTTACTTCCTAAAGAGTAAAAATGCTACTTTAGACTCGCAACGCATGCATTAAAAACGACTGGTATTACTGAAACCATGACAAAAACAACAGTATGACCAAAACAATATAATATAAACCCTTGATGACTCCGCTCAATTTTGTGGATGCATCTGCGAACGCCACCTAGTTAAAATACTAAGCAATATTTTCAACTCAGCTGGTGGTAGATTTGGCAACACCGCACGGTTCTCATTGGTTAATTAAAAACCCTATGGTAAATAGGCTCCTCCCTCAACTGAAAACTTACGTGGTCCGACTGTAGGTGGTGTCTCCAACACCAATTATTATATGTATACAACCATTGACTATTGGATACTTACAACTTAAAAATTAACTTTTAGGTTTCAAACTATTATTACGTTCAATCAAACACAACGATCACCTGATAGAGTACACTCTAGATATTTATCCTAACAAAGATTTTATACAGTAATTATTTACCTATTTTGCCTGAAGGTCTTGTAGTTTGAATTAACACTCGATGCGCATTTCGCCGTGTTAATTCAAACTACAAGACCTTCAGGCAAAATAGGTAAATAATTACTGTATAACACAGGTCTTGTCACTGGGTTAAAAAAAAACAAAAAAAACATTGAAAGATTTTATGTTTATTTGTTGTTATAAAAAGTGCATTTTTTTGTCAGGTCAACTACTAATGGCCCTGTGTGTCTGTGGATTTGCACTAGCATATTTCTTCCTCTGCAGTTACTTAGATAAAGGTGTGGAAGAGGTAAGTTCTAAACTACCCGGTATATTGTTACCATTATATGAGGAGAATGAAGCAAAGATTATTGGTTGGTCAAGAAAAATATTAGGAAAATGCTTTTCATATTAGTTTATTTAGTAAATATCTTTTTTAAATGGTATTTGCTTTTTTAAAGTCGGGACCACGCAGTTTGCAGTTGGTGGCAGCCAATCACAAGACAAGGCTAGTGCGACGTTGCCACATCGCCCTTTGAGAACACTAATTAAAATATACATAGCAATATTTTCAAATCAGCTGGTATTATTAGATTTGGCAACAACCCACCGTTCTCATTGGTTCATTCAAAACCATATGGTAAATAGGCTCCTCCCTCAACTGCAAACTTATGGGTCCCAACTGTAGAAGGATTGTCAAACGATGAAATCTAAGAACATATTAAAATACGGTATACCATTAGGTCTGATTCTGATCAATCAAAAGGTTTTGTCTATATTGAGCAAGGAGACAGCATATATTGAGGGTTAAAGGATGATTTCAGTCAGAAATGTTTCATGTACAGCTCATTAAGAGCTAAGCATCCCCTTTTTTTTAGGACAATCCGTCTGTGGACTGTGGTTGAGCTTGGTAAAAGAGCTATAATTAATGTGTGGCTCAAATAGAAGTTTTTTCTTAGTTTGGTAAATTCTTTAGTTGCATTTCCTTAAGTTTTTTCTACCTTTTTATCTAGCCTTACTAAGTGTGTCACGAAAAACTTTTGTGAAAAAAATTTTCTCATTTCATTATTGTAGCCTCTCCTGGAGTACGTTGAATAACATAATTGTTTTGATACCTGTTTCTGCGTAATCTTAAAAGTCAAAGTCAAAGTCAACTTTATTGTTACATAACGTTTTTTGAATGATCTGGCACAGCCAGACAAAACAGGTGACATTGTCTTATTGTTGCTTATTGCCACAACTTGTTTTAACTTAGTAAGCCATCTTCAGGCATTGAGAAGTCATAATTACTTCATCAGAAGGGCTTCAATCAACAGACAGACACATAAACGTAAACAAACACAAACTTATGTCCGTTCATAAACCATAAGAGAATCAACAACCTTCTGATGAAGCGACTATGACATCTCAACGCTTGAAGATGACTTCCTGGTAATTCGAAACTAGTTGCAACAATGAGCAAAAATTATTCTATCCAGAAGAAGATGTTTAAACCATTTTAGCGAATTTCCCTATAGGGAAGTAGCTATTACCGTAGGTCTCATGGTAAGACCTAGGCCCGGGACCGATTTACTTTTTCATTTTGATGTCCCCAGAGGCCAAAAACACCATTCGTTCAAATTTTTATATATCTATATATAGAGATATGTATATATATATGTGTCCATCCGCACGATAACTTGAGTAATTTTTGTCCGATTTTGATAAAATTTGGTTTGAAGGTGTAAGGCGGGATAAACTTGAACGAGTTCGCGAACCAGCGTGATCGGACTATGGGAACGGGGGTTTACGGGGGGTTTTATGGGGTAAAAATAGGTTTTTCCCATTTTTGACCCAAAAAACATAAAGTTTTGCAAAATCTTTTCAAACCATTTTGTAGTGCTTAAAAAAACAAATAATTTAGTATATTGAAGTGTTACTATGCGCCTAATGGTTACGGAGAAAATTCAAAAAAAATGTAAATTTTAAATTCCCATGTTATTCTTATGGAGAATAAGTAAACTGATGGAGTTTGCTTGTTTATGAACATACTTAGATCAAATTTGGAAAATGTTTTATTTCTTACTAACTATTAACATTTTACAAAAAAAGCAGTTTTACCCTCCCTGATGCAGCAAACCTAAGTACCTGTTAAACTAATTTTATTTAAATAGGAAATAAATGTTAAATTTTTAAGTAGACATTTTAGTGTAAATCCAATCAGACATATGGAAATTCGCTTAGTCTGCAGGTTTGCTGCGGCGAGGGTATTTATAATCAAATTAATTAAATCCCTGGAGCTTAAAAGTTCCTTCAAGCTGTAGGAACTTATTGAACTTTTACAGCTTACATTTGTCCTCTTCCAGTTACTGTAATATGAATGTATGTTTTAGAGGAATAGATCGTGGATATTCCCATGGTTCATGGTCACTACAGTGGTCGGACTGAGTTTGACCGTAGTCCTCATCATCTCCTTCACAATTGGTTTGGGGATGATTCAACTAATTCTTCCATTTATTATTAGTAAGTTAATTTAAAATATTTTACCATATTCTTTGTTTTTAAGAGTTATTCTTGCAATACAGCAAAAGTGAAAAAGAGTGCCACCTTTTATCCTGCTAAAACTGATCTGACCTTAGTCGGTAACAAAGCTACATAGATCATCTCACTATGTTTTACACTCATCTATTTGTATTCAGCTTTAAAAAAATGCACCTCAGAGTGTGTCGCTGTGTAAAAGAATTTTTTTTCCATTTTTGCCAAAAATGGCCGGCTTTGCTCTGTTAAAACAATGCAGCCGCGTGGTTCATTATTTTAAATATAACATTTTAATTTTGGTTGCTTCCTTCAGGTTAGTGTTGTCATCTATTGTTTAAAAGAATTGAATTACATATTTTAATAATTATTGTTATATCTGTCCTAACCTTAACAGCACCTGCCTCTTCAAATGTTAACAATAAGAGCGAATTGCAATTTTCAAAGTCTATGTTAATACATACCTTTTCTCGTTATTTTGTTCATAGATGTGCCTATAAAATAGTGAGCTAATTTTTCATTACCATCAGCTGTTTTTTGTTGTTGTTTGTTGCTAGTATTCTTATGAGACCCATCATTGTTATAGTAACATGACTATCATTTCTAATTTTTATTAACTGTTTCGTGATCTTATAGCTCTATTTTTAGACTTAAGTTTAGACATTTTCCAGTAGAGTTCAAAATAATTTTTTTTTTTTAGTAGTGATCGATACCACAGGTTGTTCAGATGCAACTCAAATGAAAGATTTTCAAAACTTGTTTGAGAACACACACACAGCAAGTAAATTTAGTACAATCGGTATATTTTTTAAGTGATAAAAATTTATCACTTACTTTTTCTTCGAACAGATATTAATGAGCAATGAGCATAGTGGTTATAGTGCCTAAAAATCAGGAGGCCACCGGTACAATCCTGAGAAAAGTCATTCACTTTTTGGTGGTTTGAGTTTGAATCTAGAATCATCCATGTTTGATCATTGGGCTTCAATAAATGGTTATGGCCAAAGAATTTCGGTAACAAAACTGCTGAGTTCTTATATCACATTCTAAACTTATCCTTCACTCAAATGAAGGTTAAAATATACATCACTGTGTTTCTAGCTCTATGTATACAAAAGACAATAGACAAACATCTTAATTTGTAATTTCTTTAAGACAAATCGATACATTAGCTTCAAAATAAATAGAGTTGTGCTTGCTTTACAAAAATACTTTGCTTTCTTTGTATCCTACTCACACTCATTTCCATTCATACTTGGCTTAAAATACCTACCTTTGTATGGTTGCCATATAAGTTAAAATTAAGTATGTGATGATATAATGAATTAAGGTAACTGGGAAATTGTTAAGCAACAATTAATTATTTTCGTATGAATTGATTAGATTTTGTACCTTTTCAGCTGATTTGATGGTTAATGTTACGTTATTGTTTTTTGTTTCAGTGCTAGTTTTCTATTGCAATCTACTAGTGTACAGTTTCTACATTGATCTCGGCACAAACTTTGCTCCTGAACTTCCAACTCAAGTTGTTCCTTCGTAGTATTCTAACAAGTTTCAGCTATTGAGGATTCCAAATAATCAACCACAAGTATTTAAAAGCTTCTAGAAGTTTTAAATCTTGAACTTTGTTTAGTTCCAAAATACTGAATGTGTGTTGGTAGTAATCATTTAACTAGTGTAAAGAGAGTAAATATTTTATATTTTGAGGTGAGACATGTATTTGTACGTTTTAGTAGATTTGGGAGATTTTTTATAGTCTGTTTATTTAATGCTCACTCAAATTAGATTACTTTAACGAATCCTTGTTTTTCATCACTTCTTTTAGTGATGTTCTTTCATGTCATTGCTCCAAGTAGAAGAAATATGTTGATAACACTTGAGAAGTAATGTGTTTACAAAAACGTGTTTACCAAATCCCAAATTTCACCAGTTTTTTAACTAGTCTAAATCAAATCATAAGTTTTCTGTGCATAGTCATAGACAAAAATAATTAAATATAGACCTTCAGCTGTGCTGCGGTTACCATAGGTTCTGGTGTACACCGCTGGGAGCGCCATGTACTTTCGGCCTAAGCACTACGTAACTACACAGCGCTCCTAGCGGTGTCCGCCAGACCCAATTAATGGTAGCCAAAGTACGGCTGACAGTCAATATATTTAATTCTTTTTGTCTATGGTATATTCAACTATGAATGGTTTAACTAAATATAGTACAGTTTGCATAATTTTATAGTAATAAAAAGTTAACAAAATAATTCATTTGTAGATGGATATTAACCATTCCTTTAAATAATACATCTGTACAAAAATCATCACTGAATTCAAAACCAATATAGTACAATCCCACTTATGTGATTGGTCCATACCACTCCGTGATAGGAGCGTTTAAAGGGTTAAAGCATAAATATTGCGTCTAAAAAGTGTTCAACTCCAAAACACGATGACCAAACACGATTGAAACATAAGCTGATGCTATTTTATACAATGAATACATCAATGTATTGGTTACTCATGATTAAGTTTGCATGAGACTTTCCTGAAAAGTATGTGATTGAAATGTGTAATTTATAAGATGTATGTGTTAATTTGTGTTATTACATTTTTTAAGTTTTATAATAAATGAAAGTTTAGAGTAAAAAATGTGTATTTTCTGTTTTGCCGTTGAACAATAACTTATACTGTATTTTTTTTACATATAATGTAATGATGGATTCTAAAAAACACTTAAGGCATAAAAAAATTTGTGAGAAAAACAATTTGACACTTTTTTGAAGACCAGAAATCAGTCAATACCCACAAGGTTATATATTCTATGAATATATTTTGATTATGAAACTAAAGTGGGATGATAATGTCGAATTTCTATTTAAAAAGCAAAATTCTTTTGTGGTATGCATTAATTGTAATTATTACAACATCGATGGATATACATTCACCCAGCCCAAATCAAGAACTCTTTTAAAAGCTAAAAAGTCAATAGTGAAAACTAAGGCTCGAGTTAAAAGAAAGTCAAGCTGCAGATAAAGATACTTTTTAATATGAAATGCACAAGGGTTTTTTGTGTTATTTTATACAATATTTTCCTTGTTCGTTGTGTTGTTGTTAACATTAGTTATTGACGTTTAGGTTGAGTTATTATTGTGACACTCCAGTTGTATTTTGTGCTTTGTAAGATGTAAGTGAATAAAGAGTTCGATTAGCAGTGATAAGTAGGTAAGTGCAATTTAATGATACGATAATACTTTACAACCAGTGGCCAATAAATGTAAGATTGATACTGCAAGGTTGAAAGATAAGAAAACAGTGATAAGTTAATCTACTGCAGAGAATGATAAGAAACCAGCCAGGTAGGAGAGATTTACATTGTAGCCTCCATACTCTGTGAGGTATGATTTTCTTCTTTATTTAATATTTATTCAACAAAACTTTTGGATAAACTAATTACAGGTATATTTGAAAGTTTCTGGTGTGATGTTTTTGATGTGTAGGGAGTTAAAAGTGTGATTAAGAATTGTTTTGGTAATTTGTGACACTCAGTGTACTCGTAAGTATTTTGGTATTCTTATAGTCTGTATGATGGAACCTGTCTCCTGAACCTCTACCTGGGACTGGCCCAGACCTTACACCACTGGCTATTAACCAGGTAGACAGAAGTTCAAGAGACAGGTTCCACCATACAGAGTATAGTGCCCCAAAAAGCCACACAAGCAATTTTGATGAGTTTTTTGTTTGTGGAAGTGACAAGTGTAGGTATATTACAAAATGTCAGGAAAAATGAATTCTATCTCTTTCAAAAATTCTTTCAAATGTCCAACTAAGCTTATCTAGGATTTAAAAGAAGAAATAGTGCAATCCCCCATTACTGAAAGTTATTACAACTTTTGACATTTCCCTATTAAATATTACAGTTACTCCCACCGCTTACCCATGATAAAGGTTGTTCACAAGCTAATGGGAGAAAGTATGTGTCAGATTGCTGATACCGTTTATTTTTTAATAGTATAGTGAAACCAACTAAATGAAGTAAAAGATATTTTTTCATCACTTGTTTTGGCAAATATTTTGTTAGTGTTTTGAAGAGGAAGATAAGAAATGTAAACCTAAGATCCCTGGGTAGCTATACATTCCATTCCCATGTTAAAGTTGTCACCAGTTTTTAAATTAAAATTGTAGTAGTTGATGTGAGCCACCAACAGATTGCGCCAATCTATATCACTAATTTTTGTCAAATACACAGACTTTTGATCAAAGTCAAACTAATAAATGACCTATGACGAGCTATAGCAACTTTTATGACCATTTCAACTTAGTCAGCAACAATAAATATGGAAGAAAACAGAATTTCAGACTCTAGCGCATTCTGGCTGGCTCACATAACTATGTTATTTTTTTATTAAAAATTGGCGACAGCTGTTCCATATAGATGCAATGTCTACTTCAGTATCCAAAAGTCAATGGTATGATACTGTAAACTGTAGTAATGAAATACCCTTTTTTATTCAGGTATTGGGCTACATGTATCTGTGTTATTTGGTGGACTCTTTCATTTTCCTACACAACTTTATTCTAGCTGCAGTTTAAATATTTTATATTTTAGGTACGGAATTAATTTAAATTATATTTTTAGTAGATGTACATCGAGGTTCCACAAGTTTCGAAATGCTGCTGCAAAATATCATTAAAAGTTGGGAGTTTCATTGTAGCACTGTTAAATATTGTGAGTATTTAATTGTTAAATAAAATAAAATCTGTAGTCTAAGAACTAACTATAGAAAAGTTACATCAGTTCGTTACTTCACACAGAAGATTGCAAAAATGTTTCATCACCTTGAATATCCTGACTTCTTACAAGATTCAGACACACAATAATTCTGAATCATTAAAAAGATTCCCTACCAGTATATTGTAAGCTTTAATTTGTTGTTCGTCATTATCGTCCAAAGGCCGATAAAAACAGCCATCAAGAGTAGGATAAAAGGTTAGGGAGAATACTGAAGGAGTTAAAAAAAAACGTTTAGTACACCCACAACATATAAGGAAGATATGTGTTTTAAATTTCATCACAATCCATGTAGTAGTGTATGAGAAATTGCATTTGCAAAAATACCGATTTCCTGTATGAACAAAAACAAGCAAAATTCAGCGCTAAAATTACCCTTTCAGAAAAGTTTAAGAGATCCTCCAATTCAACAGCTGTATTTTTTGGTCCTCGAATGTGATATTTGATAGCATAAACATTGCAGTTTTATCACACCATTTATTTTAGCTGTGAATTAACAACTATGTAAATTATCAAAGAAGTCTGTTTATTTCTTTATTGACTTTTCAGGTGTTAGGAGTAGTCACAATCGGTACTGCCATCCTGAACCTTAATTCTGACAAACATACTGTCTTTGCAAACGACTTTGCTGCATTCTACCACTACAGTCAGTAAGATTCCGTTTGAATACTTTTCTTTAAATTATGGAATACAAATTGAATACAAGAAAGAGAACGGTAAATACAATAAGATCACTTTCAAAGGAAATAATATAGAATTTTCTGGAAAGGTAGGGTTGTAGGTATAGGGTTCAGCTACCTGTGTCACAAATTAGAGACCAGGGGGCTAGAAGCATTGACTATTAATAATTTATACTTAGAGACAATAAAAAGTTAGAAAACCTACCAACGATACTTACTTTATACTTTACTTTGAAATGGCGATTTGCGACCATACGAATGTAGATATTTTAAGCCAAGTATGAATGGAGATGAGTGTAAGAGGATGAGTGGCGCGATCTTGTTGTCTTGTTAGTGACCAAGACCGATATATTCCTTAGACACAGCTGTTAATTAATAGCCCATACAGCCATTTTGAACTAAGGGACAAACGTTTATAGTGGAATCCTAACTACATGTTTGCCTTGTAATTAACAAATTTGTCTAATTATCAGGATAGTACTGTGGATAGCCAAAGCTGTACTTATTTTTGAGGACATTAATCTCACTTAGGTAATAAAGGTAATCGGCCACTTGGTTTTCCTTTAAAATAAAACAATAATCCATGTTTCTTTCGATAATGTTTTATGTAAGCCGTAGCTGTAATATATCATCATGAGCCTTTAAAATTCTATTAGAGGTACAAAACTTAATCATATTCTAACTAGATGGATCTAAACTTATTTTTTGTCTTTTCCAGTTGGTCTTATATTTATTCTTCTTATCGGTGTGTGCCTTCTCATAACATCATCTATGCTGGTCACAGCTTTGATAAAGGTTTGCTATTCAAAAATACATTTTTCTTTAAGTTTTAAGGAAGAACAAATTAGGATGCACTAGTGAGAGAAGTTAGAAGTAACTATTTTCCAGTATTCTAGTGATCTAATATAAAGATATTTGTGAAAATACTTTTTTCTTAGTTACAGTACCATTACTATATTTTCTATTGTAGCAATTTTTGTTTTGTTTTAGGAAAAGCACAACTATATTCTGCCATTCTTTCTGGTTGAGATTCTGATGTTCCTAATGACAGTTACTGGATTTATAACATTTTTCTTGAAAATGTTTTCAAATCCTTCTCCAAACGCGTTTTACACAATGATACTATTGTTAACTGGAGGTATGTTAGTTAAATTAAAGTATTGAAGGTTCTAAGAAACCAGTTAAAAGGCAAAATAGTTAAGTTTATCCACAGAGAAGTAAGGTACAGAGGAATCTTGCTACGGGACGACCATGCGCTCTAGTATGTTGTACAGGGAATATATTTGTTGCACAAGGATAAAACCGAGCAGCGAGCACTGCGCGCGGAAATTTTTATAGCAAAGGACACTGGATCTTCCTCCACTGTGAGCGTTGTACACCTTGAGATAAAGGTGTGGGGGGGGGGGGGGTAATGGACTTTGCCACAGACATCACTTAAAAAAGTGTAACATGGAATGTTTCCTCTGTACCTTACTTCTCTGTGTCTTATATCACTGCTCCATTCTATACTCAACCTTACGTTCATGATCTACTGAAAATCACAGTCAAGCATGCTGGGTCTCCTAAGAGTAATAGTAATAAAGCAATACATTAATCAAAAGAATAGCAAATTCTTACGAGTTTTCTACTCTGTTCACAATATTTAGTCATCGGTTTGAGGGAAAGTTTTCCCACCACTTTTTTCTGCTTGAAGGCTATGTTGCAGTTGATTGGTGTTTTGATAAATTTTAGCTGTTGATTTATTTTAATGGTAGGATCAAGGATGGAGTGGAGGGGATGGATTTCTTCCCCTAAAACTGCCTAAATTTTGTGAACAGAGTATAGTAAACTCTTTCTACCTATCCATTACTGTTATCAAAACTCTCCTTTAATATAAAATTAATTGAAAGCCAATTACTCTACCTTGGAAGTCAAGTGTTAAAGTAACCAAGATTATAGTCCAGGCGCTAAACGGGTTGAGTATGCACTGAAAGTCTGACAAAATTTGACTTTTGATTATTGTTGGAGACATCTAGTAGATGAAAAAAATCGATGATGTCGCATTTCTAGGGTGGTCACAACTCGGGGGGGAGGGGGGGAAGTTGCGCGGGTCATCAGTTTACGTTTCCGCGTCTAACTCACAAACGGTTAATGATAGAAAAGTGGTTTAAGCGTCTATCTACGCCTAAATATATTGTCTTTCAAAAAGGTTATTACAACCTTTCTTCTATCTCTTATACTTTAGGCGCTAACAAACATTTATTGAAAAAAATTAAATTTAAAAATACTTTTAAATGAAAAATCGGAAATATTGCGCTTGTTTAGGGCATGTTACAAACTATTTATGGTTAGAAAAACTAACAAGTAGTACAACAACAACAAGTTTATGGAAATCTGTGCAAAAACAACAGAGCTACGTTTATTTCAGTAAGAGTAAACGTGGAAAATTCGTAGTGGTACCGAGGCGCGCATGGACGGTACGTAGCCCACATTCGATATAGGTTTGATGTTGTAAGTAACTATAGGAAAGCTGAATTTTTCTTTGCTGTTAGACCATGTTGAGATGAGTATTTTCCCAAAAGTCCCCACTCCTACCCCTTTGTGCTTTCCTCTACCCCCCCCCCTTTTAGATAAATTTACAGTCTCTTAGAAATTAAGCTATAACTTTAAAACGGGTAAGGATAATAACGCAACCTTTTATTAATCATTTTGCGTTACGATATTCTTCAAAAAGTGTATTTACCATGGTATCCTAAATATTCATAGTTAAAAAATATCATAAACATAAAAAAATAATTTTTACGGATTAATTTATGTTACTTTTCTTTTTAGATTTTTTATACGAGGTCGCACAACAAAATGTTTGATACAAAATTTGGGGTGAATAGTTTACATTTTAAAATGATTCATAGTTGTTAACAGTTTGTTTGCATATAGTGGTTATAGATAGTACAGTATATTGATTTTACAGGACTCTGGTTTTTTGTGCACCGCAACAATGAAAAAAATTACGTATATTATGGTTTTTGTATTTGAATTTGTCGCTTTATATAGATTATATAAACGTTATGTAGCTCATTCAGTACATATATAGACTGTAGTGGATACATATGAATGAATATCGTGCAATTGCTGCTGTACGCCAGAGCCTCATTTTATTACACAGGGTGTCTCACCTAAAGTAAACCAATAGATAACTTTTTTATTATGAGATATAGAGTTAACGTCTTATGGGACACTACTCTTATTTTAAGATGATTTTAGTGGTTTCGAATTTTAAAAATATGTTTGCAATTTTCCAATATGGCTGACAACTTTGTTAGTCCTATGGAATACCCTGTATTTTATGATTGTTTTAGAATGTAAACGCACAATTTTTAAACCTTTTCATTCTTGACACTTTTCTCTAAAGCTACTTGTTTAGGAGTTACATCGAAGAAGAAATGGTTTGTGAGTACATCCTGCATCCTGTAGCTCATAAACGAGTAAGTTTAAGAGCGAAAATACAAAGAATAAACAAGTTTTCAAATCACATCTACATTTAAAAAAAACCCATAAAGTTAAATTGTTCCAATATCAAAGTAAGCTACCATTTTTGAAAATGGTGGCCATTTTTAAAACAACAAAATCAGTATTTTTTTACGTATTTTATATATTTTTTGAACGAAGACTTATATGTGACTTATTTATTCTTTGCACTTTCTCTCTCAACTTACTCGTTTATAAGCTACAGGATGCCGAATGTACACCACAAGCCTTTCTTTTAGATATAACACGATGTAACTCCTAAATGGGGTAGGTTTAGAGAAAAAATGTCACGAATAAAAAATAGCTTTTAAATTCTAAAAGAATACTAAAATACATCGTATTCCATAAGAAATAACAAAGTTGTTGGCCATATTGGAAAATGGTGGATATATTTTTTTATTCGTAACCATCCCTAAAAACATTTTTTACAAATAAAGGGGGTCGTCTAATAAAAAGTTAACTCTATATGGAAAATAAAATTTATGTATGTTCACTATGTAATCTCAACCGGGATGAAACGTGTACCCTTTTATAGCAGAATGTCCAATTAAAAAAAAATACGTTAATTTTGGTCTAACAAGTTATATTTAAATTAATATGAGTTTTTTTTTTATGGCAAAGATTGGCGGGCACTTGGAAATTATCTTAAAGAGGCGTGGAGTAAAGGGTGGGAATTGATAATGGAGTATAATTATTAAATTTAAGAATTGAGATATCAATACAAAAATGGGAAAAATCTTTGTAATTTAAAAAAATTATAAAATATTGTTTGTTAAGTATCTATCAAAGTAAATTATAAAAGTAACAGTTTTGTTTTATGAATTATTAACTGTTTGTTGTTGGAAAAATTCAGATTCTCAGTAGGCTACATTTAAATTTTCATTATTCATTCAATTGTTATCTGATCTATATTAGTAGGCCTATGTAGTGCTATTTGTGTATAATCTGTAGTTGAAATCAGTTTATTTTATGAATACTTGTATGTGATTCATGGATTTTTTTTAAACTGTTTTAAAATATTTCAAAATCAGTGTGTCTAACACAAAACAGACGGTCTTTGACCATTGTTCTTTGCATTTAAATAAAAAAACACTGTATTGATATTTTATTACAATGAACACATTTTCTTCTCCTTCTTCTTCAGAAATCTGTATTAATTCTTTTTAAATATTTAATTATCTAATAATTCTTTTTGTAGATTATCGTAACGCAAACATTTTGTTGTGCGACCTCGTATAAAAAATCTAAAAAGAAAAGTAACATAAATTAATCCGTAAAAATTATTTTTTTATGTTTATGATATTTTTTAACTATGAATATTTAGGATACCATGGTAAATACACTTTTTGAAGAATATCGTAACGCAAAATGATTAATAAAAGGTTGCGTTATTATCCTTACCCGTTTTAAAGTTATAGCTTAATTTCTAAGAGACTGTAAATTTATCTAAAAGGGGGGGGGGGTAGAGGAAAGCACAAAGGGGTAGGAGTGGGGACTTTTGGGGAAATACTCATCTCAACATGGTCTAACAGCAAAGAAAAATTCAGCTTTCCTATAGTTACTTACAACATCAAACCTATATCGAATGTGGGCTACGTACCGTCCATGCGCGCCTCGGTACCACTACGAATTTTCCACGTTTACTCTTACTGAAATAAACGTAGCTCTGTTGTTTTTGCACAGATTTCCATAAACTTGTTGTTGTTGTACTACTTGTTAGTTTTTCTAACCATAAATAGTTTGTAACATGCCCTAAACAAGCGCAATATTTCCGATTTTTCATTTAAAAGTATTTTTAAATTTAATTTTTTTCAATAAATGTTTATTAGCGCCTAAAGTATAAGAGATAGAAGAAAGGTTGTAATAACCTTTTTGAAAGACAATATATTTAGGCGTAGATAGACGCTTAAACCACTTTTCTATCATTAACCGTTTGTGAGTTAGACGCGGAAACGTAAACTGATGACCCGCGCAACTTCCCCCCCTCCCCCCCGAGTTGTGACCACCCTAGAAATGCGACATCATCGATTTTTTTCATCTACTAGATGTCTCCAACAATAATCAAAAGTCAAATTTTGTCAGACTTTCAGTGCATACTCAACCCGTTTAGCGCCTGGACTATTAGTTATCTCTTACAAAATGAACACTATTTACTAGTTATTTTTAAGATTTTGCTGATATGAGTAATGTATATTTCATCAGTTAAGCCAACAGTGACTTTTTTTTCGGAAAACGAGCGAGGTTAAAAATCACACTGTTTAGCTTTAAAAGTTAGCTCCCCAAACGGCTTCTGTCCTTTTTCACTATTATAAAACAAATGGCAGTTAGACAGTCAATGACAAAATATTTTGGCTGTAAACTATAAGTATCAGGGGACCGAGCTTTGCTCGGGTAACTTTTTTAGTATACTCTGAGAGTATTCTTTGGATAATGTCATCTGTTTTGCAGTCTATTTAACTTCTGTTAAAATCGTAGTTGACTGAAATAAGGAGAAAAAAAAGAGTTTTGCAATAAAAGAATTTTGTTTTGGAGCCCATAATCTTCCTAAACTATAGAAAATACCCGGTATTTTCACGCTGAATTCGAAAAAGGCTATCATTAGGAAGAAAATCGTCACACCTTCCTTCCCTTGAAGTATTAGCATAGACAAAAAGAATGAAATATAGACTGTCAGCCGTGCTGCGGTTGCCATGGTTACCATAGGTTCCGGCGCTGTAGTTTACGTAGTGCCATTATACTCAATGGTAGTGTACGCCGTAACTACCGTGGTGCTCCAAGCGGTGAGCACCAGAACCTATGGTAACCGCAGCACAGCTGACGGTCTATATTTAATTCTTTTTGTCTATGGTATTAGTCACTACAAGAACTTGGGCTTGCTCCCCGGAACCTTTCCTTTAATCTTAAATATGCCAACAGCATAAATAAACAAAAAGAAAAATTCAAATAAATCAAACTGCTTTATACTTCAAGATATGTATTGAAAACAGCTGTTTTGCTACAGTTTGATCTATTACAAGACATTTCTGTAAGCTGTTTTGTTTTATGTTTCAGGTGGATGTTTCTACTGCTTCATTGTTGTCTATAGTTACTATAGAGAAGCTACTTGGAGCTCTACTATAACATGAGAAAGAGACTGAGGAAAGAAATAAGTGACTCAAGAGTTTTACTTATGGTTAAACTCATAAGATGATGCTACAAAGAGGCATAAAAAAATCTACCTTAAAGGCTAAACATAATTTAGTCCCTCAAATTATTAATATATGTACCTGTAATTTAAAGATAATTTTTAAAAAAATTGTTGACCATGTAGGCTATGATATGATGTTATACATTTTGGGATGTTAAAAGATTATTTAATGACTAAATAATTACCACTTTTAGAATCAACTGCTCAATTGGTTAACACATATTGTTAAAAATCCAACAATATTAACAGCTGATATATACTGTTATTTCATCCCATGCTTTTTTTCTGCAGATGTTTCTTAACAAAATGTATACCTCAGAATAATTCTGTTGTATATATAAACATACTCGTACTCTTTTAAACTAATGTATTCACTTTGTACGTTTTATAGGAAATTTATTTGTGCATAATGTATATATTTCTCTGGTAAAATAGGTATTGATGAAATGCTTTAACTTAATTTATTTTTGTTATTGTTTTGTTTTGTTTTGTATTTTATGTAAGAACATTTAGAAAATACATTAAAACCGTTTTGTATTTAAATGTGTCCATTTTTCCTTCACCTTTCCAATCATTTTCCCATAGTTGAGACCATCTTGAATCATTTTAGTTGGGTTGAATTGTTCACCACCAAAAGAGTTGAGAGTGAATAGTTGTTCAACAATAAATGCTTATTGGTCCCAGGATTAATTTAACTATATACTCTCCACTATTTGCTAAAAAAAGTGTTTGTTACCCTGTAAATAAACCCATTTCTATTCCTGAAGGTGGATATTGAATTCAAAAACACAGAAGAACTTGAAGTTCTCTATGTCAATTTATCTTCTGTTATAAAAATAAAAATTGAATTGGTTACATTCTGTCAATTAGGTACATTAGGTTGGCAAGTTCTTTCACTTTTGCTCTGTCTCCTCCTCCTGGTTTGGTTTATTAAGCATTTTAAAAAACCCCAGTTCAAAAACCTTGCCAGTACAATCTGCTAAAAGGATGGCATAATGTTGATTTTTAATGTGGGTTCTTGACACATTATAGTACTAATACTTTGAAAACAATTTCATTTGAATTAGCAGCTTAAACTACAGTATATTCCAGTATATTCTAATAATAACAGTACTGTACCTACCATATTTAATGAATGTGTTTTTACTCCATAACAAACATCCAAACACAGTTTCAGGATTTGTATTAATTGCGGAAGGCACAGGGAACAACAATAATACTTTTTACCTTATAAAAACAAACATGTTTTCCATTTTTGTGATGTTAAACTTATTGAAAGTGATTGTTTCAAATGGATTTATTGCTGAGATTCAAATCAGTTTACATTTTTTTTTACCATTTCATTTCATAGATAGAGGTGGTATTGCATTATGTTCATGTTGGGCACCAGGGCATTTGAATCCATCTATTTAGTAATTCAATAGCTCTAGCTGTGGGACTTCCCTACTCAACTCATGTTCGTGTGTCCGTGTGTGTGTTTGAGTGTGTGTATGCGCGCGTGTGTGGGTGCCATTGCCATACGCCGGGGCTGGCTGGTCCCCCCCGCTGGTCTGGGAGGGGAGGGAGTCAAGGTGTCAAGTGGGAGGGGAGTTGGAAATTGAACAGCCTTCCTACTTCTATTTATAGCTCAAATCGCAGTGAGGTAAGTTTGTTAGAGCACTGATTGGTTTTGTTTCCATTGTTTTGTTGTTGTCCATTGTTGTCATGGTCACTTTCCCTGTTACAGCTGCCAGACCAGTTTTGAAGACTTTGAGGTTAGGTTACTAATGTTAGTGTACATCAGTTGTAATAATCATATGGATTTAGTTGTTACGGTATTTGTTATATGATCGGTTTTGAGTTAGAGTTAAGCCTGTGTCACACTACGCTACTTTACTAGCAGCTAGCGAAATAGCAGCTACTAAGTAGCCAATGTGACATAGACAGTAGCAGCTACTAAGAGTAGCGCGCTAGTGAAATTTTACTAGCATGGAAAGTTGAACATGTCCAACTTTCCGTGCTACTAAACTGCGCTAGTGAGTCACGTGACCAACTAGCAGCTATCAAGTAGCGACTGTCGCCCAGTGTGACAGCTTCAATAGCAGACTAGCGGCTACTTGCACCACGTGCTGTCTGCCTGATTTGTTTATTCTCGTTCATTTTGAATAATTTCTGAAGTAATCATGAGTGATCCGAAGTGGGGTGGGGGAGATGTGATTAATTTTTTGAACCTGTATAAAAAATATCCGTGTCTTTGGGACATAACCTCTCTTGAGCTAAACTAGTAGTAGCAGCTAGTGAATAGACGCTACCAAAATAAGTGTGACAGGAAAAGTAGCTGCTATTTCAGTAGCTGCTACTAGGTAGCTGCTAGTAAGTAGCCAAGTGTGACACAGGCTTTAGGTATCATCAGGTTTGGTGGTTCTGGTTCGATACTGTCTGTTTAGTTACCATTGTTAAAACATAGATAAAACATAATATTCTAGATGAACTCATCCAGGTTTGTTATAGTAGTTTTATTTATGTGTTAAGTTTATTTTAGTTATTCTTTCTCAACTATAATGTTTATGATTGATTATTTCCATAGACAAAAGACAATTTGTCTATGTTATTACCTTGACAATTCAAAATACTTCCAAGATCTTTTTAACCATGCTTTATAAATTATAACTTACATTTTTGTTAGCTAATTTTTATTGTTATATTAATTATATTTTTGTTTATTTTATCTTCTGTTTGACAAAAAATTACCCACACCTATACTAAGTTGTTATAAATACCAAGTAAAATGTTTAAAATTGCAATAATACACTTAATTTATTATTGTATTTTACATCCTAAATTTATGTCCTTTTGATGACATGAAATAGTTGATAATTTAATTAGGCCTATCAAATATTTAATTTACTCATAAATTTCATAAAACACTATGGCACAAAGCTGTTTGATTGCTGAATTTGAAATGTGAACAAAAACTGTTATCTAGTTTCCTGTAAATGATAATAAACTTTTCTGTGAAGATACGTAAATTTTGGTTAGAAGAATGCTTTACCAATGTTCTCCCATGCTTATCGAAATAAACTACTTTTCACTTAATCTTTTGTTGCATATAGGGGCTACAATACAACGTCTTTTAAACACGTCTAAATTTTAGGTACGGTACTTATTTTCTAGTTTACCATTTAATTTTAAATTGTTAAAAATTATGTCAATCAGGTTGAAAATGCATTAGGCTAGTTGGAAATGGCTTTGGTTTCAACAGTGACAAGAAAAGAAATGGTTTGCTCATGATGAGTCAGTTGTGATTGTGAAGCTAAACAAGAGATAACGATAAAGTAAAAACAGCAATATGACTTCAGCTACACCGACACCAGTTTTAAAGGTAACAGGTAACGTTACTGAATAATCCAGAGATTAATTTTGATATTGCCTACTTTCAATTCAAAGTTACCGTCCAAAAAAGTCTATAAGTCAACGGTGACATAAGCATTTTTATCAGCCTCTTTTTTTTGACCTTAAATGTGTTTAAAGTTTTTCTTGCTCTATTGTAACAAATATGGTTGTACAGTAAGCAATAAAAGTTAATTTGATAACAGAAAATGAACAGTTTTATCTTTTGGAATTGGCAAGCCATTTAAATCCTAATCAATGTTGTTGTACCATTTACAACGTGGGAATGCTTTGTAGGTTAAACTTTTTGATGCTGATACTATCACATTTGTTTGTAACTATAGAACATTCAATTTGTTTAAATAGCCTAGTAGAAAAGGAGAACTTCCCACACCACATCACCACTGTAATCCCTTATTGACAATAGCTTAAGTTAAAAGTCAATAAAATGTTATGACTCATAATTGGTTTGTCATGTAAAGTCAATTTTTAATTATTTTTTATTTCTAAAGGTAGAACTAAAGCTAACAAAACAAAACAAATTGAAAATGTAGCGGTTCTTGTCAGATTCAGACAAAATCAAATTACACATAACACACTCATAAAATAAATGGCTCTACAAATTTTAATACACTGTTTTCTTATTTAACTGTGTAAACGTTGTTTTACCAGACAAACGCACGTGGGTTTTGCGGCTGCTGTTCGCTTCAAGCTGGTGGCATTTTTACAGGAGTTCTTTCATCAGTAAGTATGTGGTTTACATCTATCAGTATGACATAAGGTTTTAGTTTCAACGTATGTACCAATAATGTTAACTAGCAAACCTGGCACAATCTAGACAGGAGAAGAAGGATTTGTATTGATCTTTTTAATTTTACATTTTCTGGTTTTTGGTTTTGTTGTTAAAGGTGGTGGTGGAGATGGTAAAAGGCCTAACTGATTTCACAGTTTACGTGCAGTTTTTGCAGTTTTTTTCTGTGAAAGTCAGTAAAACCCCAACCTAAGGGATAGAGATAATTTGGATTCACTCTAATCTTTCCTCTTCCCTTCATAGGAAAGTTTTCATTCCTTTCTTTCGTTGTTTTTGTTCGTTCTTTTTTTTAAATTTAAAAGCCTGTATGTATCCTTTTGGTTCTTTTTATTTCCCTAGCTACTTTCCTAAATGTCTCTCAATTGTTTCCTTGTCCCTCATCAAGTTTTATTATCTCATCTCTAGACCTTTTCCATCCAAGACTTCTTCCTGTTCTCTCCTATTTGCCTCCTGAAGTGGACAATTTATCAATAGGCCTACGTGACTCGTGGTCTCTATTTTTTTGTGCAGCTGCATACTACCTCTTCCAACAAGTTAAATCTCCACAAATTCATCCATGTCGTGTGACAAACTGTGTTAAAAAATGGCCCATCTCCCAATCTTGTTCAAGTCTCTTTCTGATGTTTGGCAAATATACAAACGTTTCCCTTTCTCATCCGCTCCCAGTGCATGACACACAACTAATGTCTCCTCTCTTCTGGCACTCTTGTTTTTCGTTGTAGTCCTACTAACGGCCTTGTCTTCAAAAATCCTAATCCTTTCTTTAATGAGCAGGTTGAGTGGTATGGCTCCGGTCAAAACCCTAATCGTATTATGCGATACTGTGTTGTATGATTTCCATACTTCAACAAAACTCTTCTTTGCATACGCAAAAGATTCCGTCTCAATCTTAATCTTCCTAGCATCCTTACCCCAGGAGTCACATCCGTAAAACATTTTTGGCTCAAAACCCTTTGTACAGTGTCATAAAATGCTTCCCAGTCATGCATCAATTGGCTCTGGCCTGTCCTGCTAATTATGTGAATACTCCTTTAATTTTTTTCACATATTCTCCGTATGTTTTTCTATAGCCATTCCTTTACCTACAGTCACTCCTTAATCAACCCTGACGACATAAGGTTCCTGTTTAACACAACAATGGTGTTTTCCAGAATTTTTGAGACCATCCCATCCTACCTTCCATAATCAAATATTATTTTCGGAAATGAAAACCATGCTTAAAACTAATATCAATAACTTTTGATAATTATTCTTGTGCACCTATCTTAAATAATCATACAGGAGAATGCAGGTGCCATCCCTCACAATAGATAAAATTGGAGAGTAACAAATAGGTAGGAAATAACCATCTTTCACCCAATAAAACTAAATTGCACCACTTTAACTTCATAATCTTTATAGCAACTTAGCAGACGCACAGGCACAGCCTATGTCTGCTAATTCCAGAACTAATTAGATAGGAACAACCTTTTACACATGTATATAGTTAATTAGTTATAGTTAGTTAGTTTAGTTTTGCATAAAGCCCTTTTTTCTTTTGTACATTTGGTTGTGTAATTTTTATATATGTGGTGGAATAAATTCATAATTCATTCAATTCATTCAATTCATTCATTCATTCATTCAATTCATTCATTCATTCAAAATCCCGTTCCGACGCATAGTCCAACTATATATATAGTTTGTAAACTCTTTCAAATAAGATAGGTATACACGCTTTGTACAAAGTTTTATCAAAATTGTATTATTTTTGCTCAAGTTATGGTGCTTACGAACACATATATAGCCTGCATATGAAACAAGTTTTAACAATTGGTGTTTTGGTCTTGTCATGAGACCAACAATAATATATACCTTTATTTCTTACAGAGATAATTTGCTAAAACAATACTTTAAAACTTTTCATTCAAATGGCGACCATACAAAGTAGGCATTTTCAATTAAGTCTGCTTTAAAATTCAATCCTGTAGCTTAATAGTATATAAATGTTTGTGATGTTATACGACTCTAAAGTTTTACAGTTACTTTTAAAAGCTACAAAACCAACTTGGGAGATGCTTTAAAAATGCTCCATGTTATAGAATTCTCAATGCCCCATCTCTAAAATCGATACAGCATTTGTACGGAAGACGGTAACCTTTTCACTCTTGGAACAGTAACTGACTCCAGAACTCGCTTGTCGCTAAACCGCCCTAAACATGTAGAAGGTCCATTCCATAAGCATCTAGACTGCCAGTGCAACTCCTAGGATCGTAGGATCGAGGATCAGATCGAAAAACCCCCCACCACCGCTCAGTGCCGATGGCGTGACGTCAACCATTACTGCAACAATACGGAACTGAGTCATGAGGCTTTGTGGTGTAGTGGATAGCGTGTCGGGCTGATAATCTGAAGGTGCCGGGTTCGAATCCCACCGGGAGCACTAACTTTTTGTCAACAATTTTTTTCATATCAGCAAGTTTGGTTGGTTTGGTTAGGTTATGACAGTTTAACTTTATAATTAAAAGATTTTAAAATTGAATTTGAGACATTTATAATTTTATTTTTAGAACAGAGCTATTTTTTGATTAGTAAACCTTCATTCGAGTTTATCATTATCAGCAAGTTTGGTTAGTTTGGTTAGGTTATGATAGTTTAATTATATTTAATTCAAATTTAATCTACAAATTATACGTTTTGACAGCGACAGTGATACAGATAACAATTTTCGACGAACAGTTAGATAAGCTTTGCTGATGCGCCGGTATGATTCGGAAGCGTACGACATGGTGCGGTGGTGGGGGGTGATCTACTGATCTGATCCACGACCCTCGGGCTCGGAGTTGCACTGGCAGTCTAGACGCTAGTGTCCATTCCCGCACTTTACATGTGACGCAACATGAGCTTTCACCTCTTGTAAAAAGTTACTTCCTTTAATTAATATTCATTTTGAAATATTTTGTGGATTTAAGTTCCATTTCGTGATTTAGGTTTTAGTCATAGTTTAAAGACATATTTATCCATGTCCACATTTTCCCTCCTCCTCCCTCTCCAATAGTACAAAAACATTTTCATTTCTCAAACTTGAACTAACCCTTTGAAAATGTAAATTCGACTAACAGGAGAGGTCCCGGGCTGGGGACCGGCATAGCGGAGTTAAAAATGTGTTGGCCCTGAAAAGGGCCGTTTGGCCAAGAGCTCGTACGTCACTTGGCGGAAGGGGCCCACAACCCATAGCCCAAAAAATCTACTCAATAAAAGTGGTATGATAATACCGTTTAGCGTAAGACGCTGACAATTTAAATCGAACAAACTGAAGCGTATAGGTTGAGCCCGGTTCGGTCAACACTCGAAGTCTTGGCTGTGGTGTTTCTTGAGCCTCCTCCGCGTCCTCCACCGAGGGGTCAAGAACGTCACAACAGTCAAGCGCTTCCAGAGCAACCTCATCAGGTAAAGGCAGCCCTTCCCTTACGTTTACAGCAAACGGATTCCTCAACATACTGCCACAAAGTAAGTTACGTGTTTACAGTGTGAAAGTTATTGAGAAACAGAATTTTTGGTTTCCATGGTTAAATATTTATTTTTTCACTGTTGAAATGGTGTTGCTAAACAATGCATTGATACATCACACCATAGGTTTAAATGAATCCTTGGGCATCTTAGGATGTAGTTTCAGTCAAGCAATTGAAATCCTAACAAGTAGGCCTATTTACTGGTAGTGAACTCACAGGCTTTTTGTTTTAGACATGTTTATTTATTACAGAGGAATGAATGCATTTGTAAATACATAATAAGGAAAATCGAAAGGATAATCAATCTGCCTTCCCGAATACTGATACCTTATAGTTGTGGCAACTCATATTTTAGTTTGGTCAAAACAAAAGCAAGGTCAATCTGATATTTCTTGCTTCCCAACTATCGATAAATGATGGTAAATTAAAATTAAGATGAATTGGTAATAATCTGTTTAAAATATTTTCAGGTATACAATGCATTACTCATATATTGGTTCATCTCGTCGATGGGCCGAGTCCACAGCAGTGATGATAACTTTCTGGGTAAGTTTTCTATGTACAAATAAATAATCCTTTATAGTCACATAAATGTTGTATAGCAAAAGTAGCTAAAGATATTGTCAAGATTACTACTAACTTATAATAAAAAATAAAAAAATAATAAATATCTATAATTTTTTAATTTTAACGTGCATATTGTTTCAAATCAGACTATTTGATTTAGGAGGCCTCCCTTTACAATGCCAAATTCAAGGAAGCCATTACAATTCAACTTTTTGAAGTAGCAGATTAAACTAAGAATAGAGCTGGATAACACAGCCTCAGGATTCAGTTTGGGGGGAGGATGCCCCTCCCATCTGGTAAAATGTAAAGCCTAAAAACATCCTGGGCAAAAAAAGGTTCACCCTGATATTTTGTGGGGGGATTCCCATCCCCCAATCTCCCGCTGGGACTTCCACGAGGGGCATTTAGCAATAAAATGTATCTGCTACCCATAAATGGGCAGATCCAGGGGGGCTGTGTGGGCTGTAACCTCAAATTTTTTTGTGTATTATATGTCATAACGTCAAAAGCCAAGAAGAAAACATATTTTACTCTACATTGTTACCTCTACCCCCCAGGTTGGCCGAAAAAATGTAAGTTTACAGTCCACAATTACCCCCAGCCCACAGTTGGTTTAAGCACTCTTTGAGATTATTCAAAAACAGCCCCCTTTTCAATTGGCTAGTTCTGCCCATACCCATTACCCATGAAGAACCTGGAAGATAATTTAAAATTGTAATTTTACATAGGTAGGTACTGTGTGGCGAAAAATAGTAAACCTATGATTTTTCCGGCTTCTATTTAATTTAATTTAATTCTAACGTAAAGTGCTTTTGAGTTTGATTGAAATAATTTTTTCACAACGATTTCTCTAAGAAACTGGGGGAATCTCAAAAACTGTTATACTTAGGAAACTCTTAAGTTTTTTAGCAACTAATCCATTATCTCTTCATCTCAATGATCCTGTTTGTAGGAAACTTGGTTGGTGTGATGAAAAATAACCAGTAAGATGTTAATTGTTGTGTGTTATGTTTCAGTTGTAACAGTTTTGCTGGAAGTGTTGATTTTCCTAGCCTTGGTACACATTGTGGTCAGTGTTCTTCTCATCCATGGAGTTGTTAAGGTAAATTGGTGAAAACCCCTTATGAAAAATAAATTCAAAGCAAATTAGCATACAAAAAGCTATGAGTAAGAAGTGACACCAACAAATTGATTTCGGGAAGTTTTGTAAACAAGGTTAAAAAATGAATTTAGTGTTAAGAATTAGTTCATGCGAACCATGTTAAAATTACATTAACTTAAAGATTGTTGTGGATATTTTCCATAATTATTTGTAAAATACAAAGTTTTCACGACGTTTCGATATCTGGAATTTGATACCGTCCTCAAATGAGAAAGAGTAAGTGTGTTTGTTTACTAATCTTGTTATGTTTTCTGTAATTTCTCAAATGTGTAATATATATTTTTAACCCTTTGAGTGCCAACGTCCGGGGAACCGGACGTTTTTAAAACGAGCCAAAAGTGCCGACGTCCGGCCGACCGGACGTTTTTAGAACGAGCCAAAAGTGCCAACGTCCGGCTGACCGGACGTTTCGTAATGATCGAACAGTTGTCATAACAACCGAATGGATACTCGGATTCTTTTAACCCATATATTAACATTGAGTCGAAAGTTACTAGATGCGATACATCGATTTTCGTTGGTCGAAATATCGAAAATTCTATTTTTACGGAATTTTAACCTAAAAATCGCCAGATCGCGCTCGGCATTTTTAGCGCGATCTTCGGGAAAAATCATCGGCATTTTTTGAGCGTTACTTTTATTTCTCGCCTGGCACTCTAAGGGTTAATATATCTGTCAAAAGTGTAATAATTATTTTTTTCTGAAATCCCCATATATTAACCAGTTTTGCTTCAAATTTTATCTATAATATTAAATATATAATTTTTTCCAAGAATACACATCCAGACCGTTCTTGGAAAAGGGGTGGGTGGCATTATTGATACGCTATGTTTTATCGAAATTTGAGACCAATAGGTGTTTTTTGCTTAGTCGAGTAGACATGGATGACCCATATATGGTATTATTTAAGATTTCTTTGTCTTTATGTGGACCGTCCTCAATATGATGACAAAAATTACTTTCTTCTTAAAAAAGTAGATTTTATTTAGATAAACTTCAAAAGCTTTGTTGCATTTTATACAACTAAAAAAAATTTAATGTAGTTCCTTGACTTTTCGAGGACTCTGTTGGGATCTACCCTAGTCTATAAACCAATTGTGTCATTAAATCATACAACTATTATTTGTGTTGCAGGCAAAACCTGATCTAGTGATGCTATGGGTTGTTGTATACATCTCCTCATGTATCGTGGTCGGTGGTCTTTTCACCATAACTCTAGCTTACGTCCTCGACAAGGCTTTTCTCTTCATCATATTCCTCAATTGTAAGTATGAGATTACTGTTTTACTTGGAAGTAGTAGTTTAGTTCTAGTAAGTTGACGAAGTTTACTTCTTGTCAACTGCAAATTATTTGTTATGGCCATTACAATGGTGATTCCATGAGGTGTGCTTGGTATGCACATTATCGATGTAGATTTTTGTGGGCTTCACTCACCTTTATTTTTGTTCGTGATGTTCGTGCGGGCCAAAAATAGTTTTTTTTAATACCCTGAAGAAGCGGAACGTTGTTTTGAGTTCCGCGAAACGTCGGACCTTGATGCCGTGGACGATTTTGTGTTGTATATATGTGTGTTTATGTGTTTTGACGAGTCCCGGACATCACAAACAAAAATAAAGGTGAGTGAAGCCCACAAAAATCTACATCAATAATATAATAATATAATATAATAATAATAACACCTCGCCTAAAAAGCATGTCGTTCAAAAACAGAAATGCACATTATCGTCAATGGTATACACTAATAGCTATTTACATTACAAGTGTAGTAAGAGCGTTTTTACATCACGCAGGTGAATGTTGTGCAACGAGCGGAAGCGAGTTGCATAATTCACCTAAGAGATGTAAACACGCTCTTGCGTAACGTGTAACGTACAAGATTTTACCTGACCCGACAATATACATGGGTTTACGTACAATATTTTTCATTATCCATTTCACTCATCGTCTAACAGTAACGTTCTTTTACAAACAAAAGCTAGGTTAGGAAAATACTTTAAAGCATAACAATAACATTCAAGCACACAGCTGATTTCTAGCGTTGAACGTCGATGCCTCCATAGAGGTATATCTTTTTAAGTTAAGCACTCAATGTTATTTAAATGGGTTTCATTACATCACCGAGTGAGTTTATTTTCAACTTTACATCACTCGAGAAGTAAGGAAGTTGTATACATCACGCTTGGGATAGGGAAGTTTAACATGACGGGTTAGGTAAATTGTTTTTAAAAAAACTTGCTTAGCAAATTATGACATTCCAGAACATCCTTGTTGCTTACAAATCAACTGTTGTAGTTGATTGTATGAAGTTTTAGTTGACTACATTAACCTGTGGCCAGCCTCACTAAAAACAATAAGCTGAAAAGTTTTTTTACATCTCAAAGTTGAGCCTCAAGTTGAACAAATAATAATGCTTGGATTAGCTCATAAATGGTTTCAAAGACAAACCAATCTTTTAAACACTTTCTGCAAAGTATACTAATTTGCTTTTGTGAAATAAAATTAAAATTATATTTATTGTTTAACCCGTTCGATGCTAGAGCCCAAAAAATGCTAGAGTTATTTACTTATTTTGTCCCAAAAGTGCTTGGTTTGCCACGGGGCGAAGCCTAGTGTGCGAGAAAAAACCAGTAAAAATAAAATTGTTTATCTCAAAAGTGCTAAGCAACGATATATTGGGCCTCGATCGTATGAGGAATTGAAAGAAACCATGACTCTTTCAAAAAAACAAGCGAGTCACCTGATATGCCCGTTTAAACTCAGTTGATCGAAATTCATGCCGGCTCGTCTCTTAACACTATTCGGATGAAACGCGAACAACAATATATCATTCTATAGCACTTTTTGGTTAAATAGCACCAAAGGGTTAAAACAACCAGAGTACTATTTACCTCTAGTGCAACTGGAACTTGTATCATTTATTGAATATCTTGGTTGTGAATAAACATAAAAATACTAAATAGTTGAAAATGTTACTTTCTATGACAATTGTAGACAAAATAATATATGTAACAGATTACAACAAACTGCAACTAAATTTTTATAGGAGATTTAATTAATTGTTTTCTCCTTCTGGTAATCAGGAAAATTGGCGATCCGGATGGTTTTAGAAAGGGTAGTAAGAGGATACTGTATTAGAAATCAAATGCAACCAATTAATGTGATGTTTAAATTTTCAGTTCTGTTCATTTTTAACGTGATGATGACTCTTCGGCTGTACAGGGAAATGATTGGAGTGAGAGACTCCGTCTAACAGTGTTAAGATAATAAACCTACTGATCATTGAGTGAACAACGTGTGATAATAATTAACCTCTATGACAATAAGAACGTTAATTTTATACTAAAATAGTCAAATAGGGTGTTATTACGATTTTTAATTTTGATTTTCTACCATATACTGCTGCATTCTTTACACTTTTACCATCACTTAATTTTAAGTTTATATTTTGTCCTATTGTAAGATATTTTTACTGTTTGTAATAAAATGATCTCAGCATAAATTGGGATTTTATTTTCCTGTTCATTTGTCTAGGGTTACTTTTTTATCTGTTAGGCCTAATTAAAAAATATTAAACTGAAATTGTAAAAATAACTAATAGCATCAAACCTTAAATTTTACTCAAATAAAGAAGCTCCAATTAATCTTTAATGCGAGTTTAAACTGAAACCTTCAAATTCCAGAGATTTTGATTGTCCATCTATACACAAGTTTACATAACCTATATCTACAAATTTATTAAAACACATCGTATGCTACTTTCTTACAAAAAATTCATTGTAGATTCATATTATTGAACTAATTATCAGTTACTGTATATCTTATCTAAAAGCTATTCAGTAAAGCATTTATGTTTTATAAATGATCAGTTTCGCTTCTTAGTTATGTTACACAGATGTATAGCTGTAGTAAAGAAGTTTGCTATTCTTGTTTAGATATTTTTGTAACTTTTACAAAATGGTGCCGTGGTACAAAAGGAGGAGAAATTGGATGGATAAAATACCGCCATGTAAGTTCTGGATGTTCTTTTTATATGAAACATATATTAATTTTATAGCAAAAAATTTCTTGATACAATTAATTTTAGGGATGGACGGGATTGAATTTTTAGTTCGGGACGGGACGGGACGGGATTTTTATTTCCTTCCTGATTTTCGGGACGGGACGGGACGGGATTTTTTTCTGTGCATAAAAAGAAAGTACTGTATTGTAGTTACCAAAAAAGACATACGAAATCAATTTTTACCATTTGTGGCACTGATCTATAAAAACCAAAAAATGGGTAATTTACAGGTACCTATAGAAACTTGTGACTCGCGGGTCACGGGGTGATCGTCTGTATGACTCACGGTCACGGCGCGATCGTCGTCATGACTCGCAGTCACGGCGCGATCGTCGGTATGAATCGCGGTCACGGCGCGATCGTCGGTATGACTCCGCGGTCACGGGGTTATCGTCGGTATGACTCGCGGTCACGGCATGATCGTCGGTATGACTCGCGATCACGGCTCGATCGTCAGCATGACTCCGCGGTCACGGCGCGATCGTCGTCATGACTCGCGGTCACGGTGCGATCGTCGGTATGACTCGCGGTCACGGGGTTATCGTCGGTATGACTCGCGGTCACGGCATGATCGTCGGTATGACTCGCGATCATGGCTTGATCGTCAGCATGAGTCCGCGGTCACGGCGCGATCGTCGGTATGACTCCGCGGTCACGTCGTGATCGTCGGTATGACTCGCCATCACGGCGCGATCGTCGGTATGACTCGCGGTCACGGCGTCATCGTCGGTATGACTCGTGGTCACAGCGCGATCGTCGGTATGACTCGCGGTCACGGTGCGATCGTCGGTCCAATAATCGCGGCCACGGGGCGATCGTCGTTATGACTCCGCGGTCACGGCGTAATCGTCGAATCGACTTCGTCTCTTGCGTTCGCGGACCTATCGCTCGCAATAACGGCGTTATCGGCACTCGCGAAGCGGAAAAATCGCCGACGATCGGACCAAATCCCGTCCCGAAAAATTCCCGAGTCAAATGTAATCCCGTCCCGATAATCGGGAATATTTTTTTCCCAAAAAATTCCCGAAATTTCGGGACCCGTCCATCCCTAATTAATTTGTATCATTATTGTGTAAAGCTTGAAAAATAGATTCAAAAGAGGAGTTTGTTTACTGTAGCAATAATTTTGTGCTGTTCCTTGCCATATGGCTCCAGATAATTTAACCAATAACATTTGATTTTATCTAAAAACTGCTGTTATAGGAATTTTTAACTTTAAGTAATATATTTATTTTATCTAATAAAAAAAACATGACACATCCATGTACTATGTATCTGTACGTTCTGAATAACGAATTGATTGATTGATTGACTATTGATTGATACAACCTAGACATATCCCCATGCTAAAGTTGTCGCCAGTATAAAAAAAATCAAAATCATCGCATTTATTGATGGGAGCCACCGACAGGTTGTGCTGATCTACAAATTATTTATGTTGAATACACAAACTTTTTTACCAAGTCAAACTAATGGAAAGAATCTTTGGTTGCTATAGCAACTGTTACGACTCATAAAGTTGGTCAGCAGGAAAAAATAACGTAGAAAATATAATTTTAGACACTAGCGCATTCTGGAACGGTCAAAACTCCGCTCTTATTACTACAATTGTGGACCTTGTTTGGCATCATTAATTGATGGCCCAATGACAAATGACATCAGGGCCTGGCAAACATTCTTGCCTGGAATCGAACCAGCGATCTTCAGATTTGAAGGTGAGCACTAACCACTCGGCTACCCAGACAGATTGGGTGCTGAGTTAACTGAACTTTACTGATTATTCGTAAACACATATAGAAACCTTAAGTGTTTAAATTATTAAATGTAAGCTTTGTTTTTATCCTTCCAGTGGAAGAAGTCGGCCAAATTGTCATCCACAGAGAAGCTTGGGGAGGCAAAGAGACATTAAAAGCTCACCAAATACTTCATTTCCCTGTTATGTTCATCTTTATGAAACTATTACCGGACATGCCCCACCATAAATACATGAGGACCAACTATCAAAAGCTTGTATGGCTACAGAAGCGGGAACGGGAGATAAATAATAAGTCGGACATCAAATACAAGTAACAGTAATTTAATTTATTTCCTACAACTATCGTAAATTTGATACTTGTAGTCATGGTAATTATGATTCATTGAATGTATATTAAAACCATAAAGGGTTGTACCCAGCTTTGGCAGGCCCCGGTAAAGTTGTCCGTAAAAATATACATTTAGCTTGTAAGCCATAACATTTTGCATCTCTATTATTAATACGCTACATGAAACTTTGTGAACAATATAAGGCTTTTTTGTTTAAAGATTTAACCCCACTGTACACCAAAATGTTTGTTTAGGTGCAGTGTAGATTTGCAAACTCGCCTTACATTTTTGGAACCCTTGGACTCTGCCCAAGCTCAGTGGCTTTTAAAAGTCCCCATGTTATCCGTCTGAAGAACATATTTGTTTACATTATGATCAGCTGGATAATTTAATTGCTGTTATATGAATATAAATTCAAATTTATTTTAAAAATTGAAATCTTACTCCATATTGTAGTCTGCTGTAGAACAAAGAATAATATTACATTAAATTTTCCAAGTTTGTTTAAACCTAATTATGATAATTGTTATATAGGTGGTTTCTTATAATATTAATAGAAAATTTTATGGCTGTTACTAGTTGATATTAAATAATGAACATCGTATTCCCAAAAAATAATTGCCTTCATTGATGCTAAAATATTAACCCTTTGAGTGCCAACGTCCGGGGAACCGGACGTTTTTAAAACGAGCCAAAAGTGCCGACGTCCGGCCGACCGGACGTTTTTAGAACGAGCCAAAAGTGCCAACGTCCGGCTGACCAGACGTTTCGTAATGATCGAACAGTTGTCATAACAACCGAATGGATACTCGGATTCTTTTAACCCATATATTAACATTGAGTCGAAAGTTACTAGATGCGATACATCGATTTTCGTTAGTCGAAATATCGAAAATTAGATTTTTACGAAATTTTAACCTAAAAATCGCCAGATCGCGCTTGGCATTTTTAGCGCGACCTTCGGGAAAAATCATCGGCATTTTTTGAGCGTTACTTTTATTTCTCGCCTGGCACTCTAAGGGTTAAAAGGTATAATTATTCATGTTTTAATTCACAAATATTCAACTCTGGGATCAGGTTTATTCATAAAAAAAGGTTGAATACCTTCTGTGTACAGTCAATTAATTTTCAGTTTTAAAGTGAGTAAGTTTTTGAATCTACTTCACTCTTCCATTTCCGAGAAGAACAGAATTTTCCCAACTTGGTATAAAGTCTGAAAATGAATCTTTTGGTTCGAAACCTTTTGATAAAAACCAGTACATTCTACGGTACAGCAGGTATACCTTTTTAATTATTTATGTTCTGTTTTTGCCTGTAGTTTCATGCTGGGTAATGATGGGTACATTTATGAAGGGAGAGGGTGGGAAGTAAGGCCAGATCTGTTGGGTAAAGGTTACGCAGATTTTCATGAGATGGTGGGTGAAGATATCCGAGGACAACCGCTGGCAGCTCGTAGTCTACTCATCGGACACTTCCCTGGGATTTCAGGTAAACCACTTGATAGTTGAGACTATCGGTAACCCTCTGATAGCAAAGTGAGATAAAAAAGTTAAGTAATTTATTGAGATCACCAGTTAATCACTTGATACAATATAGAGATTATTGGTAAATCACCTAATGACTACACATGTACTGTAAGTATTTTTCAACATATTGCAGCAAAACAGCCGTTTTTAATTACAACTTTTGGGGTCTAAAGCAGCTCTTTCTCTCCCTAGGGAGTAAGTCAGCTGTTAACTCAGTTGTAAATTCTGATTGTAAGCAATTGCATGTATCAAAAGTTTGTATCGATTGATAATCAGTTGTAGTTTGTTATAAGTTGCCTTCTTGACAATAGTGCTACATTGATGGTATGATGTACATCACAATCGTAATAGACGAAATTATTGAATCACTTAATAAACAGCTGATTTTTTGAACTAGCATAATCCATGTAACAATTCTCAAAATGACAAACTCTTTTGCATAGTAAACATGTTAAACATGTTGTAACATATTGTAAACAGATTCTTATTCTTATTCTTGGCCAATGACTGACAAAACCACCTTATTCGAAGGCTACTATTCATTCCCTTTAACTCTTTCTCGTTGATTTGAAATTCAATTTACGATTCAAAGCATATAATTGGTGTTCTGTGTAACTCCTAAAAAGTGATCTTGAAAAAGTGATTCGCCCATATTCTCAAGGACGTTGTTTGGAAAATATAAATTGAAAACGTATAAATTAATTTGAGATGTATTGCAATACTCATTCGGTTGTTTGCTCCAACAGATATAGAAGTGTACCCCAACATTTTATAAATGTTAGAGAATGAGTAAACTTACTTATACAGTTTTATCTATTAGATTTTAATCTTCTGCTTACTAATCATCAGTTGTGAATATTTTTCCAGATGAAGATATGGGCAAAAAGATGATCAGAGCTAAAGAAGCATTGATCCAGTTTGGAATAAGAAATGAGTACATTCATAAAAATTACAAAACTTATATTTTATAAGTCATAAAGTATACTTTCATATGGTTTAGGTTTGTTGTAAATACTAATAAGGTCTTCTTTAACTGTTATATATACATGTGTGATTGTGAAATTAAAAATTTTGTTCTCTTAATTGAACGAATTTGACTTTCAATTTCTTTGGCTTGCTCAGTTCTAGCTTTTAAGATTAGTAGAGCCTTGTTAGGCTGCAGTGTTGATGTGTGGCTAACGTTGCATCGGCCAGCCAGTTGTCATAGTAATAACATTAACAACTAATGTGTAAACATAACATTGCACAGAAGCAGAAGCTCCTTTATGAATTATTGCAACAGCTGTTAAAGTAGGCTGGGTCTGTGGGATTATACTTTTGTCTTGCCTTTGGCCTTGTATTAAGATGAGGCTATGGTATCAGCCTAACTTAAATAAAAAGAAAACATTGTTAATCCTACTGACTTAAAAAAGTCGGGATTTGCATTCTCGTTGATTTTGAAAACATTTCTTGAAACATGATTAACAACATTTCTTTGTGAATGCGTTTGCGAACCAAAGATAGTTGTGTTGGAGGGGGGAGGGGGGTTTTCTCAACATAAATAAATTGTAAAAAACTTTTTAATCAGAAAATACAAGCAATTGAGCAAACTATATTTCGATTCTACCTCCGAGATTTTAAAAATGATACGAACAATACTATGCCATAATATCTACAAGGAGAAGGAATTATAAGTTGTCGTATTTTAGGCTTAGTTTTCATAAAGTTTGACAAACTCATTTAATTTTTATTAATTGATATTATAAGGTCTTACCTTAGCAATCCTATTTTACCGATGCAAAATTAATTTCGGACCCAAAGGTCCATCATCAGTCGGAGTCTAGGTTAACCAAACTTTTATAGTAGAATCCACCCATTGGGTTTCGTAGAAAGTGCCAGCAACGTGTTCCCTTACTAAAGTGAGGTTATCCCACACTATGAAAACTTTGGTTGTTAGCCCTAATTGTTTTACTATTTTCGTGTCCACTATGACTTGTGTTGTATTAAATGTTATGACACTTTCTACAAAACCCAACGGGTGGATTCTACTATAAACATTTGGTTAACCTAGACTCCGACTGATGATGGACCTTCGGGTCCAAAATTAATTTTGGATCGATAAAATAGGATTGCTAAAGGTAAGGACTTATAATATCAATTAATTATATATAAGAAATCCTGAGGCTAAAATGATTTTATTTTTAATTTTATCTACCCAAAAAGCTAGATGTGTGTTTCTAGTAGCAGCAAGCCTCATTGAGCTAATTGCAACTTTTTATCGGTATGAACGATTAATCAGTATGATGCTGTCAAAGTATCAATTTCAATTTCTTTATTTCCAAACATATTAAAAATGGAACTGGAAATATTCTTAGTTAACATGTTTGTTGCAGCAAGGTAATTTTTTTTAAAGAGGTTAGCGGCCTCTTTTAACCTTGCATTTGGCCGTCCACATAAATTAAATGCCCATGCGTGGAACGTATCCAGCAGAGCAAGGGGTGAGCCGGTACAGTACAAAGGTGAACTGTACTGATAAAATGTTTTCGGCAGTGACCAGGATCCGAACCCACGACATCGCTGCCATGGGCCCGAAAGCCGCGACGCTACCAACTGAGCCACCGACTCACCTCCCTCCTGCAAAATCCTGTTGCATTCCTTCTCTTTTAATAGTCACTTTCAAACTATGGGTTTTTAGACAAAAATACTTAAACAGTATTGTTTTGAGCTGTTTATTGCTTATTCACACTTTAGATACATATCACAATCTTTATAAAGCCAAGTTTTATGCAATACTAGACAAAGAACCTTTGTTTATTTCCTCAGCATAACTGTTGACGACGCATGCAAAGTATAAGTTGACAACTGAAAAATAAATCATTTTATTCATTACTAACATAAAACTGAACAGACGAATAAAGGTTTGAATAACCTGTGTTACCTCTGTAACTGTTAGATTATGCATTGTAGTTTAATTTACTCTATGAGCTTCATAAATTATTGAATTACGAGGATTGTCCAAATTAAGGTCTGAGACTAACTCATGCTCGTCACTTCATCCACTACTATTCTACCCCATGGGATCATTTGTCTCGTCAGATTGTTCAAAAACGTTGTGAGAGAAAATTTACGCTCCCTCAAAGTATGAATCTTGTTCTGTGATTAAGTTTCTGTAGGAAGGATCAATCCCGGTTGATTATTGTTTACAGTTGTCAGATATGAACAAAAAACTGTTTCAACATAGAAAATGTGCATTCGAGGCTTAGTGATTTTGTAGAAGCACGTACATAATGGCAGAACTTAGCCGTCAATACTAGTTGACAACTGAGATTACCTAAATATAATCAAAGAACTTGATATATACTTGAAATGAAACGAAAATTATTATTTGTTGAGGAGAATGTTTTGACCAATGATACTTTGTTATGGTTAACCCGCCTCTTGTACTATAGATAACCAAACAATACGATTTGATTTTGACTTGGCAGGAGAGTTAATTTTTTTCACTATGTCTTCGAAAACAATGAGGAGACTATTTATCCCATAAGGGTGGAAACAGTTAGTATTATTATTAGAAACAGTAGGCCTAGTGGATGAAACAATTTACATACAACCCTCGAGTATATGAATGATATAAGTTATGTAATAATTTAATTTGAGTAACCAAATAAAGACAAAATTTACAAAACACTTTAAAAATTTTAATTGATGAGTAAATAGAATGATTTTAAACATTTTAAATAACCAAATAGTAACTTACTAGCTGTTATATTGAAGAGCATGAAGAGACAATGACTGTACAACACGCACATAGCAATGTTTGAACCAACGTCAATCACTTGCATGATTATGATTCCAACTACCCAAGACTTCAGCAAAGTTTTGTTTCTCTGGAACACATAGAAAGATTTCTAGGTATGTGTGTAACTATATGATATAAAGTTAAATCGACATTTAAAATTTGATCGGATTTGAACGCAAGCTCTAACACCACTAGGGAGCTGGTCTAGTGTTAGAGCACGGAACTTCGGTCACTGAGGTCCCAGGTTCAAATCCAGCCAATCACCAATAAATTTTATCTAAGTGATAATGCCGTGACCCCCTCTAGACCTAGCCTGGAGTAATGTAGAAAATAATTCTGAGCTAGAAACTAGAGGAATGAAACATAAAAATTACAACTACTCTTTAGGTACCCAAAGACTGTTACTATATTTGTTATCCAAATGTGCAATCTGACTCTGTAAGGATGGTTGCCAAGCAAATAGTAAACTATTGTAGTAAAAACAATCATGCCTATGTCATTGTACAATTGCTTGATGGTTAAGATAATAATGCAGTCCCTTGTTCGAAGAAAGACATTCTGAGAAAGATCTTATTGTTAGTCAATCAATACATTTACTCTTATTTAGGCTAAATAGTTATTCCAACTTACAATGAAGTAGCCTGTCATTAGTAGAACAGCCAATATAGTTCCCAAAAATGTGAGAACAAAGCTTGCGTACATGTACACCTGAACCGCTGAAAAGGAAAAATATTAGATTTTGTTGCAAATTAACTATACTATTTCCTGTGAATAGAAAATTGTATTCAGAAAATCTTAATTTAAATCACATGGGTTTCCGCTTTCACAAAAAGCGTTTGAAAAAACACACTTTCTCTCTTCTTTGAAAAATTTCTCCTGTGTAGACAGGGAAAAAAGAAGAAAATATATAACTACATTTAATTAAGTTACCCTTAGGATTTTTGAAACTGAGCCCAGCTGTTCTTGATCATTAAATAAGCGGGTGACTAATGAAACAGCTGATCTTAATCAGTAACAATGCTACACAGTACACAGATCATCTCACTCCATTACACTCACCTTTTATTCATATAAATGTTTATATGTTAAGTAACTAGAATAGTAAAACAAATAAATTAGAATAGTAAACTAACTTACCAAGCAAGTGTTCCCTTATTTTGACAAAATGTGGATCTTCAATCTCTGGATTTTCGATGGCTTCTTGGACATCAAGGTAAAAGTCAAAAGCACTCGCAAAGGAGCCAATTGAACCCAACTGCAAAACAAAACACAGCGTCTGTTAGTGTTATTCCAATAAATATTTTAATTCTCGAATAACTGTGCAGTTAAACTTCGGAAGTAAAATATCTATAAAAAGTAGGAATCACAATTAACTCATTGATTCCTGAATATTTTCATTATTTCTTTATTAATTATATTTAGTAATTATATGTCTTTTATCATTCATGTATTTCAACATAACATGTAGGTATTTAACAAAAATAAAAGCCAGAAAAGACTAATCTGTGTCTTCCGTTATACTAATGTAAAAATGTATACTATGCCACAGTCGGCTGAACAAGACGAGTGCAACTATTTAAACCCAGTCGACACTAGCGCTTGTTGGTTTGATTCGACAGACTAATTAAGCACCAGTGGGTTAGCAGTACGGTTACCTCACTGCAAAATACATTGACAGTTGTTTGAAATTCTTTAGTTTTTTACTTTTACTTACCAGAGCAATAATTCCAATCAAGAGTGTTCCTAATTTCAAACTGATCCCGCAGCAACAGTATTTCAGTGTCGGGGCGACTCTCATTTTCTTTCTACAAAAGACGGTAGACATAACAGACGTTATTAGACGATAACATAAAAAAGAGAACATATGGTTGTTAAAACTTTCAGGAACAACTACGGTTTGTAATAAAATGCAAAAATATGTCCTCCCTCCCTTTAATATAACTACATCTTTAAAACTATTTAAGAAAATACAAATTTTAGTTTGATTCACCTCTATACGTGAAGTTTAAACTATAATTAATTGGTATAGCTTAATAATTGTCAAATTTTCTATTTTGTACACATTATGGTTTGAAAATGGACCTCCTATCACATAGTAGTAGGACTAGGGTCTGTAGTTTGGATCGTTACCAAACGAAATTGAAGAAAGGCCCCTGGCTTGGAAAAGTAAAAAGTCTCGCTCAAAAGATAACTTCAAATCATGCATGGGTACGCATTATGATTTTAAAATGATGTTATAAAATTATGCCACTGCCTTGGAAATAACAAAAAAATTAAAATTTCTAAAACAAGATCTTGTAATAATAATATTTTGTGTTTGAAAAAAAGGAGTAAAGAGGAGTGTGGAAAATAATTTTGTGTTCTGTTGAGACACAAAAAATAAGAAGTTCTAAATTCTGTATGGGTACTGAACCTTTTATTTCAAAGGCATGAATGTTATACATAAAAACACATACTTAGCATATTTTTGGATGGATATATATTTTGTATTAGAATCAATCACACCTTAAACTATCAATACTCACCCAAAATCTTTACAACAAGTGCTATGGAAAATTTTAAAATCCAAAAACTGCATGAAATGGTTCAATATCGAATCTATTTTGTGTTTTCACTGGTTTTGTGTTCTATTTTGTAACTTGCCATGTAAGCTACTGCTTTGCAAACATGACTCAGTAATTGTTACTTATTTGATATCCAATCATCCAATTATGTTGTGACGTGTTACTTAATTACTTTCCGAATTTCACTTCAAAACGTGCATAGATTTAAAAATATTTTGACAAAACTAGTAAAAAGTTTATTGGAAAACGCCACTTAATCTCTTATTCGTTATTTAAACCTTTGGGGTATATTTTGTCTATGAATTATGACTATAACGATTTCAAGGATACATTTACTACTAGTTTACATTCTACTACAAGTAAAGAAGAAGTTACGAAGTTTAGAAGTTAAGAAGTACAAGTTAAGAAGTTTAAATTCACTATGTCCAATTCTGTGGGAATGCTTAGCATATTCTTATTGAGTGTAAAAGTTCAGTAAGTTTTGTCTCGTGCAGCATAATTTAGAACAAAGCTTAATCTAATTCACAAACCGAACTGCTTTAAACTAAAATATATCTATACTTACAAAATTTACAAAATCGTGGCAATAATTTGTTTTGAAATTTGCCAAAATATAACTAGCTGAAGACATAAATCCGTCACTAGATGTTCATTGTCAGATCCTTGCAGATCTAGTATTTATTAATTTTATTAAAAAAGATTTGAGTGAGAAAAATCAAAAGTGGATACACTACCAGCAGGTCTGGGCGCCTTCAAGTTGTGGCTGCAAGTACAACATAGGGTGGTGCATAAATTGCGTCAAATTGTTCGCAGGCGTTGATGCCTTTCACTACGGTGCAACATCCAAACTGAAAGCCAACTTTTGACTCCAAACTGTTCAATAGTCCCCGTAATGTATGGTCATAAGTTACACTATTTTAAGCGTCGGGTTTGGGGTGGAGGAGAGGGTAGAAGTTGATCAAATATTTCTAAAACTATGTGGTTAAAGGGGGAAAATGCGCTATTTACAAAAATAATGCACAATACATTTTAATCAAGAATGGTTGGTTCTCTTAATAATCTTGCTAAAGGAAAGGGCAACACTCAAACACTCATAATATACTCTTGTTGTTCCTCAGTAAAAGGCATTTCATCAAAGCACTACATAAAAAATACAGATCTGAAACTCATCTGTCCTTAGATTTGTAGAATTTTCTTCAGTAAAGCCAATAAAAATATTTAAGAGTAAAAACATTATCTTCACTGTTTTTCTTTATTGAGCGGAGCGAGCGAAGCGAGCGAAGCTCTTATACTACACTCCTGCTTTTTTATTACAAATACTCCTCCTGAACGGCTGAAGCGATCTGCATGAAATTTAACACAGTCATAGTAACCAACCATGGGAAGGTATAAATCTGAAACGGTACAAATCGGACCATAGGACTTTTCCCTACATGAATGCAAACTTTTGGAAATTTAACATGGGCCTTATGGGTTAATTGGTCGCCATGTCATTATTTGCGAGTAAACACTAAAAAGTAAACAAGAGCCTCAACATTAGTCAACAAATCTACCACATGATAAATACAGTACAAAAGAAAAAATTGGATAATACTAAAGAGCATATTATAGTATATTGTATGTAATACGAAATGATTAACAATCAGTTCTATATTGAGTGATTAAACTCCATGCCGTTTATATTTAATTGTAAAATGGTTCTGTTCTTTTTAACAACAATGAATAGTTAACTAATTAGGCCTAAGTTTATGTTGCTTGGAGAAGGAGAAGATAAAACGAGGCCATTAAAAAACACTACAACATAATTATACCAACAAAAATCACACCGCCCTTGATTTGCAAGAAACTTTGTAAAAAATGTTCTTGTAGCTAAAAATACAAAATCGTTTTACGAAATGAAATCACAACCACGTGGTTTACAGGTAAGGTTTAAGACTAAATGGTGTAACTTAGACAATAAAATAGTTGTATTGATAAATTTTATTGCACAATAGGGAAATTTTGAAAGTGGTTGACGACAATTTCTTACTTTTAACTGCTAAAATAAAACTAGACCTAAGTTATAGGCCTATACTAAGTGAGGCTAACCCCAATCCCTCACAACAATAATACTGGTAAACAGTTATTGAGGTAATTGAATTGGTGAGTTTTATGAATGTTCAATGCAAATAAGTCTTCTGTACAAATAAATGATTCTTTTTTTAATAATGAAGAAAGAATACATTGAAAAAAATAAAGAAAAGCATATTCTACATACAATGGGTAATAATAATATAATAATAATCGTTATTGCCTTTTAATAATACAGGTATTGCTTAGGCCTACCATGATTCATTTGCAGTATCAAAATTATTGAGCGGAGTGAAGCGAAGCTCTTATACTACACTCACTGCCTTTGTTTTACAAATACAGGTCAGGCTCCACCTGACAGGCTTAAGCGATCTGCAGGAAATTTGGCACAGTCATGTAACCAACCATATGGGAAGGTATAAATCTGAAATGGTAATATTCGGACCACAGGACTTAAACCAATAATAAGGGTTGCCGGAATTAGGCTGATGCACCATATTGCGTTTGGAATCTGTAAATAACTTACAGCATTTTATGTGAGCAAGACGTGCAATTAATGTAGACTTTGAATATCTATCTGATTGGAACATGTTCAATTCCTATTTGCAGTCTACAAATAGGAATTCCACTAATGTGAACCAAATATAACACAATTCGTTGACTTGAACCCGACGTATCATTGACTTTGAATACTGCACATAGACATCCCATATAAGTGAAGCAGAAGTAGGCCTAAGCCTACCATTGACTTCGGATACTGCAATTAGGCATTTTATTTATGTGAACAAAATAAATGGACCATTGATTTATTGAGGATACTGCAAGTAGACTATTCATTTACATGTACCATTGGGTTTGGATACTACAAGTAAACAATCCGTCTACGTGAACCATACGTACTATTGACTTTAGAATCTGTAAATAGGCATTCCATTTATGCGAACCAAATATATCATTGGCATTGGATACTGCAAGTAGACATTTAATTTATGAGAACCAGATGAAACATAGAATACGGTTCCTGCAAGTAGACGATTCATTCACTTAATCCTGACTTATGATTGACTTTGGATACCTCTGCAAATAGGCATTCTATTTAAAATGCAAAAAAATCATTGATATTGAATATGCTGGCTCCGCTCAATATTGCAAGCAGACAACTGCATTGTACACCTAGTGGTTATTTTTACTCTATAGATGAAACACACCATTAGTGACTTCTAGATCCTTTTGGCTGCTAGGAAATTTATCTGAATTTATTTATGAATTTACATTCATTCATCTTAAATTACTTGAATGTTGATCAAGCTCAATCTTCAGTTCAATTGCATCAACAATAAACATTTAAATCTAAAGTATATTTACGATCCAGGTCATGCCAATACTAAAATTGGCATGACCTTTTCAGCCAGTAACATTATAATTAGTCAAGGAGCAATAACAAAAATACTATATTGAATTTTTGCATGAACACTTTTACACTTTTATGGAATGGAATTTTAACAAAATCTCCCAATTCTTGTAATTATTTACCGTTCAACCCTTGAGAATCCTTACCTCCTAATTCTGCAGGAAATTACTCGCTGCCACTTAACTCTTAATTGAGAGGTAGGCTATTAAAAAACTTGTTAAAAAAATATAAATATATTTATCAACTAATAAAATCATTTGGCATAGAAAATTCACAATATCACGAGAAAGTGCAGCAGTTCCGGACAGAAACTCTATCTTGGTGGTGAGCTTTTTTGAGATCTTGCACTGTGTCCATGAGGGGCTTCCCTCTAGTTTCAGGCAGAACTAGAGTCAGTAGAACAGAGCAGAGAGCCAGCCCTCCACATAGTGTGCTGGGCATGTACCACGCATACTTGCCCTGTAACATCATTGAAATTAACATAAGTCTAATTGTCCAACATATGCTATTTAGGGGATAATTGCAGCCATTTCTCATTACATGACATTTCAGGGTATGGAATCTGATCCCGTCCTCAGACATGAAAGTACGTAAAACATAATAGAATTACACAAGAGAGGTAGAAAATCACAAAAGAAACACCACACAGAGAACCCAATAGTAGTTCAAACAGGAGCCAAAAATCTTAAAGATAACAACAATTAGTACACTTAAAGAGTATGTGAACCCAATAGATGCTACTCCATGGGCTGTTTCTTTTACTTATTCAATGATCACTACAAATGTTTCCCATTACAATCAACATGAAAAATTTTTCATGGCAGGGTCTGAAATCTGATCTCGTCCTCGGACGTAGTACATAAACCATCACCGGATTAGTACAAAAACTTAGCAGAAGATGGCCACAAAAGAAAAACCAAAGAGGACTATACAGGGTGTCTCAGACCACCCGGCCGGCTTGTATAGCTCCAATATGAAAGCAAATGGAAACCTAATTGCAACTGGAACCCCCTATTTTGACCCCAAGGAATTCAGCTAAATTATTTTCAACCCCAAAAAAGCACCCCAAAGGGCAGATTTTGGGGGGTGGGGGTGGTTTTTGGGAAATTTTCAAATGTAAAGGGGGGTCGTGTTATACCTCTTTTTAAAGGTCCTTTAGTCCTGAGTATTTTAGTGGAAAAAGATTTAAATTATCTTCATCCCTATTTACAGGGTGTTCAAAAACGTACAAAAAATAGACCTTTGAACTACTTTTCACTGTAAAGAGGTGGAATTTCGTGGGGGGTTCAAATTTTGACAACACTTTAATTAATAAATGAGCTTTCAAAAAACTCTGGTTTTAACCCTTTTGCTATCTTTTTACTTATGTTACGCATTTTCAAACTTTTTGAAGTTTCAAAAGCTGTTATCTCAAAAATTTCAAATGGCAACATGGGTTTCATTACAAACTACATTGTAGCCCTTAAAATTTGCTATAATTTTTGTATTTAATGTTTTTTGGTATCTTCATTGGTTAAAGAGATATAGCGAAATTAGTGTATTTTAATGTTTTATTAAATGGTATTCAAAGTATTTGCTGTTGTAATTGTACACGTCTAGGTCTCAATTAAAACTAATTATGTTAAAAAATCAAAATACTAGGCTACCCAGATTGTTAAACTTGGAGGATTAATAAAGGAAAAAACACAACTGCAAATATTCTTCGTTATTTAATAATTTACAAAAGTCTAATAGTGCTTTGAATGAATACTATCTATAAATGCTACTGGTAAATAAAAAAAAAATCATCATGCAATCAATGAGCGTGTGCGTGAAACTGGTCACGTTTGATCAGATAAAACAAATTACAAATTACAAATTACAATTTACAAATTAGATAACTTACTGGATCTGTACGAGAGGTGAATGCACCTGCGGTAGTAAAATAGCAATACAGTACCATAATAGTGGAGAAGAAGTACTACGTGCATAAACAGAGTTGGGGTTTGCATGGAACAAAATGGAAGGCAATTTAAGCATTTGTAGAAGTCCATCGGTATGTAGGCTATTAATGCTGATTCAAACTAATTATTCATTCAAAGCACTATTAGATCCATGGAATTGTAAAATAACTAAGAATATTTGTAGTTGTGTTCTTACCTTTATCAATCTTCCAAGATCAACAATCTGAGTACTATTTTATTTTTTTAGACAAGATTTGTTTTAATTGAGACCTAGAGGTGTACATTTACAACAGCAAACACTTTGAATACCATTTAATAAAACATTAAAATACACTAATTTCGTTATATCTCTTTAACCAATGAAGATACCAAAAAACATTAAATACAAAAATTATAGCAAATTTTAAGGGCTACAATGTAGTTTGTAATGAAACCCATGTTGCCATTTGAAATTTTTGAGATAACAGCTTTTGAAACTTCAAAAAGTTTGAAAATGCGTAACATAAGTAAAAAGATAGCAAAAGGGTTAAAACCAGAGTTTTTTGAAAGCTCATTTATTAATTAAAGTGTTGTCAAAATTTGAACCCCCCACGAAATTCCACCTCTTTACAGTGAAAAGTAGTTCAAAGGTCTATTTTTTGTACGTTTTTGAACACCCTGTAAATAGGGATGAAGATAATTTAAATCTTTTTCCACTAAAATACTCAGGACTAAAGGACCTTTAAAAAGAGGTATAACACGACCCCCCTTTACATTTGAAAATTTCCCAAAAACCACCCCCACCCCCCAAAATCTGCCCTTTGGGGTGCTTTTTTGGGGTTGAAAATAATTTAGCTGAATTCCTTGGGGTCAAAATAGGGGGTTCCAGTTGCAATTAGGTTTCCATTTGCTTTCATATTGGAGCTATACAAGCCGGCCGGGTGGTCTGAGACACCCTGTATAGCAGGCAACACTATAAGAAAAACAGTACTCAAATACAACAACTCAACAGATACATCTTATGGCTATACTTAACGATTTTTTAGCTTTGGCTAGGTTTGTCTGTTCGTGGTGTGTTATAGGGATTTTCTAATGTGAGGATGGGATCAGATTCTAGATTCTGAAACGATGTAAAACATTTTTAACATCATGATAGACTTTCTCATCAATAATTTCACTAATAACCTAAATTTACCATCAACATAAATGAACTTCAAACAAAAAAATATCCATATGAGGATAAAATAGGAGACAACTATGTCTGTAAGTGCCTTTAAGCGTTACGAGAGGATTAAAAATGCTAACTGTCCTAAACTTACCAGAATGTCCACAACGTAGGGAGCTGAGATAGAGCCCAATTGCGACACAGCAAGTGAAGTACCAATAGCTGTGTTGCGGTTGGAGGTTGGGAACAACTCCGACGTGTGGAGGATGATGACAGCAAACACGGCAGAATCAGCGAACCTTCCCAGCAACGCGACCACTAGGATCAGCAGCTTGTTCTCTGAGGAAAAACACGGAATGATAAAGCGACTGGTCAGTTTTGTTCATGGAAAGGATCTAGGTCAGGAATTTTACTTGAATGAAGGGATTGCAGCTTACCTTAGAGGGAAAACAGGTAGGCCATAGAAAAACACACAGAAGACACATAAAACACACTGAATGATGTATGAGACAGTGTTGAATGCCTAACATATAACGTTATCACTTTTAATTTTTACCTCTATATATTCCTCAATTTTTCCTAGACTTAGTTCAAGGCATAGGGTAGCTGAAATGTGGAGTTTTCAATTATTAAGCGCCTTCCTCAGCTTCCAAACTTGATAGTGAGTTCAGAGTAAAAAACTGGCTTTACAATTTTAGAGAATTTGGATAAAGATAACTGTATTATTGGAGCTTTTTTAGACCTGTCTAAAGCCTTTGATAGTGTTCACCATCCTACCTTAATAAATAAGCTTAAAAATTATGGTATTGATGGTAAATAAAAATTCAAAAAAAATTTTATTATTACAAATGGAAGTTATTAGACACATCCTAAATTTATAAAGAACCTCTAGCAAAAATTCTTTAAGAAAATATTTCAAAGATTTGGAAATTTTAACAGTTCTGTGTTTATATATCTATAAAACAATTCTTTATGTAAAAAATAATAAATCAAAATTAGAGCGACAACAGGATATCCACAATTACAATACTAGATATAAACAAAATTTCACAATTAAAAATCATAAAAAAGCAAAATATAAGCAAAGTCCTCAGTATATATGCATTAAATTTATCCATCAACTCCCAGATAGCATTAGGAAAGAGTAATGCACAATTAAATTTAAAAAGAAACTGAAACAATTTTTAATACGAAATTCTTTTTATAGTCTGGATGATTTTCTTAACTTTAAGTAATGTATTTATTTTATCTAACTTTAAGTATTTATTTTATCTAACTTTAAGTAATGTATTTATTTTATCTAAAAACTGCTATTATAAAAATCTTTTAACTTTATGTAATATATTCCTTTATGTTATTTAAAAATAACATAATGACGCATAATTATACCAACAAAAATCACACCGCCCTTGATTTGCAAGAAACTTTGTAAAAAATGTTCTTGTAGCTAAAAATACAAAATCGTTTTACGAAATGAAATCACAACCACGTGGTTTACAGGTAAGGTTTAAGACTAAATGGTGTAACTTAGACAATAAAATAGTTGTATTGATAAATTTTATTGCACAATAGGGAAATTTTGAAAGTGGTTGACGACAATTTCTTACTTTTAACTGCTAAAATAAAACTAGACCTAAGTTATAGGCCTATACTAAGTGAGGCTAACCCCAATCCCTCACAACAATAATACTGGTAAACAGTTATTGAGGTAATTGAATTGGTGAGTTTTATGAATGTTCAATGCAAATAAGTCTTCTGTACAAATAAATGATTCTTTTTTTAATAATGAAGAAAGAATACATTGAAAAAAATAAAGAAAAGCATATTCTACATACAATGGGTAATAATAATATAATAATAATCGTTATTGCCTTTTAATAATACAGGTATTGCTTAGGCCTACCATGATTCATTTGCAGTATCAAAATTATTGAGCGGAGTGAAGCGAAGCTCTTATACTACACTCACTGCCTTTGTTTTACAAATACAGGTCAGGCTCCACCTGACAGGCTTAAGCGATCTGCAGGAAATTTGGCACAGTCATGTAACCAACCATATGGGAAGGTATAAATCTGAAATGGTAATATTCGGACCACAGGACTTAAACCAATAATAAGGGTTGCCGGAATTAGGCTGATGCACCATATTGCGTTTGGAATCTGTAAATAACTTACAGCATTTTATGTGAGCAAGACGTGCAATTAATGTAGACTTTGAATATCTATCTGATTGGAACATGTTCAATTCCTATTTGCAGTCTACAAATAGGAATTCCACTAATGTGAACCAAATATAACACAATTCGTTGACTTGAACCCGACGTATCATTGACTTTGAATACTGCACATAGACATCCCATATAAGTGAAGCAGAAGTAGGCCTAAGCCTACCATTGACTTCGGATACTGCAATTAGGCATTTTATTTATGTGAACAAAATAAATGGACCATTGATTTATTGAGGATACTGCAAGTAGACTATTCATTTACATGTACCATTGGGTTTGGATACTACAAGTAAACAATCCGTCTACGTGAACCATACGTACTATTGACTTTAGAATCTGTAAATAGGCATTCCATTTATGCGAACCAAATATATCATTGGCATTGGATACTGCAAGTAGACATTTAATTTATGAGAACCAGATGAAACATAGAATACGGTTCCTGCAAGTAGACGATTCATTCACTTAATCCTGACTTATGATTGACTTTGGATACCTCTGCAAATAGGCATTCTATTTAAAATGCAAAAAAATCATTGATATTGAATATGCTGGCTCCGCTCAATATTGCAAGCAGACAACTGCATTGTACACCTAGTGGTTATTTTTACTCTATAGATGAAACACACCATTAGTGACTTCTAGATCCTTTTGGCTGCTAGGAAATTTATCTGAATTTATTTATGAATTTACATTCATTCATCTTAAATTACTTGAATGTTGATCAAGCTCAATCTTCAGTTCAATTGCATCAACAATAAACATTTAAATCTAAAGTATATTTACGATCCAGGTCATGCCAATACTAAAATTGGCATGACCTTTTCAGCCAGTAACATTATAATTAGTCAAGGAGCAATAACAAAAATACTATATTGAATTTTTGCATGAACACTTTTACACTTTTATGGAATGGAATTTTAACAAAATCTCCCAATTCTTGTAATTATTTACCGTTCAACCCTTGAGAATCCTTACCTCCTAATTCTGCAGGAAATTACTCGCTGCCACTTAACTCTTAATTGAGAGGTAGGCTATTAAAAAACTTGTTAAAAAAATATAAATATATTTATCAACTAATAAAATCATTTGGCATAGAAAATTCACAATATCACGAGAAAGTGCAGCAGTTCCGGACAGAAACTCTATCTTGGTGGTGAGCTTTTTTGAGATCTTGCACTGTGTCCATGAGGGGCTTCCCTCTAGTTTCAGGCAGAACTAGAGTCAGTAGAACAGAGCAGAGAGCCAGCCCTCCACATAGTGTGCTGGGCATGTACCACACATACTTGCCCTGTAACATCATTGAAATTAACATAAGTCTAATTGTCCAACATATGCTATTTAGGGGATAATTGCAGCCATTTCTCATTACATGACATTTCAGGGTATGGAATCTGATCCCGTCCTCAGACATGAAAGTACGTAAAACATAATAGAATTACACAAGAGAGGTAGAAAATCACAAAAGAAACACCACACAGAGAACCCAATAGTAGTTCAAACAGGAGCCAAAAATCTTAAAGATAACAACAATTAGTACACTTAAAGAGTATGTGAACCCAATAGATGCTACTCCATGGGCTGTTTCTTTTACTTATTCAATGATCACTACAAATGTTTCCCATTACAATCAACATGAAAAATTTTTCATGGCAGGGTCTGAAATCTGATCTCGTCCTCGGACGTAGTACATAAACCATCACCGGATTAGTACAAAAACTTAGCAGAAGATGGCCACAAAAGAAAAACCAAAGAGGACTATACAGGGTGTCTCAGACCACCCGGCCGGCTTGTATAGCTCCAATATGAAAGCAAATGGAAACCTAATTGCAACTGGAACCCCCTATTTTGACCCCAAGGAATTCAGCTAAATTATTTTCAACCCCAAAAAAGCACCCCAAAGGGCAGATTTTGGGGGGTGGGGGTGGTTTTTGGGAAATTTTCAAATGTAAAGGGGGGTCGTGTTATACCTCTTTTTAAAGGTCCTTTAGTCCTGAGTATTTTAGTGGAAAAAGATTTAAATTATCTTCATCCCTATTTACAGGGTGTTCAAAAACGTACAAAAAATAGACCTTTGAACTACTTTTCACTGTAAAGAGGTGGAATTTCGTGGGGGGTTCAAATTTTGACAACACTTTAATTAATAAATGAGCTTTCAAAAAACTCTGGTTTTAACCCTTTTGCTATCTTTTTACTTATGTTACGCATTTTCAAACTTTTTGAAGTTTCAAAAGCTGTTATCTCAAAAATTTCAAATGGCAACATGGGTTTCATTACAAACTACATTGTAGCCCTTAAAATTTGCTATAATTTTTGTATTTAATGTTTTTTGGTATCTTCATTGGTTAAAGAGATATAGCGAAATTAGTGTATTTTAATGTTTTATTAAATGGTATTCAAAGTATTTGCTGTTGTAATTGTACACGTCTAGGTCTCAATTAAAACTAATTATGTTAAAAAATCAAAATACTAGGCTACCCAGATTGTTAAACTTGGAGGATTAATAAAGGAAAAAACACAACTGCAAATATTCTTCGTTATTTAATAATTTACAAAAGTCTAATAGTGCTTTGAATGAATACTATCTATAAATGCTACTGGTAAATAAAAAAAAAATCATCATGCAATCAATGAGCGTGTGCGTGAAACTGGTCACGTTTGATCAGATAAAACAAATTACAAATTACAAATTACAATTTACAAATTAGATAACTTACTGGATCTGTACGAGAGGTGAATGCACCTGCGGTAGTAAAATAGCAATACAGTACCATAATAGTGGAGAAGAAGTACTACGTGCATAAACAGAGTTGGGGTTTGCATGGAACAAAATGGAAGGCAATTTAAGCATTTGTAGAAGTCCATCGGTATGTAGGCTATTAATGCTGATTCAAACTAATTATTCATTCAAAGCACTATTAGATCCATGGAATTGTAAAATAACTAAGAATATTTGTAGTTGTGTTCTTACCTTTATCAATCTTCCAAGATCAACAATCTGAGTACTATTTTATTTTTTTAGACAAGATTTGTTTTAATTGAGACCTAGAGGTGTACATTTACAACAGCAAACACTTTGAATACCATTTAATAAAACATTAAAATACACTAATTTCGTTATATCTCTTTAACCAATGAAGATACCAAAAAACATTAAATACAAAAATTATAGCAAATTTTAAGGGCTACAATGTAGTTTGTAATGAAACCCATGTTGCCATTTGAAATTTTTGAGATAACAGCTTTTGAAACTTCAAAAAGTTTGAAAATGCGTAACATAAGTAAAAAGATAGCAAAAGGGTTAAAACCAGAGTTTTTTGAAAGCTCATTTATTAATTAAAGTGTTGTCAAAATTTGAACCCCCCACGAAATTCCACCTCTTTACAGTGAAAAGTAGTTCAAAGGTCTATTTTTTGTACGTTTTTGAACACCCTGTAAATAGGGATGAAGATAATTTAAATCTTTTTCCACTAAAATACTCAGGACTAAAGGACCTTTAAAAAGAGGTATAACACGACCCCCCTTTACATTTGAAAATTTCCCAAAAACCACCCCCACCCCCCAAAATCTGCCCTTTGGGGTGCTTTTTTGGGGTTGAAAATAATTTAGCTGAATTCCTTGGGGTCAAAATAGGGGGTTCCAGTTGCAATTAGGTTTCCATTTGCTTTCATATTGGAGCTATACAAGCCGGCCGGGTGGTCTGAGACACCCTGTATAGCAGGCAACACTATAAGAAAAACAGTACTCAAATACAACAACTCAACAGATACATCTTATGGCTATACTTAACGATTTTTTAGCTTTGGCTAGGTTTGTCTGTTCGTGGTGTGTTATAGGGATTTTCTAATGTGAGGATGGGATCAGATTCTAGATTCTGAAACGATGTAAAACATTTTTAACATCATGATAGACTTTCTCATCAATAATTTCACTAATAACCTAAATTTACCATCAACATAAATGAACTTCAAACAAAAAAATATCCATATGAGGATAAAATAGGAGACAACTATGTCTGTAAGTGCCTTTAAGCGTTACGAGAGGATTAAAAATGCTAACTGTCCTAAACTTACCAGAATGTCCACAACGTAGGGAGCTGAGATAGAGCCCAATTGCGACACAGCAAGTGAAGTACCAATAGCTGTGTTGCGGTTGGAGGTTGGGAACAACTCCGACGTGTGGAGGATGATGACAGCAAACACGGCAGAATCAGCGAACCTTCCCAGCAACGCGACCACTAGGATCAGCAGCTTGTTCTCTGAGGAAAAACACGGAATGATAAAGCGACTGGTCAGTTTTGTTCATGGAAAGGATCTAGGTCAGGAATTTTACTTGAATGAAGGGATTGCAGCTTACCTTAGAGGGAAAACAGGTAGGCCATAGAAAAACACACAGAAGACACATAAAACACACTGAATGATGTATGAGACAGTGTTGAATGCCTAACATATAACGTTATCACTTTTAATTTTTACCTCTATATATTCCTCAATTTTTCCTAGACTTAGTTCAAGGCATAGGGTAGCTGAAATGTGGAGTTTTCAATTATTAAGCGCCTTCCTCAGCTTCCAAACTTGATAGTGAGTTCAGAGTAAAAAACTGGCTTTACAATTTTAGAGAATTTGGATAAAGATAACTGTATTATTGGAGCTTTTTTAGACCTGTCTAAAGCCTTTGATAGTGTTCACCATCCTACCTTAATAAATAAGCTTAAAAATTATGGTATTGATGGTAAATAAAAATTCAAAAAAAATTTTATTATTACAAATGGAAGTTATTAGACACATCCTAAATTTATAAAGAACCTCTAGCAAAAATTCTTTAAGAAAATATTTCAAAGATTTGGAAATTTTAACAGTTCTGTGTTTATATATCTATAAAACAATTCTTTATGTAAAAAATAATAAATCAAAATTAGAGCGACAACAGGATATCCACAATTACAATACTAGATATAAACAAAATTTCACAATTAAAAATCATAAAAAAGCAAAATATAAGCAAAGTCCTCAGTATATATGCATTAAATTTATCCATCAACTCCCAGATAGCATTAGGAAGGAGTAATGCACAATTAAATTTAAAAAGAAACTGAAACAATTTTTAATACGAAATTCTTTTTATAGTCTGGATGATTTTCTTAACTTTAAGTAATGTATTTATTTTATCTAACTTTAAGTATTTATTTTATCTAACTTTAAGTAATGTATTTATTTTATCTAAAAACTGCTATTATAAAAATCTTTTAACTTTATGTAATATATTCCTTTATGTTATTTAAAAATAACATAATGACGCATTCATGTATGATTTATCTGTACGTTCTGAATAAAGATTTTATTGATTGAGAATTCAAAGTTTTTTTTTTTTTTACTTCATGTGCTTTAAGGACACTTACCTTGAGGTATGAGTAAAATGGATATGAGAGCCAACCCAGACAGTAGGAAAAGAAGCGCTGCCGTTGACTTGCGGCCCAGAAACATGAGTATCAGGAGTGGCAGAACATATGATGGAGCTTCCACCAAGCCTGCCAACGCGAGGTACACGTAGCGATTGGACGAGAAGTTGTCAGCATTCAAGGCTGCCAAATAGTTTTTAGTTTTATTTTGTGAATGCATTTAATTTTTTTAAAGGCAAGACTGCTTCTGATTACAAAAAGAACGCCCAAAAAATGTTTGAAAATATGTTTAGTTATATTGTATTTCCATTCTCTTTTACTAAACATATCTACCATAATAGCTTCAACAACATAAACTCGCCTAAAATATTTAATTTTTCTGAGAAAACAAAAACATGTACGCTCATGTCTCATCTGAAATTTAGACTGACAAAACTCGTTGTTAAATAAACACATAAACAGACAAAAATGTCCCTAAAAGAAGACACAATTTTGGAGATTGAAAACAAATTAGCACCAAATACAAAAATAATTAAGAGCAACTCACCCAGAACGTAGTAAGACAATGCAGCAACAAACCAAGTGAAGTAAGAGATGCAGATTCGTCTACAAAGTTCCTTTGTGCCAAACAACGCAAACAGTTTCCTAATCCCATCTAAAATCCTCTTAAACAAGGGAACATATGGGCCTTCCTCTCCCTGGAAAAAAGTGCGTTCAAACAATATTACAGGACACTTAAATTGATCATTTGTGTTGAAATAACTGTTATCAACATTTAAGAGTGCGATAAAAATCCTGAAAAGAAGTCAAAAAAGAATTTTAAATAACATCATTGATCCTATAAAACACAAACTTGATGTTTAAATATTCAGAACTGTCTTGGAGTGTTTCATAACATGTTAAATGTGCTAAACTATAAATAAATATCCAGAAAAAAGATATTTTAGATTTAATTACGATAATGCCAGAACCCCAGGCATTACCCAGGGTGTGGGTTTTCAAGGCAAAGGTGAGTGAAGAATGAGCGTTGCCTGAATGAGATGTTTACTGACTAATTTTTTTAAGTCCAATGAATATGAAGGTACAGAGCTGGGTTCAGTTTCGAATGATATTTGTTTAAGATCTAATTCTAAAACATTTGTGAACAAGTTAAAGCAGTGGATGGCTCTTTATTTTTCCTGAAGTTTTTTCTATGGTTCTTTCAAGATGATGTTCTCTTGTTTTTTATTTTTCGGTACTGCAGTTTATTGTACCTATTTATCAATTTGATTCTCTTATTAGATCTTTAGGCCGGTTTCACACGAGCCACAAAACGCCCGACAATCGCGGAACGCCGCTTCTGACTGTTGTGGCACGCTTGTCGCGCGAGAAACGCAACCTGACGCAGACAAGAAGAGCCCCATTCACTTAACATTGGAACGTGGCGTGCCTTTCACACGAAGTGGCGTCTTTTTGCGTTTGACGCTAGAACGCGCTGCAATGGCCTGCAGTGGCTCTGTCCTCGACAATTTTGGCGTTTGTAGCTGGTTATTGCCACTCAGACAGTCAAAACAACCAGTCACCCTGTTTTGTTCTGTTTTTTTTTTTTTACTTTTATAACATTAAGTTATGTCTGACTTTGACACAGACCGTTTTATCCTAGAAGTAGGGTGTAGGCCAGTGTTGTGGGACCAAGAATGTAAAGATTACTCAAATAATTACTCTATGACGTCGTACCGCATGAAGAAGCTTTATAAAAAATAAGCCTTCTTCATTGTCCATTGTAGCCCTAAACTGCACTCGTAGTCTTTCTAAGCAGACTGGTGTTTTGGTTTATTTCAGGGAGGTGCGGTATGAAATGGCGATAAACTGATGGAATTTGCAGAATCATGCTTTTGCCATCTGAAAGGTCCCACACGATTGAGCGCTGCCAGTGGCGCGTTTCTGCCGATGATTTTGGCACGTTTTTGGCTCTTGTGAAACCGGCCTTAGAAGAAGATTTATTTCAATGTGTTTTAAGCTTTCATTAGAAGTTTTCCTTTAATTTCTATTTGGGCTTCATTTTTATGCAATATATTATTTGTTTTTGTTCTCCAGAAGGTATTATTGATTTTAGTAGCTCCTCAACAGGAAACCTAACTACCACACACATACTCTACCTACACCTACACCTACACCTACCTAACTATTTCACAATTTGTATTTTTTTTATTTATTTTTATGATATAATACATAGTTATTTGTCAATTAATTGTTGTTAAACTAAACTGTATTTGTTGAATACAGATATATTTAAATTGAAAATTGAATCGTATGTCACATTACCTGGATATTGGTGATGTTTTCAAATGTCGGAGGGACGACGGAAGCGTCAATGGACTTGACGACGGCCCAAGCTTCAATTTGTCTTCCCTGAGTCATCAGCCATCGCGGAGATTCTGGTAGTAACCTGACCATATTACAACTCCGTCACACATATACTAATGAACAACTTATCCATGTGATTCCATCAATACACAAAGGCATCAGTGCAATCCACGCATTAGACTTTTGAAATACAACTATTTAAGATATTACTTAAAATTCTAACCATAATAATAAGTGTCAACAGCGAAAATATTTGGTTCTTTGAGCCCTAAAGATATACAGGACAATCCTGCTAATCTGTCCCCCTACGGTAGTAGGACCATGGTTGAATCAGTAAAAAAGGTGTGATTATCTGAGTAGCATAAATGACCACATTAATTATTTGATTAACTGACATTTATTTGTTGCGCCCAATCCTGAAAGACGATGATAATGTTCCCGTGACCATGGTAGATGTTCAATATTTTTTGCACGATCGTGGGAAATGACAATGATGTTCCCATCACAAAAGGAGAAGAGTATGTCACAATCCCAGAGAGACCCTTAACAACGATAAACTTTACTAAGGTGTTACTAACGGTAAAGGCTTTGTGTTCCCTGGAACCAAGCTGGTCTAGCGATAAAGCATACTTCGGTCCCTGAGGTCTCAGGTTCAAATCCCGCCAAATCACTAATGGATTTGATCTAAGTGATAATACTGCAACCACTAGGTCTAGCCTGAACTAATGTGAACAATGATTCCGAGTTCTCTGTCTCGGGTGTCGTAGGACAAAAAAAAATTGTGTTCCTAGCAACGTTTTTAAACAGTTAATTCGGAGGTGTGAATCCCGTCTCAGCCCAAGGTGCAATTCATTTGTTGACCTGTTGTGGCAGAGCTTGGAAAGAGAAGGACACATCTAAAATAAACAGCGGATGTATCGGTTGGAAATTTATGGGATGGGCAGATCCTTTGTAAGTTGCATCTGAAATCAGGATTTGGCTAATTTATACTCATCTTAACTCAGTATCGTCTTAAAACTTGTTTTAACTAACCTGAATTTGTTTTGTTCATAATATGAAGGTGGAAATTATGCATAAACAATTGAACTATCCGTGGGACTCAAATGGTTTATGTACAAGCTGATAAAAAAAATACCTAAATATTCCTTACTCTCGCCAGAAATATACAAAACTTAAAAAAATAATATAACAGCACTAAGAATTGTTACACAAGTTAAAAAAAACTAATTCACCTTTTTTTTTAACATACTTTCTTGACTTTTTAAAGCTAGAATATGCAATTGCCTACACTGTATAAACACTTTACCAGATTACCAAACCTAAAATTGATAACTAAGGAAAGTAATTCATTGTGTGGTTTTCAAAATTTCTGAAAATTACTGTGAAAGAAAACGAAATGAACAACAACTATAGTACTTTTTTATGCTGACACTATCCATAAACTCACCAACAATGGAAAAGAAGAAGAAGCATGGGAAGCGAGACGGCTAACTGCAATGTTCTCCACGCGGGAAACATTAAGGCGATCAATGATAAAGTGATGTAACCGAAAGGATATGACATGTTGTAGACACAACCCAACATGGCTCTTCTATCTTTACTGGCCAACTCTGTCACTGGAAACATAGACATAAATAGGATAAAACCAGATGACAGGAATAATACACAACAGTTGAGGGAAGTGGTAAAACCTAGAGGAATAAAGATAAATGTGGCAGATTTGAGACTAGGAAATATCAGGGGTTGAGTTAGAAGTTAGAAGAAAACAGTTAATTGAAAAGTACTAAGAAAAAAAAAATAGAAAAGAGTTATTGAGAACATCATTTAAGTGGTTATGCGGGTTAAAAATAAAGTCCCCCCCCCCTGAAAAAGCGGGAAATTCCACTGGTTCTGCAAAACCTCGGACTTGATTCAAAGGACGATTGCGTGTGATTTGTGTGGGTCTTATCAAATGACGAGTCCTGGATATCACCAGATACAAAGGTGAGTGAAGCCCACAAAATTTTCACAAATTAATAATACCTCAACCTTGCACAAAACATGTAATTTCAAAACCAATGAAAAGAATGTCAAAGTCATAGTTTTAATTTTGGGTTTACGTTTTTTAGAAATTTAAAAGTCTAGCAGCCGACACTAAAATTTTAAATCAGGGTTGAACATCATTCAGTTTATAAACAACAGCAAACATTCAGTTCAGAATATTTGACAAAGATTCAGCATTTGATAAAGATTATATATCTAGTTTAAATTTAGTTGTTAAGTACTTTGTGTATTGCTGTAACCAATGGTACTTCTTTTCATGGGTAACAGGATGATCAATGATTCATATTTATAAAACAACAAATTATCTTAAATTAAAGATTCTTAACAACCTACTTTTTTATGGTTAAAAACTATTGCAGTTAAAACTCAATTTAAAAATATGTCTAATCCTTCATCAAACACGTAACAATATTCTACTTACACAGGGTGTATGCTGACTCGTAACAGCCAGATCCTGCGGTGCCGATGAAAAACCTTGCGACTATGAAGAGCCAATAGGACGGAGCGAACGCTGCCAGTGGACCAGTCACCACGTAGGTTAGACAAGCCAAGACGAAACTGCTCTTACGTCCATACCTATGACATTACCTACGTTCATTCAACTGAGGTTACTACTTACATTTGAGATTACAGTCAAATTATAACATGAACCAACTAAATCCTTTAACTAGATGTTACAGTAGAACCCCTCAAGTTGGACCTCGGCCTAACTGACTCCTCTTGATATCAGACCTAATGTCCAACCGTCTTGTTGTTACCTATTTGGGGCGATAACGCCAAGAAAGTTTTCGGGTTAACTGAAAGACCAATCACGGGTGTAGCCACAGTGGTATGAGTCAATTGCCGGTTTTGCCAGAACCACAAGATATGCTCTTCCCGATATCCAACCTTTTTGCCGTTCCGGCCATGGACTGGTCCTGCCATGGTCAGAGGAAATGAGGGTTTCTACTGTACCTTTGACAATTGATAGAACTATAATTTTTGGAAAATAAGGGAGGATAGCAGCTATTTTAACTCAGAAAAAGTCCCAGGCCCAGGTGTAAGGTAAATAGCGCCCTCGGATGCTAAAAGCTTTGGGCTCATTCCCCTCAAACAATTTGTTATTAAAAGTAAAGCTAAACACTGATTTTAACACCATTTTGAGATAAAACACTTATTGAAATCTTTGTGTTTTTGTTGTTTAGCTAACTGTATTCCGTTAGGCGGTTTTAGGGACAAATCTATCTCCTCCACTTGATCCTTCCTTTAAAACGATAGCTTAACAGATGAGGTTTGCCAACCTTAATCAACTGCAACATATACTATAAGCAACAAGTGGGGGGGGGGGGGGGCAATCCCCATCAAACCACCTACTTTTTGTGAACAAAGTAAAAATATTAAAACTGTTTTTTAATTTGATGCCCTTAAAAGACTGGCACTCAGGGCTACCTACCACAAAAAGAAATTACAAAACTTTTAATTACTTTAATACTGAACTGAAAACCTTGTAAGGTTGATTGTTGAATTTGACTGTACTCAATTCAGATAGAGAATTTCCATTAAACATTTCCACGGGCATTTGCTTAATTATACTCAATCAGCAGAGCTATACCGTCATAGTCCAATTATTTTGTTGTGATTATCACCTCCAGCTGAACTTGTATTCGTCCATAAGTTGAAGTAACCAGCTGGTCATATAGAATATGTTTTGAGAGCAGCTGTTACACAAAACCCCAATCAAAAGTATTGTTGATGGACTTAAGTAAATTAAAACACAGTCTACGTTTAGTTAAAAAAAGTAAATTTAAAAGTTGACATTAGGTTTTGTAGCTAAAGAAACAACAAAACTCACTTGTCAGCTATAAATCCAAAGAGAAATCCTCCGACAAACTTCCCGAGTGCAATGGACGACTGAACGTTGGACTTGAGAGGCAGTCTGTCACACACAAGATCCCACTGCAAAGAAACAGTTTGTCGAAACCAATCAATATTCTAGACTTTTTATAAACTTTTGAGATATAAGGGAGATATGACACTGGACGATAATTTTTGACATTAAGTTCTTTCCCTTTTTTGTAATTTGGAATGATTTTAGAAATCTTTAATTTGTACGGGAAGATGCCAGAAAAGAGGGATGAATTTATCAGGTGTAATAAAGGCTTTATCAATGGATTTTTTGAAAATTTTATAACTTTTATTGGTATCTTATCATATCCGTAAGAGTTTTTATTTTTGAGAGAATCAATTAATTTAGCCAATTCGTCCTCATTAAGTGGATTACGTTGGAACACTTTTTTTGAAATCAACAAGCTATTTGTCCAGAAGGTACAGGACCTTCCTCCAGCGTGAGCGTTGTAGTACATGATGGCAAGGAGGGCAGTATTGGACATTGACCTAGACACCACAGAATAGTGCTAGACACCACACAGTTTCAAATAGCACATAGTGCAGTACCATTGAATGTTTTCTCTGTACCTTACTTCTCTTTGACTGATCAGATCATGCTTTCTGATGACTTTCTCTTACCTCCGTCACCGTAGACGAATGAGGGACGTCTTCATCGTAAGAGTAGTTTATACAAGGACTAGCTGGAGGAAGAGTGTGAGATTTCACATACTCTAAGGCAGCTTCGTAGCCCATGTCTGCTAACTGTGTATAGTTCCAGCCTATAACAGAGCAGCTGGACTCTGTCGACCCACTAAACAAAAACGTCTTGAAATAATCTACTGTATTCACTAGTATCACGTGTTTGTTAAATTTATAGCTTAATGGAATCTATATTGTGACAACCAATGGGGAAGGAAGGAAATTCAACGGCAGGCTGGGTCAAGATTTGAATACTTGATTCATTGTTTGACCAAAGTTGATTCTGAATAATTTACTGCTTGTTGATAACTAATTTTTACAAAATGGAATTTAAACAACAAACGAGACATGTTAACGCCCGGAGGACAACTGCGGGGAGAGAAAGAACACGTAGAGCCGCAACCGCGAGCTCGCAATTCTAGACCCCTCCCGCTCTTTGAATCTAACATCCCACTGATCGTCCCACTCATCTCGGTCATACGTCACACGGAATAATGAACCTTTTGTCAGCAGAACAATCAGGCCAAACATTCCGTGCTACAACCAAACAAAAAGTGTGACGTAGTTACAGATGTATTGAGTACTTTGTGACACTCAACAAAAATCCAATTAAATTGCAAGTTTGAAAGAATTATAAGGCTACGACCAGGTAAATCTTTGATGACTTTATTAAAATTTACATTCTTTCTTCACTGATCATCCTTTAACCAAGATTCTTACATTTCACTATGTAAATTTACAAACTTAGCCAAACATGGACACATTTCAAAAGAGATAACATTACTCACCCCGGACTACTAATGTTTCTGATCTGTTCACTCGTCCAGTTGGCCGTCGTCAGTTCCTCTACCTGACACCAATGCGGTGGAATGTGGGAGAGGAAGAGAGACGCCATTATGTGGTAAGCATTGAACACTCCGGGACTGCTGGTCAACAGGAACATAGACAGCAGCCATAGCTTCCTTTGATTGACTTTCTCTAGAGCTCTGTCAAGACTCTCGACTGCCTCATGTGGCATCTCACTGTAACAACAGTAAAATAAGATTTATCCAAGCATTATATAATCATTTTGGAATAGACAAATAAACATATGTCTAATAACACTACCATTACCATTTGAGATGGGGCTCCACCTATGTGGGTAAATGTCCCAAGATATGATTGAAGGATGAGTGTGGAATGGAGTGTGATGGTGTAGATTTGTTACTCACTAAGACCAGCTGTTTCATTAGTCAGGGCCATTTATTGAAAGCCCAATGATCAAGGACAGCTGGGCTCAGTTTTGAGGCATCAAAAAGCTACACTTTTCTCAGGGTTGAACCGGCAACCTTCTGATTACTATAGGCAAGCACTATAAATAACCACTGAGCTATGGTATGCATTTACACTTATACTGTTGTAGAAAGATAATATTACACATATACGTATGAAAGATTTTGAACGTGGTGGTTGATTTTGATTTGACACTAACCATTATCAGACACAATAGGTGATTTGCAAGTAACGATTTACATATTGATTTAATTATGTTCCCTGCAGCCATTAGACTAATACCCAAGGACAAACTCAAATAATACTGGAGTGTAGCATAAAGCCTATTTATTCAATGCAATTGTTATGACAAAATCTTACTCTAAGGTGCAACATCAGTTATCACTAAATGACTGATTCAGTGGCGTAAGAAAATAATCAATCTTTATACATAATTGAAAAGTATGTAAAATCTATTTAGAATATATTTTACATATTGGCTCTGATTGGATGGAATATCTGACTGAACATGATCACAGTATTGATATTATGCTAAAAAGTGTGCTAAAAATATTATAAATTATATTGATCTAAAAGCAAGTATATTTATCATTCGCCTATTAGGTCTGATGATGATTGGAGTGTCCAATTGAAATCGATCACCGCTTACCATCTTTTATATGTATTTACTGTCTTGTGAGTAAACAGTATAAGTGTAAATATATTAAGTGCTGTTATTTGACATATTTTTGTACTTTCAGCTAAAAGCAAATAACAATTTCATCCTGCTAGAGATTGCCGCTTGATAAATGCATTGTAATAGTGGCTGCATAGATTCAGAAGATAAAACAATGAACACAACTGACTAACCAACATTGTCCTCTTCCTGCTGTCAGCTGTTTCAACAATGTTCATAATATTTCAACTGTTGGTTATAACTGTGCTTATGATAAGTTTCTGCCATGGAGAGAATAAACAGCAATCAGTAAGTATTGATGTTTCACTAATATCGGCTGTTTATTATTTATAAGTTGGTAGATTGTTGAGGAATTTATGAATGTGTTTATGTCTGTGAATAGTTTGAAAATGTTATGTGATTTATTTTTTGAGTAAAGTTTTAGTAATGAAGGTAAAACATGGGACTTTGGTACCAGAGGTCCCAGGTTTAAATGCAGCCAATCACCAATGGGTTTTATCTAAGTGACAACCCTCTAGGTCTGGCCTGAAAAAATTCCTGACTAAAGGATTCTAGGACATGTAAGATGGGACATTAAAAAAATTCTTGAAGACGTCATAAAATTTCGTAGATTTACTATGATCTAAAACATTTATGTGACAAAGTTATTGGGTAACAATTGTGTCTGTTTTAGGGAAACTATGACATAAAGATGACGTACATGGAACCTTGTGAGAGGCGAAATGATACCAAACAGATGGGATTTATTCATACAAGAATGTTGAAGAGTAATCGAACCCATGCTTGTGTGAGCGGATTATATGCTCTTCCCTACGGTTTAAGTGACGACATGCGAGTAAGTATTCACCCTCATAGTTATAATGGCTTTAGTTTCAAAGAGTATTCTTGGTAACTCTAAATACTTGACAAAAATGTTGAAAATAATTGAGCATTGTCTTTTAGGTGTCACTGTTGACTTTCAGATGTAGACATCTATATGAACTAGTTGTATCCAATTTTATCAAACAAGAAATTACTTGAATGCACTTAAGTTCACTATAATCTAAAATTTAATTGTCTTAGTTTTCCTATCTGAAGTGAATATGTGACATAAAAGATGAACTTTACTTCATGAAGTAAAGTCACCTTTTTCTGTCCAAGTAATCTACAAGTCACTTATATGGCTACCGGTATGACATCAATGGCATCATTTCCAAGCTGGAAATATCATAGACATCGAAACCGGTAGCTAAATAGAAGACTTGTGGATTACTAACTTGGACAGAAATATGTAACTTAAAACCTCTTGTAGATAATTTTTAAAGTGATCCAGAAGGCAATACACAGAATTATAAGTAAAAGATGCCATACAATATAAGTCGTGTATCAGTTTGAATTGGTTAAAAGTTGCCGTATTTTATAGAATTTAGCAATTTAAATCAGCACAACCTAGTGGCACAAAAGGTTCATAATTAACAGTATAATAACTTTGAATGTGGTGATAACTATTCCATGTTTTATAGTTATAAAACTAAGTGTTGTGAGTAAAGGAAATATTTGTTGACGTAACATCCGCTAAGGATATTTGTTCTTAGAATACTTTCCTTTTACATAAGATTTAATATTTTTACCTACCGTACTCATTATTCTGTCTGTTCCACAAAAATATGTTTTGTTAACATATATGATTATTTTCAGGAAACTTGGGAGTTGTTTGTCAAAGGAAGCACAGGCGGTTGGAAAAGATTCATTACCTTCAATAACAAAAAGGCTTGCTCAGATAAAAAAAGATTATTCCCAAAATGGTTTAAAATGTTAAAGATTGAAAATGTAACTTGTCCGATTCCACCAGTAAGAGAATTAGCTATTTGCCTATTTTACTTAGTAGCATTTAAAGATGTATTCTCAATAGTAATGGTAGTGATGAACACACCCACTTCTCAAATACTAGAGGGATACAAATAGATTGAGGATGGGGGGGAGAATAGGTCTTTCATTACAGTGTATTATTTGATTCTTTTGAATCATCATATTTAAGATGAATGTACGAAGGCCCGCAGTTTGTATGTCTATGCTATAGAGATAATTGTGCCCCCCTTCACTCTTCATTGCGGAGGAATTTTTCTCTCTCTGGTTGGGAAGCGTCCCCAACCAACCTTGTAACCTCTTGCGCCTCTGGGGCCATTTATTAAAGCGGCTCTTTTACGCAACTAGAATATGAGTATGAAACTAGAAAAATGAGTATGTTGGATGACGCCTTGCTGGAGGTATAGTAAAATTTTGAAATTTGTCTAATCTTTTTCCAGGGTAACTACACTTTTGACTGTAACAATGTGACAGGATGGAAGTTCACCCAAGCCAAAACTCTAACCTACGGAGAGTATCGAGCCAAAGTCAATTTTTACCACAAAAAAGAAAACGTTGGATGTACAGACTTTCGTGCAGAAATCATCCCCATGGCAGAAGAAACTGAATGAAACATCCAATGTGTAATTTTATAAGTACAACAAAATAAATAGATAGCTATGGATAGCTAGTTGTCTATTTATTGATTACCACTTTTTAATTTAAGTTTATAAAATGGGAAACTGTAACTGAGAACTGAGGATCCAAGTCAATTGATGAAAGTCGAGGATAAATTAAGTAAATTTATAATTAGGAAATGCAACAGTATTCCAGAACATTTGAGTACTTCTTTAATGATAAAACACCACTAAAAAGTGTAAATAGTGTGTCATGAATATATTCAAAACTGAAGCTCTGAAATCTATGTAATGAACTGTTGATTACAACGGAAAACTCCTAACTTAGCTGTGAGACTGAGTGTTAATAAACTAATTTCAAATGGCTATCCAAATTAAGCCAAGTATGCTTTAAAAAGGTTTGCGTCAAAATAAAAGTTTGCTGTAAATGAAACCAGTGCTTGTCAATGGTGAAAAGTAAATCTTAAAAAGATCCCGGTTCCCGGTGAATGCAAGACAAACAGAAGCAAGGTCCATAGTAAAAAAATGAGAATTGTCTGTTGTTGAACAAGTCAGAATAACAGTAGAAATGATCATATGGTTACAGATATATTTTGTAGGAATTTAGAATTCAAATGATGAATTTATAAAGATTGTGTTTTCAACAAATTCCTTGAAGCACGGTGGGACAAGACAAGACAACCAAAACTAACCAAAGTCAAGGTTAACAGTCATTTCCTGGTCACAAATGAATCTATTGTTCATTGATTAAATGTTTCTGGGCTGCATTACCATACAGCTCTGAAGATACTTTGTTGGACACAGAAGTTGGGTTCTTTATTACAAAAAGGTTCATTTCAGGAATAAAATTGGAGTAATTACATTTGATATTCTCTTTACATGAAATATAGTAATTATTGCATGTACAGACTAATATTTTATTTATTGGGGAGCACATTGGTTTAGTGGTAGAGTGTGGAGCTTCGGTCACCGAGGTCCCAGGTTCAAATCCTCTCCATCACCAATATATTTTATCTAAGTGATGATGCCGTAACCCTCTAAGCTTAGCATGAAGTAATGAGTTAAACATCCCGAGCTAGAGTTTAGCGTTATAGGACGTACATGTGGGACAAAATAAAAAAAATATCTTTATATTATTACATTACAGACAAAGAGACAATGTTGTTTATTTTAACCTGAATGTGTCTAAAAGATCAAGGATGGAGTAAACAAGTTTTGGTATAGCTTTGTTACTGACTAAGATCAGCTTATTCTCAAGCCAGGACCTTAGCAAAATAAAAATCAAGGAAAGCTGGATCCAGTTTTGAGCCACCAAAAAGCTACTGACTTTTTGAATTGAACAGGTTACCTACTAATACCTAGGCAAGCACAATTTAATGTGAAAGTAGAAAAATAAAATTGATTGATTTTTTATACCTAACCAATGAAAGGGAAAACTTAATTCCTAAACTTATAATGGGAAAAGGGAATGGTCTTAATCTGAAGTAAAAGTTATTGACCTCGGAGTTTTTACAACTGAAGTATAACCATCAAAAGATTTTGGACTTAATAATCATACATAGAACAATCTAAAAATATTACATACCATACGGTATTTGATATTATACATGCTCTATTTTTACGAACAATGACTAATAAGCGAATATACCAAGTAAAAATTCTGAGATAAAAAACTGCAACTGTTAACAATGAGTAATTAGACAATGAACCATGTAAATTTTCAAATTAATATTTAAAACAAAAGGCATAATGTTTGCATACAGCAATTTTAATTTCCTTTTTCGGACGCATATGAGCGTGCTACACAACAGGTAGATTTGAAGATAAAACTATGAATAAAACTGACATATGATGGGCTTTTCACTCTTTTCCTGTTAGTTGATTGATACTCTAGATATGTTATTTACAGTTTGTTCATTATTTTTTTTAGTTATTCTTAAAACATCGACATGTCAGAAGAGCCAAAAACAATCTGTAAGTTTTTCATATTCTCAATATACTTGTACATCAAATGTCTGCTTTGAAATTTTTCCAACACATGCCAGTGTTGTTACTAGAAACCTTTTTTATTTGGTTGCAAGCAAAAGTGTTCGTCAAATCCTTTAAAATATTTATTAAAATCTTATTATAATAATAATTTTATTAAGTAGGTGAGGTTTCTGTAAAACTGTGTGTCTGTATGACTGGGCAAAAAAAAAAAAAAAAATTAAAAACTGAGTTGGTAATTTTACGCAAAAGCAAAATAAATCTATGGCTATTTCAAAAAATCTAAAAATACACCTTTTAATTTTTTTAGTAACAATAATTTATTACAAGATAAGTATACTTTGCAAAGGTATTTTAAGTTCTTATTCATCAAGATCCTCAATAAAAATAATAAAATCAATATTTATGTGCATAGTTATGAAACCAGAGGTACAGTTATAATATAAAACTTTTTATTGTTTCATTTATTAAGAAAAACTCATAAAATAACTAGTCTAAAATATATAGATAACACACTCTCGAGTAAAGGGAAACATGACAGAGCACATCGGAGTTTCTAGCACAAGGTTGTCAAGTACGATAAACTAAAAAAAGCCATAACTCCAAAATTTCAAACCATTGTAAACTTACACTCACACAAACACACTATCATTAACCACCCCACTTACCCGATTAAAAGCTATCGAAAACTATCGATTAACCATTGTACCAATATTTGCCATAACCTATAAACCCATGTAGCCATCGCAAAACTGTTCATGAAAAATAGGCTGGGTGGAAAGGAAACTCAAGACCTATTTTTGTTTGTTGTGTTTGAGCTAGCCAGCTGGAATGCTGCCAGTAGTGAGTAGTCCATGTGTTTAGCTTGTCAAAACACACAAGGCCACATATCTTCTGTTATCAATAGTACACACCAGACCTGAGTGTAGACCTTCAATTGATTACTATTTTCAGCTATTATCAACTACTCATAGTTTCCGTGAGCTTCGTCTTAAACAATGGTTAGGATGTGTAATAATTTTAAATCTAGTTTTACTTAATACAACCATTAAGTAAAAGTGTAGAAGACCGCCACACTATACAATCTCGGGCATCAACCCTTCGAAGATGTTTCAATGTGTCAGAGAATTTCAAATAAAAAAAAGCCTTTATTTAGCAAGCGTTTCTCAGTTACAAACTGCTTTACAGGATAACTCTTGTCATTTAACTAATACTAAATCTTATAAAGTAATACTAAAATCTTAAAATACAAACACAATTTAAAAAAACATTACAGTAACATAAATGATTATGTTTGGCATAATCTTAAAGTAGTAATATTAAAAAGTGTGTTATGTGTTTTATAACCACATATATCAGAGACTCTAAACACATATTAACAACATTAACAAACAATTTTAGTAGAGAAGTGGTATTTTTTATCAAAATGGATATATTTTTTTACCCAGATTTCCTTTTGATAAATGCATTGAAACAGAGCTATTGCAGATTCATAAGATGAAACGCCAAACATAACTGACCACCGGTAATATTATATGCCTTTTCCTGAAAGTAGTTGTTTCCAACAATGTCAGTACCGGAACTTTAATTAGTTATGTTAACTCGTTTAATGAGTTTCTGTGATGGGGACAGGAGTCAACAATCAGTAAGTATTGATGTTTTAAAATCAGCTGTTTACTATAAAATAAGTTGATTTATTGTTGAAGAATTGAATTAATTTTGATTATTGAAAGTTTACTGTGAATTACGTTAGTTTTCAAATGAGAAATTTTTTACGTACTGTAAATCTAATCATCAAGTGCAAGAGTTGATGGCCATTTAGTGTACACTCCCAAACCAATTTACCCACTTGAGCTTCACTCATTGCAGAAGGTTCAAAAAATGTATTCATCTTGCGATGAATATCTGCATCAGATGTGTCTAGTAGCCAAAAAACGCATCACTGACCTTATCTTGTGTGCGATGGGAGATTCAATAATTTTTAAAATTTTCTAGACACACAGCGAAGCGTACACATCAGCTATAGAGGTGCAAATCATTCTGCTCACCAATGATGCCGGTAAATAGCGAGCCGCCTTGTAGCGGTGTACACGCAAACTGTGAAGCTATACGTCCTTACTTAAAAAACAACTCTTGTACCATGCAAACTATCCAAAGAACACTAATAGATGATAACTGATATTTAAACGGTATGTTTTATATTGTAGCAATCAATCTACCACTAATATCTAAAAAAATATAATGAATTGTAATATCAACATTTTATTTGTCTAGGGAAACTACGATGTTCAGATAACGTATATAGGTTCATGTGGTCAAAATGGAAACTATTCAGAACAGATGGGATTCGTCCAGACAAGAATGTCAAAGACTAACAGAACCTATGCCTGTTTGAGTGGAATTTTTGCACTTCCCTATGGACTCAGTGATGACATGCAAGTAAGAGTTAACCGAGTTAACTAGGGGCATGTAAAGACATAAGTCCCTAAAAAGCTCAAAATGGAAAACTATTTTTTTTATTTTTAACCAAACTAAGAATCAAATTATTTATTATTCAAGATGGATATGCTTGTACACCATATTTTTGTCTAAAAAAGTCGCTCTGTTTTCTTTGGTTGTTGTTATATATATATTATTATATGAAATCCAACGTTTGTCCTTTATGTTTTAATAAATGACCATCCGATCGTGATGAAATTTAAGGGAAATAAGTACAATACAAAATGAACAGTTTTTTTGCCACATTTCGTAACATCTTTGACTGGTAATATTTTATAGTTTAGGGTTCCATTTCCCAACTGTCAAAGCCAATATTGACACAGAGAACACAAAAATCTTTGTTTTGGGTTTTGGTTTTCAAAAGCCTCAATTTTATTATAGATAACGGTATTCCTGGTTTTAATATAGTATTCAGTGCATTGTAGAGTTACTGGCTAAGAAATAAACCAACTGCGTTTATTGTATACTGGCTTGGAAATAGCACGATCAACACAGTAAACACAAAACAGCTGTATGTGGCTTTCAATGCTACTTTATGGAGAACATTTTACGTTATATCTAAATTTCGGTTGAAATTTTGGGAGTTCCACTATTTTTGACCTTTAATTTGAGCCCTCTCCCGTCGTTCTACGACATCCCAGTCGCCCACAATTTTGACGCAAAGGATCGGCTTACGGAATTCCTTTCTCACACACTATTCCCGGGTAATTAATATATAGATTATTTGCACCATCATTTCTGTTGGAAAATGTTCAATTTAAGGCGATTACTTATTTTAAAACTCATATAGTGAGTGCTCTCTCAACTAGGTGTTCTATTAATTTTGTGCATATGTGAATTATCTCTATTGTTTTCAGGAAACTTGGGAGTTGTTCGTCAAAGGAAGCACAGGAGGTTGGAAAAGATTCATTACCTTCAATAACAAAAAGGCTTGCTCTGATAAAAGAAGATTGTATCCGAAATGGTTTAAAATGCTAAACATTAAAGATGTACCATGTCCTATTCCTCGTGTAAGGCATTAGATTATGTTACTTTTTAGCCCTTCAATAGATTATCTGTAAATTAAGTCCTCAATAAGCTCCTGTTGCGATGAAGCGATTTATTGGTTTTGGAGGAGACTGAGCCAAATATTGCTATACTAATAAGGAACGTCTCTAGAACTACCATAAAAGCAAGGCTAAACTACTATTTTTGGATTAGAATTTTGTGATAAGAGATTGTTGGAAGCCTAAATTTAAGGCCAAGCTTAGTATTTCTATTATGGAATGACATTAATGACCAATGAGTTAACACTGGTCATATTCGTTTGACGTTTTTCAAAATGATCTACCTCTACCAAAAAATTTTCAAATTATATTTTAAAGTGTATAATAATAGCAGCTCCTCAGTGCCTTTCCTTGAACAAAACTACCCTAAAATGAAATCTTTTGTTTTTTCTAACTGTTAATTACATAAAAAGTACTGGTACCAACTTTAATGTTATACTTTAATGACTTTTTTGTTGTATATTAAATATTTTTTTCCAGGGTAACTACACGGTTGACTGTGACAGAGCAGCAGGATGGAAGTTTTCCCAAGCCAAAACACTAACATATGGAGAGTATAAAGCTATAGTCAATTTTTACCACAACAAAGAAAACATTGGATGCACTGACTTTCGTGCAAATATCGTCCCTATGGCAGATGAAATTCAATGAATTTTCTCCACGTTCTAATACATAAGGTCTTCGTACGTAATAAATTAATACCCCTCAGCAAACCTGCAGACTAAGCGAATTTCCATTTACCTGACTGGATTTCTTCTAAAATATTCCCTAAATATTGTCAGATTTATTTCCTATTTAAAAACATTAGTTTTAGTGAGTACTTAGGTTTGCTGCCACAGGGAAGATATTGAGGTGTGTTTTTTATTGCAATATTGAAAGCTTAGTATGAAATAAACAACATTTCCAAATTTGGTAAAAATATATCCATAAACAAGCAAACTACAACAGTTTATTTATTCTCCATAAGAATAACATGGGAATTTCGAATTTACAATTTTTATAATTATCTCCGTAATCGTTGGGCATACAACAACGCTTTAACATACAATTTCTTTATTTAAGCTCTACAAAATGGTTAGTAGAGAAATGATGAAATATTGTGTTTTTAGGGTTAAAAATGGGAAATTTATTTTTACAATATAAAACCCCCCATAACCCCGCATTCTCATATGATAGTCAAATCTTGTAAGTTGACTATTTTGTACATCAATGTAAATAAAAATATTATCTGCAGATTTTTTGCTTTTAAATATACGTTAACTACATGGTTTAGTAGACATTGGACGTTTCTCTTCAACAAACTGATATAAGAGATCAAATATTTAACTATAATAAATCAAATTTAATTAATATCTTTTATGAATTCATTACATCAAAGCTGGATTAATTTAGGAATCAAGTTATAGGAATTCAACGTTGAGAATCAAATTAAACAGAAGAAGCAAATATTTGGAATAATTAGAATTAATACAGTACAAAAACATGATAAGAAAGAATACTTTTCATTCAGGTAAATTTTATTCTGCCACTGACCTTTAACCTGGGTACGTTTAGACTAGAAAACTTATAGTAGAGTATAGAAAAGCATACTTCATACAATACAGTATTAAAAGAAATATACAACTTCTATCTGGAAAATATATTGAAACACTTACCCTGTCACCTACAGCTCATTTTGATGCAAAACATTCACTTTTAGCCTAAACTACATCATACGAACCCGAAAAGAAGACAAACTATGAAAACCATCACTAAATGCCCCATGGTAAAGCACTTAAAATCTATACTTTGTCTAAATAGTCAACTTGTATCAGTAAATGCCACATGTACACCACACGTTATCACTGATCTCACTCACACACTCTCACTATACTATCTGTACACACACACAAACATACCATGACTCTTGTGGTTATAAATAGAAGTTTCTAAGGTTATTCTCTTTACCCAATTATCGATTTTTAAACAAACACATGAAACAACTACTGAACACAGTGATATAAAGTGGGCAAACATTAAATTTTCCTTTTACAAATATCTTCCTATTTGTATTTAGAATTTTTTCAATTAAGTATAGGTAGTTGTGTACCAATTTTCATCCTAAGTTCAAACAAATTTAAATTTTAGTTTCAAGATAACTTTGATGGGACCATAGTTGTATCATCTTTATGGGTCAGCAAAAGGAAGTTTTAAATATGATTCCAACTTTTTAATGAGAATTTTGTTGTTTTCTGTTATTTCTTGTTATCCATCCAACATTATTAATTCTTATTGTAATAATATATTTGGTAAAATATTGCTTGTTCTGTGGCATTTTAACAAAAAGAAAAGGGTGGAAATGGTGAAATAAACCTAAAATGAGGGAAAGATATTTACAGAACAGTATTCTAAAACATAACCTCATTGGAACCGAAACAGGCATAAGAATTTACAAAAGAATAAAAAGACTAACTTCAGTACCCAAAACTCCATGATGGCACCTAAAACTGTCTATGTCAAACAGTGGTAATATTTGTGTTCATCATAAAATGTGAAATTTGGAATAAAACAAGGTTAGAATCAAGGTTGACTTTTGGAGAGACAAATCAAACAAGATTATTTTAAAAATATAACAAATTCAAACATAACCTCAAGTATCAAACATGATTATGTAATCAGCTGTGATAAATACTTCCAACTCCCAACTTATTGATTTCACTTGAGTTAAACACTAAAATAACTACAGTAGATTCAACTTACTCATAGGTTTCATAATGTGATGAGGACAACAACCTACGAGAAGACATTTTTCCTGTCTAAACTGACATGTGACTAATCATAAACAAAACAATCATTGTTGTGACAGAACAGCTGTTCACTTGACACACATTGATCCACTCAAACAGCTGTTTATCTGATTAAACTTACACCATGTTTTGGCACATACATCTTGTTTTTATGGTAGTTAAGGAACATAGAAAATAAAAGGTATCAGCAAACTGACATGTACTTTCTTTTATTAGTTTGTCAAAAATTAAGTATAGATTTAAGTACAGAAAGTTATTATTAAGTACAAATTTTATTATTGATATAGTGGGTAAGCGGGTGGGAGTAATTATGATAATTGTAAAATTACAAAAATTGGAATACAACTTTTGAACCGAAATTTTTACAGCATTGGAAGTTGTACAATTTTGTTAAGAGTTAAATGGAGTTTAACATACTAATTTTAATCAAAATCGCTTGAGCAGTTTTTGTGAGAATCATATTTTCTGTTATTTTAAGATCTTTTATGGGAAATCACCATTAAAGATCAAAACAACAAATAATTAGAAGAACACCTAGGGTAACCATAGGATTAGAGACTAAAACAATAATTTACAAATAACCCACCAGGGTTAACAGGAAACGAGTTAAGAAAAGTGTGAAGTTTATATGTACCAAGAAAATTGTGTATTCCAATCATTCACATACGGTAGTAAGAAAACAAATTCTGCTTCTAGCCAAGTCATCTATAATATTAAAACGAAACAGTGTTTTTTTATTTCACGATTCTGAATCAACCACACGACGGATTTTCATGATTTTTGTGTTGAAGGAAAGATAATTTTGAGAACTAGGGAATGTCGAAGCCATAATTTTTTTTTTTTTTTTTTTTTTTTTTTTATATAATAACAGTTTTTCATTTTATTACAATAGAAATTTTACAAAAAAGAGTAGAGGACTGTAAAATTAGAAATTAACAATTAATTTTTAAACAAAAAAATTTGGAATCCCAGCTCCATCTTCAAATTCTCTCGCTGACCGCCATTTCTTTCTTGTTCTCCTCAAACACATACTGGTTGACCTTAAAACAGCACAAATTGTTCTTGATCTTATCCAACTTATTACTAAACTGTATGGTTTTTTCCACTTCTCTGATAGTTTTTCAGCCATAACCCTTAAAAACATTTGGAACTCATTCCCAAAAATTCCATCGACACTTGTAACAAGAGGAGTAAACGATGCATGTCGTTGTTCACAAGCTTTAGTATATTTTCGTTTTTTTTCATCTTCAGCTTTCTTAATAACTTGTTGATGAGGGATGGAGACATAAGATGGAGCATCAGTGTCAACGACACGAACATCAAACAATGCCTCCATCTGAGTCTCCCATACGCCTCTACAAGCTAGATCAGCTTTCAGTGCAGGTTCGTTGAGATGACTGCCTTCTGCTATCAAGGGCTCTTTAATGCAGTTTCCCCAAGCTTGTTCCATCATGCTACCTATTGTGTCTCTTACTTCATTGTGTCTTTTTATTATCAGACCTCCATTTCGACATTTTAGAGCATGCTCTGTATTGAACTCGTTTCCGCATCCTTCACATTTTAATGGGAGGTTTATTGGTGTTTTCCCATAACGTAGAGCAAGAGCATCTCTAAATTCTTGTGGGGACATGTCCAGATTAAGTTTCTTCAGAGGCAAGCATGATAGCCAGCATCCATGTTTTGCTCTAGGTCCTGCATTGCGCATAATAATTTTCTGCCGTTTTTCTGAGAAAGTTTCCAAATGCTGACTGAATAATTCTTCTTCCATGGATTTCTTTACTTCTTTACATGACTTAATCGATAAATTTAGGGCATATTCATGTGAATCAAAACAAAATTTAGTTTTCTCTTTTAAACAAGATGTAAGAATTTTGCATCCATCTTGAGATGATTTAAACATATAATTTGACTGCTTTGTTGGGTCTATTATTCCTATTCCTCCCTTTTTTACTGGTAAATGTAGAATCTCACATTCCTCATTGCTTACTTCTGAACAAAATAGATTTGGAAAAAAAGATGTCCTAATTGCTTGTTGTATAGGTAAATACGTTTCAGATTTAGTTTCAACTACCCTTTGAAAAAAAGTCCATTCCATTTGTGAAGATTTAGTCACTACAGTGTAGGCAGATTGTGGATATTTCTTTGCAATATTTGCCAGATTGTCAATGTTTTGGATCCATAAACCAATTTTTTCAGAAATGTGTTTATTTTTTTCCTCTTCAGAACCTATATATCCACCAAGAAATTGGCTACCTTTACAAATTTTCATACCTGATATTTTCCTTTTAAATTGTTTGGAAATATTATCATGATTAAAAATTAATTTTGTTTTATTAACTTGAGGAAAGTACCCATATTTTGGACCTAATTTTGAGAGCTTTTCCCACCATTCCACAACATCATCAAGGGAGCCTTGACAAGAAGAGTCATCTGCATACCAAACTTGAGATGTGTTTGGCACTCTTTTTAGTTCTTGTATTAATGGAAGTGTTGCCAGACCGTATAATATCATTGATAGTGGATCTCCTTGGGTAACTCCTTCTTGACTATACAATCTTTGATTACTTCCTTGTAAAATTAAATCTGAGCTACATTGGTAAGTATTATAAATGAATCTTGCAGCCCTTGGCCATTGGACTCTTGCTTGCCATAAAGCATGAATTCTGTTTATTTTGTTGAAGGCATTATCTGCGTCTACCAGGATCATACACCATTCTTTGTTGGTATTACTATGTTCACTATATTGCTTTCGCATGAAATGTATTCCTCCCTCTATACCAGATTTGAGACCTCCACAAAGTTGATCTGTACCTAATGCTTGTTTTGCATCATCGCCAAAAGCTAAAATAATGCATTTGGCCAGAATGCGTCTGAGACATTCTCCTATTCCAATGGGCCTCACACCTGGACATTTGTCAATTGCAATAAGTCTATTTGCCATCAGAGCTCTTATAGTGTGCCATGGTACTACTTCTCCATTTAATTTCATCGCCAAGGTGGCTATGGCTGTTCTTAAATAAGTACTCTTTTGTCCATGACGCAATAAGAAATCTGTCCAATTTTCGGATGAACTTCCTCCTGGACCTCCACTACCATGAAGTTT